TATTAAATTTTTTAAGATTTAATATTATAATTATTTTAATTAATATATTAAAATATTACGTTATTTTATTTATTATTTTTATTATTAATAATTTACTTATAAAAATAATTATTTATACTTTTTAATATTTTAATATAAAAATTTATAATATATTATTATTATAATAATATATATCGGGATAAGTCTTGTAATATTAATTAATTAATTAAGTAAAAAAAAAGGAATTTATTTAAAAAACTATTTATAATTTTATATACATTCCTTACTTGTGGACCTGTGGGTCCTTACGAGTAGTGGTCCGTATCCAGTGGTGACGGATCCACATACCCATTACCCCGCTAAGAATACCATTACACTGCATCTGCGGAGCGGGGAATGAAGTCCCTAGAATTGCAACTTGTTCTGATCTCTTCATATCCTTCTTTGCTCATAACCCTCGGCTTGAAGATCTATGCTATTCCATTTTCTGAAACGCCTGTATTAGGTATTTTATTAAAGTTTAAGCGAACTTCCAAGTTAGTACATACCACACGAATTAACTAGTGTAGATTCAAGATTCAATATTTGAGCCTTAACGTGGACTTGTATATACAACATCTGCACGCTCAATACTCCCACTTACTGCTTTATTCGCCATACCAGGGTCTCTTACATACTGCCACGTGTGCGGAGAGTGCATATCCTTGGAAGTTACCCTATTCGGCTCCTGGGAGATCATATAGACTCGGAAACGTACGTAGATATTTCCGTGTAAGTGACGAACGCCATGTGTGATAGTATGATCCGGCACCTTGCCATGTGCTTGTCTCCCCCGCACTCCTGTTATTGGCTGGCTAAGCAGGATGGTTGAATAGTGACGACGCTCTTCGATATTGATTCTTGGGCCTTGGTGCGTCCCAAAGTTCATCCGTTTCCATTCTCGAATTCTTCCATTTATTTGGAGAACCACCCCGCCCTCCGCATTATTCTATATTCATTAGGATGGACACCATCCGGCCTTCTCGCTATCATTCCCGGAACGGGATGGTGCTAGCTCTCTTCCGATGATGCTATGCTTGAAATGTCGAAGAACACTTATAAGAGCTCCCGAAGAACGAGCAGATTATAAGCTGCTTTCTTAGTGCGATGTATCAGATCTTCGAAACCTATATACTATTACAGAATTTCTGGTTACCAGATAGCTAATATGGATTCATCAGCTGGTCCTCTAAACTTAGCTCATGATGATAGAGCTACTATACTCATCGGTGTAGTATGCCTCGTATGCACCATTGCTACAGTTACCATAGGGCTTCGATTCTATACTCGTTCCTGTATGCTCAAACAAGTCGGCGTCGACGACTATCTGGTATTAGCTGCATGGGTCAGTAGTGTACGAACATATCATGGCTAGCAAAAGCTGACTCGGCTCCTACGTGAAGGTATTTGCTCTAGCAACAGGAATTTCCCAATGTACGAGTGAGTACTCCATAACAAGCCTCGGGATCGAATGGACGGCTGCTCATTATCCATAGATACACGTAACGGACTTGGTAAACATGTGTGGGACTTGGATAGCGACGTAAAACGTAGGAATTATCTAAAGGTGCGCTATCTGCCCCCCCTGGTGAGAGAGGCTTGCCACTGACGAGTAGATATTCTAGGGCTTTTATGTCTCTATTACGCTTTACAATACGGGACTTCTATTCGTAAAATTGACATTCTTGACACAGTACTACCGAGTACTTGCCATCAAGAAGATGCGGACGACGTTGATAACCGCCATGATACTAATTGGCTGTTGGTCTATGTCCCAAATTGCTGTCGGTATCTTTATCTGCGATCCAGTTTCCGGCTTCTGGGAGAAATCGGCTGGGTCTTGTATAGGAAATTATCCCCAATGGTATATCAATGCAGCGGGAAACATTGCAACTGATATTGCAATTTTCGTGCTACCATTGCCGGTTCTCAGGCATCTGCATTTACCCAAGGCTCAGCGACTTGTCCTTATTGGGATCTTCAGCTTCGGCTTTTTGTAAGTTGCAAGATTAATTGATTTTTGGATCGGGGTAAGCTAATGAGCCATTAAGCACGTGTGCTATTTCTGTTATCCGTATTAAATTCCTCCAGTTGGGGGGCGACTTTTCATACGAAAATGTTGAGGGATCTAGCTGGTCCATCACAGAACTATGCTCTGGAATCATCTGTGCGTGCCTACCTACGCTGCGACCTCTAGTTTCGAAATGGATTCCTGCTCTCTCGAGCCGCCTACATAAACCGGCAAGGAACTCGTGTATGGTAGTCACAGAGATGGGGAGCAGACACGTGCGTGGGAACTCGGACGCAAGCAGAATGTCGAACATGAAAGGAAAGGACGAATTTTTCTATTCCTTTGGTATACAGGCACGCCTCAGTGACAGTCTGGAAAGTTCAGACGGCTCACTGGAAGCTGGGAGAGCGCGTGAAAGCCTATCTAGCTACGGAGGAAGTTCGCCAACCCCGCCGCCGTGTGCTCATATCGCAACTCGCGCCTCTCATCGACCAACGGCCTATTACAATTGGATGAAGTCATCCGTTACGACAGAAATTGGCACGGGTGTCCGAGAAAACCAGCAAGATTCTAACAAGAATCTTTCCACTACTGCTATCCAGGTCCAGCGTGACGTGGTAATGCACTAGGTAGTAGGTAGACTCCGAGTTAATACAAGTAAATAAAGCAAATTTCCGAGAAGTATTACAAGTAAGCTAGCGCAAACCCCGGGTATCTCTATAGTAATTCGCTCCGTCTATAATGCTATGTGGAACAGGAAAGAAAACGCCTTAGAACTTCATATTTCTGAAGGAGGCCTCATGCACACGTCGTGGAATAGCGTTTCGCACCGAGCGCTCTTCATAATGTTCCCCGTCGTTCCTTTTATATGCTCGAAGCTCGAATCGTTACTCCCTTCGCGGTGCCCGTCTCCAACATGAACGTCACTGACATATCCCAAATCGGCCGGAGGTTCGTAATGGTTGAATAATTGCGGGTTGACAACAATGCACTTTAGTTTCTCGTTCTTACAATATCCAGACAGAGCAACATCAAACGCTTCATTGCCGCCCCGCGATAAAAGCGGTACCATTTTCTGTGCACCCTGCTTCGTCACGCCGAATCCGAAAGTGCAAACGGTCATGTGGGCTGCCTGGACTTGACGATGGCCTTCAGTCAGCTTGTCCCTTACAAAGCGCTTTGACCATCCCGAGTATAGCGGAGTCTCGCAGCGGGTATCATCCGCGAAAAGGCGAGGCGGGGGCAAGTCGTCTGTGATGCTTGAGCCGCAGTGGCCAAGCCACAGGACATCCCAGTCGGTCCCAAAGGGTGTAGGATCGTCTTCGGCAACGCCCATGTAGGCGCGAACATTATCGGACACGAGCCTCATTTCCGCCTTGATCCGAACATCCCAGTCGACGTCGTCTTCCACGATAAACGCAGTCTCGAAGCCTGATGCTATCACATATTTGAGTAGATCAAGATGCGCAAGCCAAGCTTTGGCCGAGCCGGGCGCTGGCAGCTTGGCGCCCTTCTTATCTGCGCCGAGATTCCGGAAAGCTTCGACTAGCTCGTCGGAATTCTGCCCCTGGAGTGGAATTGTAAACTCGAGACCGGTGAGTTTAGCGGCTGCTTCGAGGCCTCGGGTCCTCCAACTAGGTTTATTCGGAAGCACTACTAGTTTTTGGAACTATGCGCGGGTTAATATTGTCGAAGTGGAATAGTCTAGGATAACGAGATATCGCTTACCCCTAATGTGGCGTTCGCTGCCGTCTCCCGGGGAGGTTGTGTGATGCGGAAGTTCGGACCATTGTGTAACTGCGACAATAACCATAGACTTAAGATGAGAAGTATAACGGTCAACGTAATAGATCTTCTATTCCGCAAAGTAGTTCCATGATTCGTCCAACTCGACTGAATCATATCGTGATAGCAGAGAAAAGACCCGGGTCGCAGTTACGGTGCGGTTAACAAGGAACCAAAGGAGAAAATAGACATTCTAGAAAACATTTGAGGCACAGAATGGAACATGATGGGAAAAGATATGGGGTAAACTGACAATTGAGTGAATTCTCCAGTTCGGAGATAAAGTCTTACCGTTCGTTCCCTCGTCAGCTCTGTAGATCTTGACTAGATTATGTCTACCAGCTGCTATAAAAATAGGTGTGTCTAACCGAATCAACCAGTTCGATACGCAGGATACGATATACCTAGTCTAACCGTTTATTGGGTGCTATCCACCGCAACTGCATCCCTTAATGTAACCCATGCTGCTTACGGCTATGTCACGGTTATCACGCCCGCTCGTACAGCTGACATAAAGGGACTTGAAACATGGTAGCCGGCTAACGTGATGCCGGTTAATACGGTCGACTTTGGGGTAGTCTCTACTTTAGAGCCAATAGAGAGCCAACTCACCAATCGAAGAGATCAGAGCTTTCTATTGCACATTTACGGAATTAGCCTCATTATCAACTCACATAAAGCCGCTGAGCCTCGAACGATCACGAGGTGCGGCCTGCGTATGCATCAATGCAGAGTAAATGGAAAACGGTTGCTATCATTCCGAGAAAGTATTATCGTGATCTTGTACCGTGAATCTAGCTTCCTAGATTTTCTGTAATACAGTTGGCTAGGTTAGGTGGTTCTTCGCCTCCAATCCCACTTATTAGTCTTATTATGCCCCCTTTTCCAGATATTAGGTACCTACCTTAGGTATGGATACTATCTTCTCAGATTTGAAACTTGATAACGGCCTAAGTTAAGCTATCGTGATTTACAACGTGCTCGCTTTTCTCTGCTGCTAATCGCCCCAATTGTGCGATGGTCAGATTTCCAAGAATCTGTACGACGGGGATATCTGAGCGGAGTTCGGTCGCGAACCAATGTAGGAGTTCGACTGCTACCAAAGAATCAACACCGAAAGCGTGTGGCGGTCTGTTAACATCGATATCTTCCACGGGCACCGCCAGTGACCGTGCCAGACGCTTTGAGAGCAATTCTGTAACCACAACTGATGCTTCCTCGAGTGATTTGGCGGCTCGCAGTTGAGAGCTGACTGGACTGGCCTGAATAACAGCCGCCGACGACTTCACGTCTTGTTCCATTCTGTAGAGGTGCTGAAACATTGGCATTCGCATCCATCCGTGCTCTTCGATGACACCGCCGCGTCTTACGAACGCTGGCGTGGACATCGCGCCAATAACTTGAGTCTCCCAAGGGTTGCTTATGCTCAAGCTGGGGTTACATGCATACTTCAGCATGAAGTGAAGCTCCTTTTCGTTTAGTAACTTATAATCTATGTATGTCAACGCCAGTGCCTGCGCTATATCGATGCGTTCTGCGATATAGCCAATGTTCGCAACAATTCCGAGATCTAGGGATACGCAATGCTCTCCTTGCGAATGGCGGAATCTCGCGAAGGCGTCAAGGAATGAGCTTGCTGCCGCATAGCTGCTTTGAGAAGTTGCCCCGTGGACGCCGGCGAGTGACGAGAGTAGCACGAAGAAGTCTAGCCCAGACGGAAGATGCTGGTGAAGATTCCAGGTCCCTTTAACTTTAGGGTCTATAGAGGACTGGAATTCTTGTAGTGTATACTCCCGGAATACCCGATTCTAGACAATGGGTGAGCGCGTTCGGACTTGGGAAATGTAATAATGGATTTAACTTACCTCGACAACCATGGATCCTTGGATACAGCCCCTAATAGGAGGCATATTTGCGTGGGCGTGACGAACTACCGACTGTACTGCGCCAGGGTCTGAAATATCGCATTGGGGTGCATAAACACAAACGCCGTCGTTCTCTAATTTCGATACCAGTTTCTTAGCTGCGGGTGTTCTGACGCCCGACCGCGAGAGCAGAATAAGATGTCTTGCTCCGCACTGAGACATCCATGCCGCGACGTTTCTCCCAATTCCTCCTAAACCACCTGCGATGACATAAGTAGCGGTACCATCGAACTCGTAGTCGAGTGGGCTTTTTGGAACGACCTAATCGCCTATTAATGCATGCTAAATAGATACTACTTGCAAGGAACCCGTGATTTACCTGTAATATATCTTCCTGTTGCCAGTTGACTACTGCCTTTCCGACGTGCTGTCCGGTTTGAAGGAACCTGAATGCTTCTTCGAAGCCCGAACGCTTGAATATCGTCAAGGGATACGGGGCTGCGTACTGCCGCGATGCCGTATTCAAGACAAGCTCTTCAACTTCTTCCATGACCTGTTTTATCAGGCCATTATCTGATTTACTGAGAACCGCAAGATCAAGCGAGCAAAATGAAACGTTTCGCCTAAAAGGCTCCATAGGGAGGTTCTTGAAGGTTTCAATATCACGCTTTCCCATTTCAATGAATCTCCCAAAGGGTGCGAGGCACCTCCATGTTTCTATCAAAGCCTGGCCAGATAGGGAGTTGAGAACGACGTCAATCCCCCTACCCGATGTCATCTGCATAATCTGCTGCGCGAATAAAGTAGACCGACTTGAAAAGAAATGACTAGCATCAATGCCGTACCGGTCGATTAGCAGCTTTTTCTTTGCTGGGGTGCTGACGGTAACGTATACTATTGCACGAGCTCTTTGAGCTATCTGGATAGCAGCCTGGCCAACAGCTCCGGCTGCAGCGTGGATCAGTATACTCTCCCCCTCCTTTAGTTGGGCTAAATGGCACAACCCGTATTGAGCAGTAGCGAACGCAACTGGTATGGCGCACGCCTCGGTAGAAGGGATAGTATCAGGCACTCTCATAAGATGGGATTGTTTTGCGCGGACACGTGTGCGAAAACTGCCATCTACAATCCCGCATACTCTGTCACCTTCACGGAAAACTCCATTTGACCCTGGGCCGATTTTGGTGACCACGCCGGCGAACTCCTGACCGATATGATCGTCTGCAACCTGGTTCAAGGCTACCATGACGTCTTTGAAATTGATACCTGTCGCTTCAACAGAAACTTCAACTTCGCCCTCTTGGAGAGCTTGTGATGCTGACGCGTCTGGAGCAAAGTGGAAGGAATCAAGTAACCCCGGGACGAAGCGTAATTCTAGCATATTATCGTTCTCGGCTTGTGTGCTAGAGACTGTTACTGCTTCTGGTTTCAACCCATGAAGTTCTGAATGTAGAAGCCCATTTATGTATGGTGATTCTATGACCCTGGGGATGTATATCATGCCGCCTTGCTCCAAAAGGTCTGTTTCCTGATCTTCTGGGGGTATATCGTAAGTACGCTCAACAGCGCGCAAGATAGTCTTAGTCTTATGATCTCCTGGCTGGACGTTGAGGTGTATAAGAGTAAGGTTTGGTATTTCTCGCATGATGGTCTTCCCGAACCCGGAGATCATGGATGCTTCCGGCTTCACTGGGTTCGCTCCACATGCTTCATTAACCCAGAGTATCTTGCGGGAAACTTTTGATATTTGTTGGAGCACCGAGAATTGGGTTTCTGTCATTCGGTCCATTATAGGGGCACCTAATTCTAGCAGGGATATACAGAGATCGTACACCGAAGCAACCGAAGACAGCGAATTGACGGAAACTATATCGCATAGACTTGTGGGCCGAGAGTAGATATAGGTCTGGATCGTCTTGGCTAGACCAATCTGCTCTGTTGTTTCTGCCACAATGATAACCGACTGATTGGAATTGTGTACTGTGAGAGATGGCAAATGAGATACCATGAGACTCAAGCTATGATTTTCCTCTTTGGTATCATCAGAAAGCGATACGCGTAAACCATCAAATCCGGCGCGCTGTAGGGCATCGCTCCAACCCTCTTTGGTCAAAAGGGGTCCAGAGGCTCTGTATTCTTCCGAAGCTTGGTATAAGTATTAGTATCTGCAGAATCCCGTCGTAGGGGGGCAACGTACATAGCCACCACCCAGGAAGGACACCCGAGAAATAAGGAATAACTATCATTTGATGGTTGGTAGGTTCCGAGAAGACGAGTTGCCCGCCACTATGTACTCGTTAGTTTTAAGATGTTTACTATGATTTCACTGAATCCTTACGGTTTGAGTAACTTCTTTACATGGGCTAGCGTATCATTAATACTCGTTGTAGCGTGAAGTACCTGCGATTATTAGAGCACGTCCTAAATAGAATCTCGTATTAAGACTAGAGGGACAGCTTACAGAAGCGGCTATCACAACGTCGTAAGAACCAGGTTCAAAACCTTGTTCCACAGGATCGCGTTCGATATCTAGCGTTTTAAACCTCATATAGTCTGGGTACCTCGAATACTTCTCCTGGGCCTTGGCTAGGAAGCTGGGTGAAATGTCCGTGAAGTCATATCGCGTAAACCGATGCAGGGTTCCAAGGAACCCCCCCTGTCGTGATAAAGTGTCTAGGACGACACCTGTCGTGCTGCCGGTCCCTGCCCCGATCTCGATGATGTTAATATCGGAATTCTTGTGTGCTACGAGATCCATATAAGCGGCTAGTCTATGCGCTGTAAACTTGAACGACAAGCTTTGGTAGAAGTCTGCGATGATACCGCTGTTGAACAAGAAGTCGAGTGGATCAACCTCGTCCGTAAGAATCTGCGTCAGGTTTCTGCCGAAAGATACGATGCCGGCCTTGCCAGCCGAGCTAGCTGCGAACTCGTCTATCAAACCAGGCCGAAGCTCGTCCTGGTTGAACTCTGGCCACTTCTCCATAAGATCCGTAGCAGATAGCTTTCCAGCTCCCATGGATTTGACCTGTTGTATATATTTTTGTAGATGCGGCTTTGTAGTAATATTTGGCGCGTGGGCAATGGATTCCAGCGCCGTAGATAGGAAATAGTAGCAGATGATTTCAGCCTCACAATCCATCCCACTGCCACTTATATCGCGTGTCTGCTCTTGGCAATATCTTTCTATCTCATCTCGAGAAAGCAAGTCAATATCCGGTCTCCATTCTAAGTGATGGAAGAGGGTCTTTTGTTCGGTTTCGTTATCCCCCTGGTGTTTGGTGGCATGGAAGCTGGAATGTCTACAGCCTTGAAGCGCAACAAGTGGAACTCTTGTAACACTATCTACGGCCGTAACATCACCATCCATATATGAAAGCCCGCGATCAGTAACTTTCCCATAAAGTAGCATCGTGCTCTCAGATGTCCCTTCCAACAGAGAATGGGAAACGTATACGTTAGAAAACTGCGTGGGCATCATGGGAGGCAGAATTTCCCATTCTTTGTGGGCAGCAGCAAAGATTACATGTAGTAAACCGTCGAGGGTCGAAGGGTGAATAATGTGTTCACTCAATTGGTTTTGTTCCACGAGCCTAGTCCATTGTTCGAACTTGATGCGTGCTGTCGCTTCCTTATTTTTCTCATTCACAGATATGTTTTCAAGCTGTCGAAATTTCTCACCGAAATCTGCCCCCTGTTTATAGAGAAACTCATAGAATTGCCTGGAGCCGATGTCTATTTTGCAGTGTTCATCGAACACACTGAAACGACTGTCTTGAGATGCGCTAAGGTCATCAGATGTCCCCAAGACGACCCCAGAGGCAGCTGATATCTCGACCGAGACTTGGCCCAGGCAGTGTAGTTTCCACTCGTCACCTAAAACGGAGTATATCCAGAAATCCCAAGACGTTGGGCTTTTACCAGAAGAAAGATGGTCACGAGAGTGCATATGTAGTTGTGCCTCAATTCCTTCATCAGTTTGGGGTACAATAAGAGCACTCATTATATTCACATCCCTTAGGCGATATCCAGAAACCCCAGACATACTTGCTGTCAGAGCTCGGATACCTTCGAGCACCATAACTAGCATTCCGGCTGCTGGGTACAGAACCGTTCCTTCGATCTGTGTTATGTTAACCACTTTGCATTATAAAGCCTATGACTGGACTTGGATATTATTAATTACCTTGTGATCTAAAACCCACGGGAGATCTGATGCTCGTATTGTGAATCGCCACTTGGGCTCCAGTGGATTCCAGTCCGTGGAAGGGTTTCCAAGTAGCTCATGGCGTGGCTTTGTGCGTAGGCGAAGGTTCTTGAATAACCTGCTTTCGAGCCAGTAACAGTTAGAATGGTTGAATGGGTACGAAGGGAGGCCAAGGACCATTCTAGGCTGGTATGATTGACCGTAGTGGGTGTTTACGGCTTGGATATCAATAGGATATCTATTCATGAATAGCCTACCGACCACTTCTTTTGCCGTCTTCATGCCAGAAATATTTCGATGAAGGACAGAATCATACAGGTAGTTAGCCTTCTCACCGATGGTCTCCTGAACAGCACGCTTCAAGGTGCAATGGGGTCCTATTTCGATGAAAAGAGGTGCCGACCCAGACTGGCTCCCCTGTGTCTTATGCTTGATGGAGGATAATATCATAAGTTCAACAGCCTCAGAGAACTTCACCTGTGACACTAAGTTGGAAACCCAATAATCTGCCCCAAGTAGAACGGTTTCCTCGGCTATCATTGCCCCTGTGACAGAAGAGTAGAAAAGTGGAGGAGAGGAGTTAGCACTCTTCGGCATAGATGATAAATAACCTTCAAGAGCATCCCTATAGGTTTCAGAAACATCGTTCATTTGTGTCGAGTGATATGCTACTGCTACTTCGAGCTTTCGTGCGAAAACGCCGTCGGACTGTAACCGATGTGCAAGTTTATCGATGTATATCTCCTCGCCTGATAGCGTCGTGTTTCTAGGACTATTGATGCACGCGCATGTAACAGCATCCTTACCACCCTCATTAAGAACAGCAGCAATATAAGGGGCTAGTTCGGATTCTGATAAAGCAACCGCAAGCATAGCTCCTTTTGTAGATCGCGGGTTTGTTAGAAGTGATGCCGCGGCCTCGCCTCGGAAATATGCGATTCTCCAAGCGGCTTCCCTTGTGATTGCGCCTACACAGTATGCGGCTGCAATCTCTCCCGAAGAGTGACCTAAAACGGCTTGTGGTAAGACCCCCCAAGATCTTAACAAATCCACTATTGCAATTTGTAGTGCTGTGCATAGGGGTTGGGCGAGTCTTGGGTTATTGATATTGGAGGAAGATAGGGGCGCGCATAATTCCTCTTAAGATGGTTAGCCAAAGCTTAGTAGTCTTTTTCCTTTCGCGTACCTAAAAGTGACCAACTAGACCCGACAGAGCGAATATATCTGTCAGCTTTCTGAAGACATTCCTCGAATACAGGATATTGGAGAAGTTCTGTGCCCATCGATGCCCACTGAGCTCCCTGCCCTGTGAAAATGAACTGCAACTCGGGTGTCTCGACAACACGTATCGGCTTCTGCACTGTACTCATAAGATTTTCTCGCAGTTCTTCGATAGAACTACCCAGGACGAAGGACTTCCAAGGAAGTAGGCTTCGCTTATTAGCCAATGTAAATGCAAGATCCTGTAGGTATTGCGGTCGAAACTCTCCCTTGAGGTTTCTCAAATGGGTCTCAAGTGATGCAGAGAGTCGTTGAATTCCCTTCTCGTCTGCAGCCGAGAGAACGAAGAGGAGAGTGTGGTTTTCTACGTCACCCAAGTCCTCTCCTATAGCTTGTTCGTCGGCGAACTTATGTCCGAATACGTTATTCTCACCAGCTACAGAAGTGGTATTATGTAGTCCGTGTAACCCTTTGGCTTGTAGGAAATGAAGCGCATCGTCGACTACGACATGAGCGTTCGTCCCACCAAAGCCGAAGCTATTCACGGAAACTCGCCTCGGGCCGGGCTTTGGCCAAGGGATGGCAGACTTTGGGAACTAAATATTCCATTTAGAAGTGAATCAATGGGGCTGAGAGGATCATATCAGGTAGCTTACGTTGAAGTGCCACTCTGAATCGTCTATCGCTGGATTTAGGCGGTCTAAAAGGGCGTTGGGAGGGATGATTCCTCTCTCAAGCATCAAGACGGCCTTGATGACTGCCGCTACTCCTGCTGCTGCTTCGAGATGCCCAATATTGGCCTTGACGGACCCGAGGTAGAGAGGATTTTCCGTGCTATAGTAGCCCGAGAATACTTGACTGATCCCTTGAGCTTCAGTCAAGTCACCTATGGCCGTGCCGGTCCCGTGGGCCTCAATGTAGTTCGTAGAACCAAAATCAGAGCCTATCGATTCATACGCTTTTCTAATTAGAGAAGCTTGGGCCGCTAGGCTAGGCTGTGTGATAGAAGGTGTGCGGCCATCTTGGTTAGTAGATGTCCCGCGAATTACGGCACGAATAGTATCGCCGTTCTCAATAGCCTTAGAGAGACGTTTGAGAACTAGAACGCCCACGCCCTCACCTCTACTATATCCGTTTGCTCGTTCATCAAAGCTGTAGCAATGGCTATCAGGGGATAGAAATTTGAGTCTCGACAACGCGGCGGACATCGACCTGGGTTCAAGTTGCAGTTGGGCACCGCAAACAAGTCCCTAATCAATAATCAGCATAAAATTGATATCTAGAAGCAAACTTACCATTTGAGACTCATTGCGTAACAAACTTTGGCAGGCCAGGTGGAGACCAGTAAGAGTGCTTGAGCATGCAGTGTCAAGGGTGATGCTTGGACCACGGAAGTCATAGAACCAGCTTAGCCGATTTGACAGCATGGATGTTGAAGTACCCGTTGCTTGGTATTGTGCGTCGATCTCATCATCATAGGCATAGAAAGACGAGTACTCGGAAACCAAGTTCCCAACAAAGACTGACGTGGAACTTCCTTTTACGGCTTCTAAAGTCATTCCAGCTTATTACATTTGTTAGCAATTGGCCTTAAGGGAGCTTTACGTATTTTACTAACCAGACTCAAGAGCGTGGTAACTAGTTTCTAGTAGAAGACGAAGCTGGGGATCCATTGCCTTGGCTTCCGTACCACTCATAGTGAAAAACGGGGCGTCAAATGCAGAGATATCACCATCAATGTAATGGCCACCACGGCCTGACACCTGTGAGATGAGTTAGCTTTGAGTATAGAAGATTGGAAGGTGCCTAAGTGTTTTGTGAGGAGTCTAACCATATCCTGGCGAGTGGAACCGGGGCAATGGTGGCCGTTGATATCATATCGGCTTTTAGGTACTTCTGTCATTGTCGAGATGCCTTCATGGATGATCTTCCAAAAGGCCTCATCAGAGGCGGCGCCCTGAGGGAAGCGGAAAGAGAGCCCGACAACCACGACGGGGTCATCGTTCTCCCCTGCGTAGTTTTTCATTTTATTCTGGATAGGTACGCCAGTGAAAGGTATTAATATAGAAACTTGAATAATCTAGCAGCCGGGGGACTAGAAAACGGCTACTGTAAGATCCACGGGTAGGTTGTTAATTGCATTCTCATTATATAGTCAAATAAGGTTATTTCATAGTCCTGCAAAATAAAGTCTATATACACCGCATCGAATTTCTCCAATGCCAATGATTAGGTGTTTACCTGAGTAAGTGGTTCTAATGCAGTACTCCAAGTCTACCGTTCTCATCATCCTTCTACCTAGGACGTTGGTCCCACTCCAAATGATAATAGATACATCATTCCATGGGGGCCACAAGCCTCTTACTAGATCCTCCCGAAACTGATAATGTAAACAGAGGAGCCCTATTGGCTGTGTGGGCTATCGTCACTATGCGCTTGACAATATTATGTTGTGCTACCGCACGGAATAAGCTTAACTTAATACATAGACCTACGCATAATCCTTCAAGCTATGCTCGGTAAATGTGCCTCTATTAGGGTTAAATCACAGAGAATGAGGCCATTAACATGATGTGCTTCAATCATAGCATTATCCAAGGCCGTCTCGATGCCTAGACCATTCTAATCTACACACCTTAAGAAGCTCTTGAAAAGCTGACATGACCATCTCCTAGCTAGAACTTCAAAGTTTACAGAGGAAACTACCTCTTTGTCGATTTACTTGGGTAATAATGGCTCCCCTTACGACGAGTGCACGTCAGAACCTCACAGCTACTATTGTTATGCTCTGTTTCGCTATAATAATGGTCCTTACGAGATTCTCGATCAAGCTCGTCTATCGGCAGGGCTTTTACGGTCCTGACTGGTTTTGTCTTATGTCAACCGCTTTCTTTACCGTTTATTGTGCTCTAATCATAAACTGTAAGTATTTACCTAAGTCTGTTTATTTACAAATCTGGTAACCTAGATAGATGCTGGCTAACACCCCGAGCTAGTTATTTTCAACGTTTCGGAGGCCCACGCTTTTGACCTTGACATAAGACTTGGGATAACTGAAATGATGAACATACTGAAGGTCCGAAAGCCCACCCCCGCAGATGCTATTTCATTCTCATTCTTAGATAGCTTTCTTACTCAACTGAGATACTATTCACGTTTGGTATCACCTCGGTAAAACTCAGTATCCTCTGGTTTTACTATAATTTGTTTTCCGTCAACCCTCGGCTTCGCATGGTAATCAAAGCGGTAGCGGTGACTTGCCTTATTTGGTTCCTTGTCGCTATATTTGTTATCGTTTTCCAATGCAATCCAATACGAGCATATTGGGAACATTTCGCCTTACAGCCTTGGTGTCTTGAGTCTCCGCGTGTCCTTCTCGGATACGAATTGACAAATCTATTCCTCGATGTAGCAATTCTATGTATACCAGCGGGTGTTGTATTGCAGTTGCATCTTCAAACCTCGAAGAAGGTAACAATTCTCGGTATCTTCTTGCTGGGGGCGCTGTAAGTAACAGATTGCTGATTACAATTCAGAGTTCTCACTTATATTTCTACGCAGTGTTTGTATCGCAAGCATTATCCGATTAACAGCGATATGGAACCCGCCCGATATTATTCAAGGCTGTACGTTTCCATTCGTCTTAGTATTTAGGTAACTTAGCAGGTGTTAATGGATTCCTAGTCAACTTCTCATTTACATTTATTTGGTCAACGGTACAGTTAGGCCTAGCAATTGTCTGCAGCTGCCTACCTACATTCGGACCTCTTCTCCCGTTACTTTCCAAACCATTTCCGTCTATACGGAGTTGGTACGAATCATTAAAACAACGGTTTTCGACCTCAAGTGGCTTGAATAAAACATCAAAAGCAAGTAGCGCCGATCGCCCATGGGCTAGAATAGGAGGTGGTCAGCATAACTTGACTTCGAGAACCTGGGCAGAAGGTGAAAATAATGATGGCTCGGAGGTTGCCCTTGAGCCAATGCCACAAAGAAGGATCCTGGTAAGCCACGATATAGATATATCTTAAACTAGCGAATGAGGGGTGGGGGAGAGGGCTTAAGTACCTCTGTAATGATTTGTACCTATAAATAGTATATTGTAGTTAGTTGATATTTCATATTTAATGACAATACCTCGTACGTTAAGTATACTCTGGCAAATGTCCTCATCTATATACCTTCCTCACATATAAATTCGTATGAGTGTGCCATGCTAAGATCACAGGCCAGTTTTGGGGTGCTAGGACCGTCTCCTAGCAGTTTTTTCAGGGGATGTCGGGGTAGTCTCCAAAGGTCAATCTAGATTCTCAGATTGTCTTACAGGGCTGTTCGACGTTGTAATATTGATGCAAGTGCTGTTACACGTAGGTACGGCATGCTATCCCCAACATCTAGACAAACGAATCAAAATACCGTGCTACCCTGCGGAAACTTATTTAGAGGCATCTTTTATGGTTATATATTTCGAACTACCCCAACTATATGCAAGCTTCTGCGAGCGTTTTAATTCATCTATTGTACTACGCAAACCTTTCTCTTTTTCTTTATTTTCTTAGCCTATAAACGTACCTCACCTAGGTATATGTGACATGCATGTACTATTAGTGCACCGTTGGTATTACATATTAAGTCTTTCTAGATAGGTACCTCATAATATACCTACCAGGTTGTAACTCATCGACCGTCCTAAGCTTCTGCCCAATTCTTTGTTCCCTTTCTTTGTTGTTCTTCCCCTTTTCGCTTCCAACGATTATTGAGCGCCTCAGGAGTTAAAGTGTACCGTATCTATATATCAGGTAGCTTATCATTCTTTTCTCTTCGTATGATCTGCATCCAATATTTTACCTCGCCATGGCTCCCCTATGGGCTGCTCAGCCTTTCAAAGCGAGTTATTGCATATTCTTCTCGCTAAAGACTATTCTGCTCTTATCAACATTATCAATCCGCTATGTATTCAAGTCTCTTCGCCCTATCCGCGAATTGGATTTCGGCGTGTGCTTGAAGATAGCGTTACTTCACAACGCTTTCCGCCTTTTCACGGCGATACGCTACCAGTATCCAAGGCAGCTGGAAGCTGGAAAGTTGGGAGACAGATTCGCCTTGATCTCCCCACCTGACCCAACGCTCTTTTCCGGAGCTTTGGCTTCTCCAGATATCAAACCGGCTCCTGTCGGGGCAATTTGGCACCCAAGTCCAGTTCGACAAGGCCAGGGAAATGGCCAAAAGGTCATAATACAATTCTCTGGCGGCGCTTTTGTACTTGGTTGGGATCCAAATGCGGCACCCAAACTCCTCTCCGGTTTTCTCACAACACACTTCAAAACGGCTAAACTATTATATGTGCAATACCGGCTAGCCGCCCCTGGAACACACTTCCCTGCTCCTCTTCAAGACGCATTAACAGCATATAACTACGTCCTCAGCTTAGGAGTTGCACCTGATGATATCATTCTCTGCGGAGATTCAGCGGGTGGCAATATTGTCATTGCTTTACTGCGATACTTAGAGACGTTTCCGGGAAAGCTTCCTTCGCCAGGTATATCTCCTATGAGCGTCTAATGGAACGAAATACTAACCTACGGATATGAAACAGGTGGTGCTATAGTGTGGTCTCCGTGGGTTCACGTGACATCTCATGCCGGCCAGGACTATAAGGATTCGCGGAACTCAGACATTGATCTCCTATATGCGCCCCTACTAGATTGGGGGGCAAATACATACATACCGAAGGGTGATCTGACCCCGGCAGCACAAGCGTTGATCTCGCCATTACATCACCCTTTCCAAACCAAAACGCCTATATTCATACAGGCTGGGACACACGAGGCATTTTATGATGCGATACGCAGTTTCTCAGGCGAGATGACTAATGTAGAGGGCAATCGAATTAGATTCCACGAGACAAAATTCGTTCTGCATGATCTTTTTTTATCTAACATGATACTACATATGGACACGAAAGTGCAGGCAGCCGTTGAAGATGCCCAGGCATTCTTCGAGGAAAAGACCTAAGTTGAAGGAATTATCAACGGACGACGCTGCTTGAAGCCTATGTGAGTGAAACTTAACGATGCCCCTCAACCAAAACTTATTGATGAAGGGATTTCTAGATACCTACCTTTCTTACTGCTTGGGGCTCTGAATTATGTGCGACTTCGGCCCACCTATACCTTCACGCAATCTCTCTTGCCGAAGTACCTTAGGAGGTAGTTAAGGTAGGCTTTGGAATTGCCTTTAAGCGAAGGTATAGGGGGGGAATGTATTGGAAGATCTCAATTCATCAGTTTGCCTACTCCAAAGAGCTTTGATGGTCACGGGGTACTGACTGGCATATTTCCCGTTGGACTCTTAAACACCAGTAATTATATTATATTATTCAGCGATAGTCTCGAGTAAGCTGAAGTGGCCTATCAAGTCGCACAATCTCCATGGGATATATAGAATAAAAATGAAGCGCAATATATGTCGCATATGTTAAGGTAGTAAATCCCCCCTCAGATGAGCTAATGTGGTAGATCCTGTAACGGGGAATTGATGTCCTATATCCATATCAAGTTCATTCAATCGAATTCAGAACCCCAGTCAATCAACTTAATACCTTTTCCTCTACCCTCCATGATGCATTCAAGTTTATCCTCATTTGTAACCCAACCTTGACGCTTTGTCCCGATGGCAAATCTGATTGGGTCGCGCCACTACAATAGTGATAAGTCAGTAATCCATTCTTCAACTAACGAGTCTTCGAATTTTTTGGGAGTAAATACGCCCCAATCAACTTGATTTCGAAGCCTTGGGCTCGGGGTAGACCAAAGGGAAATTCTAGGCGTTACGTACCTCCTCCCACCACGTCTTTTCACTCTGCACAACACACTTTCGGCCCTGCTCGCCATTCTTGCTCGTCGCGAAAGGCCACACAGCCTTAATGACCTCGTATTTGCTCTTGCTCGAGAATAGCGAGGTAACACTCGTTAAGAATTTATTGTGCTTGTCCGGGTTCTGGATGACGACTTTGGCGTGTGTGACGAGGAATTGTACCGTGACTTGGCCTTTGTAGTTTGTAGAGGCAACAAGGCTCCGCACCTGGCCTTCTAACCAATTTGTATCGAAGTTTGCTACAACCCGCTCGACCGTGAAGCTCTTTATGGTAGTTGTATCCTTGACGAATCGGTCGCACCACGCCTCCAGCCCGTTATCTACACCAAAGTCGGGCTTCAGCCCAGGTTCGCTACCGCCGCGAAGAGCCACCTCATCTTTACTAACACATCGGAGATAATCGAGACGATCCCTGGGGTCATTAGGAACGAGTAAGTTCATTAGATTCAGCTTGATACTAAAGTCGACTTTGCGACCACGGTTTCCTTGTATGATGAGTTGAGGCTTTGGCGGCACGGTGGCAAGGCTTCGCACGAGCGTAGCTAAGGCTCCGGCATTTTCAGATAGATAATTGGCTTTGCTGGTGATAGTTGTGCTATCTGGCGACAGCTCAAACAAGGGCGGTAAATATTGGCGATAGTCTAATATAGGAAGGCCTGGATAATATTGCGGGCCTTTCGGTAAATGTGAGCGGGCTTGGGGATCTAGAGAGGTATCCGAAGGACTTGAGTAAGGCGGCGGCTGGTGCGACGCGTTTGCCGTATCATCTCCGTCTGTATGAAGCTCTCCTGCCGGTAAGGAACCCCTGCTGGCTCCGGAGGGATCTGACGGGCGGTGGACTGGACCGGATGATCGTTTGGTCTTGTCGGCGACGATAGACTGGCGGCGATCCATTCCTGTAATGTTGCCAATTTATGTAAAAGATAATTGTGTTTGCATTTGATGGAATTGCCAAGCCTTGGAAGACCAGGGTTCAGGGGTAAAATGGGTAGGTACCTAGATACTTAGAATAGTAGCAAAGTAAAACAGCTATGTAGGAATATCATATAAATGGTCTCCTTTGATTTACTATGTAAGGGAATAAAAAAATAAAAAAAGAGAGAAACTCATCAGAATTTGAGCAATTGCAAAGATGTCTTGCAGAGTCAAAGCCGAAAGGCGATCGCTATTAGGATTGTGGCGAAGTAGAAATGACGATACGGAGCGAAAAGCAAAGATTGGTCTTACAATGAATTAACTGCTACCAACGAATAGCGCCCGTGGCAGTGTTTGCGCCTTGCACTGCGCCTGGTAGCCTATCTAAACACACTCGGTTAGAGAGAGCCCGGAAATGATAGCATAAGCCACAGTAGCATTTATGTAAGTCTATCAGGTATTCAAACAAAAGCACAGCCCTAGAAACTACATATAATTATGCAATTCTAGTTAATCCAATAACTCGACATCTACTCCAAACCAACCCAAGAACCCAATGGTTCCCACAGGAGAAGCCACCCTTCACAGCTTAAACGTTAGGTACGTGACTTGACTTCTTCCTCCATGTATTCAACCCAATATTGCGCGTCATACAAGTCCTCTTTCAGATGTCTAATTTCCGTACCGATAAGCAATGTCTTATGCTTTAGTTCCATACGTGCGTACTTCAAAGCCTTCTCATAAGCCCCGCTATCAAAGGCGTATCTCGAACATTCGCGAAGCCTATCATCATTGTCACTCTCCAAGTACTGTAAAGCAGAACATATGAGACTCAAACTTCAAAGACAGGTAGGTAGGTACCTAAGGCACTTACGTTCTACAGAGCTCCATGCCACATAGCCGTTGTCTCTTCAGAAGGCTTACAAGCTCCTCTGCAGCATTGAGGGCTTGGTTGGTTGTCTTGAGCTTAGGAATGCCCTCGAGATGTGCTTCTTCGGATGCGCCGCACTCGTATGCTGCTAGGGCTTGATCGAGTACCAGCATGCGATATCGTAACTTGTCAAGTGCATCATCGGTACAGGCCTTGCAGTTACAAGTGATATCCCATGTGGTATTCAATGAGACGGCACGTTGTTTGCGAGTTCGACATGTGTTGCCAACGTAATCTACGAATATTTGTTCGCCGGCTTTGATGTCGTGGATCGCATGTATAGTCAACCGCTCTAAAGTCGGGTTCCAAGAGTTGTAGGCGTTAGGGACGCAGGAATGGTTGATCTGGGAATATAGGGGGAAAACACCCGAGCCGTATTTTCCATCAGGCCCTAGCTGAACATTGTTGACGAGGTAGATGATGCAGAGATTGATTGCTTTGTTAACTATCCTCCGCATCTTTTTCCCCCTGAGCACACTTCCGTCGTTATTTTTCAACTTCCTACTCTTGTAGAAGAACCAAACTCGGTTCTCGACAAACCCTCTTTTTCTAATAGTATCTGCCACATTAGAGCTGCAAGGTAACTGTTCTAGCTCCTTGGATTCATTATTCGTCATTTTTTCGACAACGTTACACACCTCCCATAGCTCTTCCTCGATAGACTTGGTAGGTGGTATTGTGATCAACGGAGTCTCGGCAGCAATACGCGTTCCACGGGAGATGTTAACTTTCGCGAATATCGCTTTATTGGCGGAAGCTACTTGGCGAACTTCAACCATTTCCCACGGGGTGGCATCTTTACGGCTTTAGCGACTTTCCTAAGAAGGCTTTAACTTATGTATAACTCTCACCTTTTAAAATTGTGTCGTTAATATCCATGCTTGCGCGGTTCGGATATGCCGTTGATTCACTAAGTTTGTGTAATATGGTAGTTGCTAGGAACTAGATGTATTAGGTAGCTTTCCGGTATGATAGTAAATAACTAATAGTAGGTAGATAGCGGTAGATTATTATGATTATATACACGGGGCGGTATAGTATATTGTTCTTTAGTGCTAGGTTGCCTAGGAGCATTACTATGTGGTCTTTACCATACTTGATGTCTTAGTGTCTCATCTAACTAGGAGAAACCTGCCTCAGCGGCTTTAGGCCTTTGGTCAGTGCTTTCTGACACCAGATACACAGGTTGTTTATCATTTTCAACGCATGTGTTGCAGTGATTTTGTTCTACTCGTGTTAAATTTCTCTTTCTTGTAAGCTCTAAGAAACGCTTCGTCTCAAAGTGGCAAGCAAGACCGCCATACACAAAAGTGTCAGGGGGCACGGGACGATACCTAATATTCTTTCTAAGTATAGTCCCAAAATATTATAAATATATGCGTGTCTCCGATGAGACTATCTGAATGTCATCCGGATACTCAACTCTCGATTTCTCTCGATTCAGCCCTATATCTGCGATTGATAGACACTTGATAATCAATCACGCTAACTATCCTTTGTCACGACTTACACGTATACCTGCTCTATTAATAATGTCCTGTTTCTCTTACGGAGCCAGCTTTATGCTCTTGCATGACCGAGCGGATAATATAGCCGAAATCCGATGGGAGGAAAGGATCGACCACGAACGGGCCAATGATAGACTACAAGAGTATTCGAAAAGGGAAACACTCCACTCCTCCGTTCGGCGATTTTAAGTACATTTTTCATCTACCTAAACCTCTTCATCCTCGTCGAGAAGTCCTTTTGAGATAAGATCGACCGCCGTCTACTATACTCCAAGGCAGGATGTGTAATTTAGGCAAATTGCATCCCCCCAAGACTCGAGGATATCTATGTCATCGGTGCTTGAACGTAAAATACCAACCCGCAATTAGCTTGTACTTGAGCCACGGAACGTGTATTAAATTCATATAGAACTCGGCATGTCTTGCATAGAATAATGCCTAGTGGCCCATATCCCGGTACTACTACCGGACGCAGTTATATATAATCTCAAGTTGGCCCTCCTGAGCTGCTCCAAGCCTTCTTTATCCCCCAAGGAACCTGAGAGTCGACTTCATACCTTCAACCTATCGAATAGTCTTCAAAATGAAGTCCATTGCCGCTCTTGCTCTCTCCACGCTCGTAGCTACGGCTGCTGGCCACGCCACCTTCCAAGAGTTATGGGTTAATGGAGCAGATGAAGAATCTACTTGCGCTAGACTCCCCGTACGTTACGCATAACATTCTAATAAGAATACACGACATATAGTGATGAGCGATTATTAACATTGGAAAAGGCAAACAACAACCCAGTCACCGACGTGAGCTCAAACGATATCCGCTGTAACGTTGGGGGCACTAAAGCGGCTGCCGCTAAGTGTAGCGTAGCTGGTAAGAATAGGTTCCAACCATGTGGTTTCCATATTCTAACAGCATTTTAGCCGGCGACACCGTGACGGTAGAAATGCACCAGCAGCCTGGTGACCGTGACTGCAGCAGGGAAGCTCTTGGCGGAAACCACTTCGGCCCCGTCATAGTATACCTGAGTAAGGTGTCGGATGCTGCTACGGCCGACGGATCCTCGTCTTGGTTCAAGATCTTCGAGATCGGCTACGACCCTGCCACCAAGACCTGGGGTAACGACATCCTCAATAAGGGCTGCGGTAAACAAGACGTCAAGATCCCGTCCGACATCGCCCCTGGCGACTATCTCCTCCGTGCCGAAACCATAGCGCTTCACACCGCAAGCCAAGCCGGCGGTGCGCAGTTCTACATGACCTGCTACGTAAGTCATAACCCTTAAAGTCATATGTGGGAGTAGAGTTACGTGCGCTAACACGAGTGAATAGCAAATCACGGTCACTGGTGGAGGCTCTGCCAACCCACCTGGAGTGAAATTCCCTGGTGCGTACAGCGCCAACGACCCTGGCATCAAGGTCGACATCTGGGGCAACGGCTTCACCGAGTACGAGATTCCCGGCCCGGCTGTGTACGAGGGTTAGACTTCAATATCAAAAGCAAAGAGGTGCTGTTTCAAAGAGGCATAAGCATATGATTATGGCGTCGTAGAGAGCATGTGGTCGCATTCCCAACTATGTAAATGCATTTTTGAAGCATTGCATCGTTAAATTCAATAATACCTATATGCTTCGTTACCTCAAGAAATATTCGGTACGATATACTAGGGCATGCATCAAGTAAAACAATCCCCTATGTTAAATTTGAATATTCGCCATTAACTACACCGGAGATAATCTCGGCAAATTCACGATACCCACTAGTATTCACATGAACGACGCGCGTAAAAGGGGCGTCTCCGGGGATCCGTATAACAATAGGGTCATACCATGAAATCCGAGTAACATTTATAAATAGCACACAAATCGTATTCGAAGCTTCAAAGAGACCATGGCGACAACTAGCCCATTAAGGAGACATAACCCCTTTACTACGAAAACCTTATCAAATCTCAGGCTCATAGTATGGTATAGTCTGGTATCTTATTCTATGACTTGAACTCTATGATCTGTAACTTGGGGGTGCACTGCCCCAATATGCCGAAGTTTGATAATCCGGCCCCAACCATTCACATGTAAATCATTCTAAGCCGAAGCTCTCTTCCCTTCAAGCGAAGAGATGGCACATACTGTAGTGTGCGAAAACGAGGTAGTAGGAAGGTGCGTAAGGGGCATGGTTTCATTACGATTTGAAGGGGATGAGCAATAACATGAATATTAGGAGAAAAGGCTCCCCGATAAGTTACAGAAGAATATTACTCTGCTAGAGAATGTGTATGAAATACATCATTATTGTTCTCGGATCAAACGATAGCCCACCGGGCACTTTGTTAAGGAGCCATCCATCCTCGGTTGTAATCCGGCGGTTCCTTTTTATCGATCCTAAAATCGAGGTCTCCCATCGGTAACACTCTACATGGTGTCTAGTCATCCAGACTTCTTGAAGGAGGTATGTACTACTTAGCGGCATATGTTTAAACCTAAACTATATATCAGGTTTAGATACGTAATCATAAGAGGACCGAGGGCGGCGAACAGTGCACTGAATGAGTTTGCGCCGTGTTAACGATCTAAAACTACGTAGAGTTTGTAACTTTTATTTGTTGTCCGTGGGTATTGGGCCTAGCCGTTTTATAACTATCATATTCCTATCTCGAACTTACTCCCCAGGACATTCCGCCACTGTCAGGATTCTAGATGAGATGTTTAGAACAAATGACACTATTGGTAAACAAAATTATTTCCTTGCCTCTTAATACTCCACCTCAATGACAGCCACGTCCATGTAGACTTCGTGTAAACCCAGGATCATTGTGCGGTAGTGATATGAATCATCTCGGCTTGGAATAATAAATCCCCATGTAATTAATGTATGGTGGCCAAGCGAAGTGTCGAAACCATCTGTCATCGTCGAAAATTACTTTGTCATAAAGACATGGGATCGAGTATATTTGCCTATATAACGTTAGTTGATAACAGCGCTAAGAGAGAAACAATAAGACTTACATAAGTTGGAATTCCTTTCCGGTGTCCTCGCGGATTAATCTACCTTGACGATAACTGCTATCATATCTTCGTGTAGATAGTCTGGCTCGCGGTCACCGCGCGCAGTCTCCACTTTCTGAAACCAATTCAAGATCTCTTTGTTCACATAGAGAAAGTGATTGTATTTTGGTTTATTCATACCTGTCTTCTCTTCTGACGGTATGGTAGCAGCCCAACGACGGAACTCCTCGCGAAGTTCTAATATTGACTTGCTTTTTAAATTCTCCTCGTCATCTTTAGTTAAGAGCTCGAATCTCGACCGCAGGATTGTACGACGAAAGATTTTATCGAAGTATAGATCCCAGGAAATCTGAGGGTTAGGCTCCGGTTGTGGTTCGATGGCGCGCATTATAGCAGCTTTAACGTATGCCAGATATCTCTCCCAGAGTGCCTGGTCGTCGTAAGTCGTCCGGTAAATGAAGAGACCCCATTTCTGGTCAATATTGCTGGTTCCCGCCTCAAGATTCACCCCCGAAAGATAGTCCTCCATGTCCAATATGTCAATACTGCTGGTTCCCGCCAACAAAGTCAACGCCGAAAGAAGATCCTCCATGTTATTAGTACCTATTATTGTGCGAGTCTGGGTGGTCTGTTTGTGAAGTATCCCGTAGATCAAGAGCCTTCTGAAGACTTCCGAATTTCAAGTGAAGAAAAAGTTGTGAAGAAAGGCGAAGAGAAAACAAAACGGCTGGCTTTAAATAGTATTACCGGAGGCGAAGAAGGTTCATATTTGACCAAGGCTATCCCAAGGTTTGCACCTCTGCGGTAAGATTCCACCCTTGCGTTTGGAAAAGGCGAATTGAGAACTCAAAGATAAGTAATGGAAGGCAAATCGCGCTCCTAAAAGAGGTTTTAAGAGCCGTCAGATCATTAGTTCCTGCATTATCAAGCCCATGAGCCAATAAGCACTACACTAGGTACTTAAATGCAACCCAGCGATAGGGGAAACCCGGACCCCACGCGAATCAACAGAGCTCGCCGTCATCAGTAAGCAAGGATATCCGTCGTTTCCATTGAAAATGAATGCAGATTCTTTCCCGAGGTTTGGCACTAGTAATAGCGCTGCTAAGAAAAGAAAGCATGGCTATACAGCAGCACGAGTCAAAGGAACCTGATTCGTCCTTGGCAGACACTCCGCAGAGGCTAAGAAATGCCGGAGATGATCTTGAGGTTGCCTTACGTGGCACTAAAAGAGCTATTAAACCGCGCGTAAGTTTATATTGTCTTCGTTTCCTGGTCTGCCTTGAGGCTTAGAGTGCCCCAGCCGGGCCGATTGAGAAGTCGATAACTAACTTGCATTATCACAGCAAGCACAGATGCTTGTTATAGGTGGTACCATTGGCACTGGACTCTTTGTCGGGACGGGGCAGGCACTGGCAGTCGCGGGGCCTGCCTTTCTCTTCTCTGCGTACTTGGTGATCTGCTTTCTCGTCTACGGCATCGTCACCGCGATTGTCGAGGTCGGCGCCTATCTTCCGGTGTCGGGCATGTCCGTAGCATACTATGGAAATCGAATTGTGTCACCTAGTCTTGGGTTCGCCTTAGGCTGGTTGTATTGGTATACCTGGGGTATAAGCGTCGCGTACGAGATCACGGCCGCTGCAGTCGTGATAAGCTATTGGCCGACCACTGTCCCAGTTGCCGTATGGATTACGATCATGCTAGTAGTAATTATCGCATTAAACTTCTTTCCCGTCGGAGTCTACGCCGAGGTAGAGTTCTGGTGTGCGTCGATCAAAGTTTTCACCATCATCGGGCTCTTGATTCTATCGGTGGTCTTATTCTTCGGGGGCGGGCCAAACCATACTCGCTTAGGCTTTTGGTACTGGCAGGACCCTGGTGCAACTAATGAGTACCTCGTGGGAGGTGCCGGCGGCCGGTTCTGTGCTTTTTTGTTCACGCTTATCTATTCGTGCTTCAGCTTCAACTTCAGTCCTGAGTTGATAATTATCACGGCAGGCGAGATGAAGTCTCCTCGCAAGAATCTTCCAAAGGCCGCTCTGCATTTCATCTGGCGCTTAATCATGTTTTACGCCCTCGGTGCGCTTGCTATTGGTGTCATATGTCGAAGTGACGAGTCGGCGTTAACCGACGGTGGAAAAGGGGCAGCCGCATCTCCGTGGGTCATCGCTATCAAGAAAGCTGGAATTCATGCATTAGACAGTATTATCAATGCCGTGATTATAACATCAGCGTGGTCGAGCGGGAATTCGGTATTATACATGTCTAGCCGCTCGTTATACTCTCTTGCCATAGCTGGAAACGCACCTAAGATATTCAGCTATTGCAACAAGCACGGGGTACCAGTACATGCGGTTATAGCTTCGAGCTTATTGTCTCTGTTGGCATACCTGAATGTTGGTGTCGTCAGTGGCATTGTGTTTAATTGGTTTGTAAGTATCATTAACACAGCTGCATTCATAAGCTGGGTTTGTTGCTGCCTCATTTATTTCCGCTTCAAAAAGGCGTGTATCGCACAGGGTATATCCAATACTGATTTGCCCTATACAAGTGTCTTACAGCCATGGGCAGCTTGGATTGCTGTTGTAGCATTCGGTATCTTTGGGCTATTAAACGGTTTCCAGGTATTCTTCCCAAGCAAATTCAACGTATCAGGCTTTCTTACGGCGTACATTGGGATTCCAGTATTCTTGTTGATATATCTGGGCCATAGAATCTCAGTCAGGAAAGACCCTTGGATTAGGACACCCGAGTCCGTTGATTTAAAAACGGGATTGGCAGATATATTAGCAGATGAAGAAGCTGATGCCACCATTGAAGCGCCGATACCCTCTGCTAAACGTAACCGAAACCGGTGGCTAAGAAAGATTTGTATAGTATGGGGACGGTAGTAAAGTGACATTTACCTATTCAAAAACCACGGACTTCCGCAGTCACTAACTTACGCCGAGGGCCGAAGCCGAAGCCGAAACCGAAGTCGGACGTTTTACGCGTATAAGAAATGAGAAGGAGAAGAACCCTAGAGATCAAGTTATTCCTAAAGTAGCATGTCTTTAGTATTTAGATGTATCCGCGTTTTTGACAGTAGCCTATCAGCGAGGTAACGACGCTGTCTAATATAACGCATACTCATGTGAATATACACTTTCGACTAGCCTATAGGAGGTATATGATAAGCACATAGGTATAGAATGGCTCTATTTAATGCTGAGTAATTAAGCTCATCAATAGACGTTGGCAAGTCTATAATACTCTTGGCAAAACTTGGCTATTTAAGACTTCATTATTATTGGGTAATGAATTTTACTCCTCATATTTAAGTTGAGCTGATCCGACTACGATGATACACTACAATTCCCTTCAACATTTCATAAAGCTTCTCCACTTTCTCATCATTACTAACCTAGTCTAGTATTCTCACGACATGGCTCACCAACCTGCAACAACTAAACTGCCAGAGGAAGAACCTCGAGTTGAAATCATCGATCGCGAGGAGGATATAATTGCTGGATTTGACTGCGCCTGCAATGCCTTTGGGAACCAGGTTCGCGATACCCTTTGGATGGCTATGTATCCCGGATGGGACACTACCGAAGGTAGAGCTCGTGCCGCAGCAAAGCTGGTTGAGAAATGGCGCAATGTCACCTATGATAATCAGGGAAATGCAAATACAATTTTTCTCAAGGCTACTGTTTCTGACCAGGGACGACCAGTTGTAGCTGGCCTGGCAGTTTGGGACCAGTTATCAATAGTTGATGGCTATGGCGAACGGCCGTCTGATGACCAACGTATCTTGTCAGATATTAAGGCACTTTATCCAGACGACGAAGCCGAGCAACGTTACCTTTTCCAGGTTTTGCGTTCGTTTGTAAAGCGCCGTGTCGAAGTTGTCAAAGAAAAGGAAACGTCGCATCCACCGGCGGTGATGCATCTGCGTTCGTGTTCTGTCGATCCAGCTTACCAACGAAGGGGAATTGCAGTAAGATTAGTCCAATGGGGTCTCGACGAAGCACGACGTCGGGGTGGTTTAGAAGCTATTACCGAAGCATCGAGTAGTAAGTTGGGGGGTTTTTTTTTAACCCAATAGCATGTATAACTTCTGAAGCTATAATAACTAACTCGTATCCAGTGGGAAGACATGTATACTCCCGTCTAGGCTTTCATGGGGAAGGGCCCGACATGGAGTACGAAGTTGATAGTGAATTCCTCTCACGAGAAAGGCCACCCAACCTCTTTATGCGCACTGGAATCAGCCAATAGTGGTAGGATGCGTTCTAAATTCCACCCTTGCCTTGGCTGATATTCCAATTGCAAAATCAGTGGCCTAGGGACTACTTCCAGGTACCGTATAAGACATATTAACGAGAACGTGTATATAAGCTGAGCTTTTCCTTTACTTATAAAGAAGCTTGCTTTAGGTACCTAGGTAGTTAATTATTTACATGACTCATATACTATACTTTCCATTAATAATAGTTAGTATAATGCGCACTTGCACTCTGATGCATTTAAGAGGCAAGTTAGACATTCAAACAGGATTTTTGTGTGGAAAGGATAAGGTGTTTACCTTGAAAGAAAACAAAGGTTATCATACAATAAATAGATAGATATAAATGCCCAACTATATACTTAATCAATAGCATTGTTTATTGACAAAAAAAGAAACAATCAGGCTTTTACAAAACAATACTCTCGTTGTACTAAAGATATAATAATCAGAAATAGCCGGTAATTCTCTTTCAAAATGTATAATAACTAAATTCACAGACCACTGGTTCATCACTATATCTAATCACACTCGCGACCTCCTAGCCAGGATTAATTTATTCATTTTAATCGCTTTAGCTAAACCTTTTCGTCCCAATGGATCACTCAAATTTAGAATACAGGCTCGCAAAACATGAAGAACGTATCAAAAACCTTGAAAAGATAGTTCTTATTTCTGCCGAAGCTAATGTACAAATATGGAAACATATACCCAACGAATTTGAAAAATCCAGGGATGTAATAATCGAACTTCTAGAAGGAAGTCAAAATATAACAAACCCCAGTCAATTTAATAAGGGCCTCGAGTACTATAGAGACAGCCCCCAAAGCTCCACTGAGGCCAGCCGCGGCGCCCAAAGTTTCACCGAAACCAGTCATGGTATTCAAAGTTCCAATGTCACTATCCCCAGCATCGAAAGCTCTAACAAAGCCAGATACGAAGCAGAAATTGAGGAGATGAAAGCCAAGATGCTTGAGATGACAGAGGAGATGAAGGCCGAGCTGCTTAAGAAAACGGAGGACTGTGATAGAATCCGGACACTACTTGAAGATGAAAGAAATAAAAACCGAGCCATTGTTACAACTCTTCGAGATATTCAAGGCAACATCAGGGTTTTGTGTAGGATTCGACCCCCAGGAAAGGACACCCCTGCAGCAGACCTTGTAGACTTTGGTCCGCGAGATCCGGGTGAGTTTTCCTCGCATTGGGGGAAAATGACTATCGCCACTAAACGGATGAACGTTATGGGAGTCTTAGTCGATGACAACCCAAAGATCTATGATTTCGAGCGCATCTTTGGTCCATCGGATACCAACGGAGACGTTTTCGAACATATCAGCGACCTTGTTGTATCTTCAACGGAGGGCCAAAGGATCATAATGTTCGCTTACGGGCAAACTGGTGCTGGAAAAACCTTTACTCTTAGTCACAAAGGTTCAGACGCGAAACAGAACGGAGTGATTCCAAGGTCCATGGATTTACTGTTCGATACGAAGAAGAAACTAGAAGATGAGTTTGAAATTTCGATTTCGGTAAGCATCCAAGAAATTTATCTGGACAAGACCTATGACCTCTTGGCAGCAATTGAGACGAAACGGAGGGGGGAGGAGGTCCGACGAAACCAAGTTGGGAAGCAACAATTGCACTCCCATGAAGAGGCTCTGTCAGTGATAGATGCCGCGATGCATTACAGAGTAACATCGAGAACTGATATGAACGCCACTAGCTCTCGTTCGCATCTGATTCTGTCATTTGAAATTTCAAGGAAATCACTAGCAAATCCAAGGGAAGTTAGGTCTGGCGTTCTTAATATCGTTGACCTCGCGGGAAGCGAGAGGCCAAACGAGATGGGAACGACAGACACGATTCGTAGGGAAGGGATCATGATCAACAAGTCTTTGATGAGCTTGACTGGGCTGATTAGTTGCATAGCGGCCCGCAAGCCTGTCGTTTATGATACAGAGCTAGTACGAGCATTAAGACCCGCTCTCACACCTCAGTCAAAAGTTGTTATGTTTGTCATGATCAGCCCCTTGAAGAAGGACCAAGAAGTCTCTTTCCAGACCCTCGAAAAGGGGCGAGAAGCTTCGGCCGCAAAGATGGCTTCGGCTGACCTTAGCGGGAATCCTAGCACCTCGTCGGGGCCGTCTACGCGGGGTCGGGGAGGGAGTACGGCTTCGACGAGAGGTAATTCCCCATTAAGAGGTTCACTTACGACAAGAGGTACTTCCCCGTCAAGGGTATCAAGGGGTGGACAAGGCCGCGGCCGGAATTAATCAGGAGTAAATCGCCCGGGTCGGCCCTAAGCCTCGCGTCTTTGAGGGTTACTACTAATTAATTTCATAGTCTTGCTAAAAGACCGCAGTATGATAGTTGTTAGCATATTATTTAAGTTATCTAGTAGGTAGGCTACATATCATTCCCAATGAACACTGAATATCTTAGGTATAATTTAATTTACACACGTTTTAGTTTTGAAATAAACCAATCCTTGGGACTGAGCTTACACACTCTTAGTTAATTGTACATTGTAACTTGGTTATTTCCATAAACATATTGAATATATTTTCTTTGTCCCTAAACTCCTTTCTTGTCCGATCCTTTATCAACGATCCTGTCCCTCTGTTATAAAACACGTTACCGCTTACAAATGCCCCGTAGCTCTTACAAACCAGCCACCACGCCAAAGCCAGTCCAATATACAGGATGATTAGGTACTGACTAGGCGAATGCAGCGGTGAGGACACTAGTGCAATCTGTTAGACTGGCCTCATCGTTGCCAAGTAAGCTCATCTTTTCCATCCTACACAATATCAGTGAGTATGTTGATACTAAATATACTTAGGTTAAAGGGAGTGAAACAAAGGGGGAGACCTACGCTGGTACAAAAGCAGCAGCCCATGCTGCGGCATCAGAGCCAAAAGAATTCCAATCAGCGCTTGTTTCTGTCGAGTTGCTTAGGAATTTGTCGCTATTCAAACTAGCGGGGGCGCTTCCTTCTGCCGTCTCAGTGTAGAAGTTGGTATCCATCTCTTGCACCGTTGTATCGAGTGCGTTTCCAGCCAGGTCCTTGGCGGCGCTATGAGCTCCAACCAAAGCAACTAACTCGGTACTTGAGAAGCCCTTCGCCGCGAATGCGGACACTATCGATGTAGCGTTGTCATTGGCACCGGGAATCTGGCCCGTGGGGTTCGCTTCGGATGAATCTACTCTGCCCACTTTGACAGATATCGTAGGTAGGCCAGGGCAAGACGCTATTCCGTAGGCTATAGGTTGAATAAATATGTGAGCTAGGGGTAAATAACAAAGGAGGCATTGGGCAAAAGCTCACCAGCAGCAAACTGAATCAGATCCGCAGTGCCAACACTGAACTGTGTTGCCTTGTCACCCAGTTTCGAGCATATATCAACCATCTGGGCGTTTTCGCCACGATCGGTGCATTCATTCGCCAATATGATCGACCCATCACAGGCACTAGGAAAGCAGTCGTGAAATGCGAGTCGAATTGCCGCACGAGCATCATCGGTACACTTCCCGCTGCTGTCCAAGAATGTTTCTTTTAAGTCCGCAGCAACATCCGTCCATACAGCCGGGCATTGCGCTTTAGCAAAACCACTACTGGCTACAAGAGTTGCGAGCAGTGCCTTCAGCCTGAACGAATCCATATCGTCAAAAGCCTTATAAGTAGATAGATAGTATGGTATAAGTGTTTGGTATAAAGGTAATTTAGTTACTGGCAACGAGAGACAGATGGAGGGAAATTCAAAGAAGAGGATAGAGACGAGGAAAAGCTGATGAGATACCATTCATCTTGAAGGGATATCTGTGATATTCTCCTCATACTTATATGTAGAGTGACTCTATGTAAATATCCTAAGCGAGGCATGTCCTTAGTCAAAACTGTGATATGACGGCCTGAGAGTTGTTAGAGCCGTATCAAAAAGACCCTGCATACGAGTAGCTAGGCTGATGTCTCCTCGAGACCCTTCAAGGATATCTCCCCGGATAGCATCCGCAAAGGGGTGTAAAACGCCCAGATAAGAATGGAGCCACGCAACAAGGGACCAGCCAAAACTTCAGACGACACTTAACTTATACATCGAGAAGTGAATTAGCTATTCTACTTTGTAGTCCATTTCCCCTTCCATTACTTAAATCTTCGGGCTGAAAGTATATAGCACGATATGCTCACTGTTCGTAACAACAGGTGCTGGCCATAGGCCTAATTCAACTAACATATAAACCGTCTATAAGGGGCGTAGAGTAAGTAGAACTATCAAGCCGCGTGTTGCTGTTTTCCGTGTATGTAAATGATCAAACCTATCCCAGGGCCGATCATAGTCATGTCGCTATCGCGAGAATGATCTACAAGGAGACCTCTAAGCTGTAATAGGAAAAGTAACACAGCACCAAGAGATCTCGTCGTATTTTGAAGCTCTCCGACCAATGGTAGAAGCAGATACCTGCACAGGACGAATATTTAAAAGGTCCTACCAATGCAACGTGCTTACGACGACATAATGAAATGCGGCTGTCAGCGTTTCCTCAGAGCCGCGCTTAGACTCTTTACGTAGGGATAAGGTTTCTAACTTCATACAAGGGTCCCTCAAGAGCCTCTAGCGCCATGTTACCTCGCGGCTGCAGTCAACTGGAGTAGGCAGGGATCGTCAAAATTCTCCTAGCGCACCAAAGCAGGACGCGTGTTAATGAAACAATTTTCGCCTGATCATTAAAGAGACGAGGAGACATACGGGCCATCAGTACAGTACGCCCCCTGTAATAATGTTATTCAGCGGAACTTCGGCTGAGATCCTGAAGCGTATATCTATTGCCGCCCTGGGAGGTTGTTGTAGTTTTCTGAAAACGTTGTTTCGGAGTATTTTATGTTAGGTAATAAACCCTGGTATAATAGTTGAGATGCTTTAAAGGGCGTTGTTCTATTTAGAATTCGAAGCCCTGTCCTGTATCGTGCACGTCCGAAAAACTAACATTATTTCAGGGGGATGAACTGTAGTAGGGCTTGTGCTCAACCTCGCAGCTGCCCCCAGTCCCAGGTAGGATTTTCTATGTTTTGCTAGGGCTCATTACGTACTCCGGTACTTGGTCGCATTCGCGACGCAGGTATCATAGCGGAAATATATCACATTGATATCTATTTCAAACTGGGGCACAGGTCATACATACACAGAGAAGCGAGCACTAGATACCTACCTAGGTAGTCATCGTAACGATCCAGTTTGACGAGGAAAATCTTAGCTGTAGGAAATCCGATCTTACTTAACGTATTATCCAACGTTCCTGAGGTTAAAGTAGTCGTCATCATATTGTCTATCCCTTAACTTCTACATAGCAATCCGATAGGTCATGAAAAGGGTTAAAGACTTAAGTTGCGCGAATTATATCTCGAGAAGATTGGCGAATTTCGCCGAGAAGACTTTTCACATATAATAGACTTGTTAAGAGAAAATAGAATTAGAGTTGACGAATGCTTTTCTTAACTACCGCTATTATATACAGCTATGATAGTGTAACCCGAGATTAAAAGATTGCCTTAGTGTATGAAGTTAAACAAAGCATGGGGAATAATTACCGACATAAACTCTTGACAGAATGCTTGGCTGACATGCTGTGTAAACTTCATCCGAACCCGCAGCCCATATCTTCCCCACAAAGGCGGCATTGATTATTATCATTTACGATCTGATTGCCCAATGCGAAGAGTCTCGGTCCCGACCCCTTGTGCCATGGGCTCGTGCAGAAGTGGCAGCCCTAATTTCAGCTCCAGTCTTAGGTAACCAATCATTTCTTGTCTGATCCATGAGTAGATCTCTCTTCATGCATTTGAATCGTCCGAGGTCGAGGGGTAAGTTAAGACTTAGCTAAAGATCACTTTCGCGCAAAGGACTTATTTATTATCATATCGCGGCAGGCAACTAAGAAGAGATTATCTCATTCAAAACGCGTAAAGCAAATAAATTAAAAAAAAAAAGTTTTAAAGCAGGAATCTTAAAATATAGTTTTATTCATACTTAGGTACCTTATAAAATAACTATTATCAATGCTATGAAATGACTCTCTGCAGTCTAGACTCTAATGTCCTACCAAGAACTTTAAGGCGCGTAGTTTAAGAAATTATCTTGGCATGCAGTTGACAATTCAGGGGGCAAGCCTATACGATTATTACATAAGTGGTACCTAGGAAGTAGGTAGTTGCGCGTCCGTGCAGAAATTAGTCAGGTACCACATAGAGCCGCATATTAACAACAGCCAATCTTTTCGTCTTTACTATTATAAGGAAAGTCAACACCATCTCATCGATCAACGCTCGGGCTCCGAAATAGTCAAATTAAGCTATTTTAGTTGCAGTTCTTAGTTCTCCCGCGGTTTCATATCTAACAGTAGTCTACTCGACAGACTGTTGCTGTTGCTGCTATGAAACACCTTTTTTTCGGGCAGCTTCGTGCAAATGGTGCTAGCAGAGACATTTTCATCGATCTCAAAAGGTTATTCGCACCAAGCAAAGTGTACTCCGTGCCTATCTAGGTACCCAGTATGAAGGAGTGGAACGGGAAGCCACGGAAACAATTTCGTTGTTCCGCAAGGAATTCCAACCCAACTTTATATACCAAATAAGTCCCTTCTTCTAAGTAGATGTCTCGTCTAGAATCCCAACACCCAGTTCTCGAAGTCTGTTATATTAAGAGTTTTGTGTTAGATAAATCAGATAACGAATGTAGCTCCTCGTGCAACAACAAGAGTGTGTCCCATTTCCCCGTTACGCCCTAGCAAATATAATACGAGGAACGTATCATTCCCCTCGTTGGAAAGAAAAACGATCAGTTAATACACCGTCAAGCCCCTAAGGCTTGCTCATTATAGCTTAATCTTATTGTCAAAGCTATACTAAGACTTTGATATTTCGGAATCTTAGGTAATGGTCAGTAGTTATTAGGGCTTAAGAGAAATATATTCTCAGGTTTGATGCACAGCATGAAATCTGAAGATTACCTGTTATATATAAGACAAACGTTATCAGTATTCTAAACGAGTTATCTAGAACGGGCGACTGCGTTGAAGGTCCATTGCGGAATAACATATAACATAATTATTCTCATGCCTCCTGCCTGTCATGTGGAACCGAACAGTATGGAAACAACTTCGTTATTCCGCGAGGAACTCTAAACCTATCAAGCGAGCCTACGGCTCGTACACATACAAACATGTTCTCTGTTCTAGATGTCTCATCTAGACTCCCGATACTGCTGACCTCGAGACAGGCTCGGCTCGTTCGGCTTTCTCAAGTATAGGGTTTCCCTTGCCAAAAATATGAGTGTAGATGTAAATCGTACTTAGACTTATGACCATAGGGCCGAAGCAAGGCACTTGTAATTACATAGGTAGGGCAGGTTAGTTACCTAGGTTAGGTAGTTATATTAAGTAAACCCTATCCCTTATAAATCCGATACAGAAAATGGAATAAGTATATTAATAAAAGTAAAAGGGAAGCTATTTATTCTATTATTACGTATTATCAAAAGTCGTACAAGACAATAAACTACGAGCTACATCATCAAGTGCGGGTGAAATGACATGTAACCCTCAGCAAGTTTAGTTGCTCGAAGTTACTTACCTACCTAGGTACTTACCTATTTTCTATATCGTCCCTTAAGAAACCCCTATTAAACGTATGTTAACTCTTAATTCGGCAACTTCGATGTAAATATACCTTATGAACTCCTATTAAATTAATAAATGAGGGTTGGGTGCTTTCCCTCGCTCGGAGACAATATAAAAAGGCCTGTTAATAGTTTCCGCATTGTATAATCACTGCTGTTAAAAGGCATAGAAACAGCTATCAGCCCCTTACTTTCACTTTTCAATTCTAAGGATTGAGTATATCACTACAAGTAAGTGATTAGACTCCGTTATTGGATGTCTTCGATAATATCAATTTATAAGGATTACCTAAAAGACATTCACCGCTCCGTAGATATCACAAGACATAATGGCTGGAATACTCTGCACTGGGAATTATTCATTCATTCAGGTTTGGATAAACCCTACTCTATTCATAAAGCAGAAACCATACGCATGAGCGTGACAAAGCCTCCTCCACAACCACCCGTACCGATGAATGCGACCTCGAACTCTGTGGGATATCCTTTCTCGGCCGACGCCAAGTTCGTACGCCCCTCTATTCATACTTCGTTCTTAACCGACCGACCCCATCCGACGAATGGGTCACCAATTAGGCGACGTTCTTCTTGAGAAGCGCAACGAGCGCGTTGGGGTTTGCGCCGACGAGCTTCTCAGCAGGCTCTAGTTCGCCATCCTTGAAGAGTAGGAAGGTAGGCATGGCGGTAATTCCGAGCTCTTGGGCCAGGTCGGGCAGGTCGTCGACGTCGATCTTGGCGAAATGGATATCCTTGAACTGCTCCTCGTTCGAGTGGCTATTGTTATACGTGGTTAGCGACGCATTGCCTTGGGTAGAAGGATTGAGCAACTCTATTATAGGTTATAATAATAATAATACAGAGAAGCTCTAATTTGGCGCGCAGAAATATAGCGCCGCGCTTGTGAGGGATTTCGGATGTGGAACTCACTTCGCTAGGATGGGGGCAATGGCCTTGCAAGGACCGCACCAAGTGGCAAAGCAGTCGAGCAAGACGACCTTGTTATTCTTGACGGCCTCCTTGAAGGAGTCGGCGCTTTGCGCAATGTTAGCATTCCGTCGACATATCGGAGACACGGAGTATTATAATATAACAGAGCGGGGTTACATTAGATCTAATGCAGCCACTTTTTATGTCTCGGGAAGGGCTCAAAAACACATATGCGACTTACGTCTGGTAGTTGTGTACAGCCATTCTGGGCAATGTAGTATGGAACTGCCTCAAGGATGAGATATGCGACGGTCTGTAAAGAGATTGCCTAAAAGTAGACTGGGCTGTTCGGAACAAGTTTCTTGACATGGAGGGGAAAAATTGAATTGCAAGCGGGAAAAAGACGCGGGGTGTTTGGTGGGTTTTATGTATCTGAGGTATTAGCTCTTGTACACTATGGAACGGGAAGGAGGCAAGGCTGTGCCAAGAAATGTAATTGTAAGCTTGTGTTTCGTACGAGGTAACTTTAGCTAATTCACTCGGATCAATAATGCATTTAATGCGTTGCCGAACAGATCGAGTGTGTTACTTGCCGTTTCGAATGAGGAATAAGGCAAACTTAGCTGATGATGTAAATATTTTTTGATTTGTCAGTTCTTCTCATGACGTGATTCTTATTCTTTTAAATGTGGCTTATAAGCCGCTTTAGCTTGCGTTTCGTGGCGTTCAACAGTTACCTTCCACTAGGTACCTCCTAATGGAATGGAAGATACAGAATATTTCCCCGACCATTGCTAATCTAATTCCATAAAATATTCCAAATCGCATATCTCGTAAATGGTATTAGTAAGGGGCTATAGCTTCCTATGTCCGCGGTATTCAAAATACTACAAATAATCAAGGTTATTAATCACGTAGTGATCTTCTGTTCTGGAATATGACCAACTTTTAATAGCATTCGACACGTCATATTTTGAATAAGACGTTTCTGCATGGCCAAGCAAATTCCAAATCATCTCACTGCATACCTACCCGTGATCCTTTTGGGTTACACCGAAGAAAGCGAGAACCAGGCGTTCGGATTTATAAATTCTTGAATGCTACGGGAGTCTGCATGAATCCGATGGCGATCATATAAGATTCTATCTACATTTCACAACTCGCTGGGTCCTTGATGAAATTGATTGAAAACGAAATTTTCTTCTCTAGCTCGCAATTCTACAAGCATTATACTTCATACATGTACACAACGTGACCAACCTAAACTCCGACGTTATGGGCAAGGCAAGGGTATAAATGGCCCAAGTCGGCCTCGCAGATATTTCCGAACACCTCTAGTTTGAGTCGAACATCTAATTTTTCCCAACCCTTAACACCTGTTCCCTTGCCTGCTCGCCAACCTGGGCCCCTTCACCCAATCATGTCTATTTGAAAACCGGAAAACGCATTGCGGTCTGGTTAGCTAGTAACTCCCAATAGTCTCCCATACGAGCATGTGAGTTAACATCAATACTTCTATGAGAAGATTGTGGATTTAATGCGCTTGCCTAGCATGCACGAATCCTTAGCCCTGCCTAAGACGTATCAATTCGAATAGACCGAAGTACAAGCTACCGAAATTTAGGTCGGTCAGTGTGTGAAAAGACATCTATGCATCACTGTGGGCATCTCCCTGGACGCCTCATGAACCTCTGCGCTGCAGCAGAATATGAGTGGTATCAAAAACAGATAACAAAACCGCGCGCAATAAAAACACATAACCCCGGTGGTATCGCAGTATATCAAGAATAAAAAATAAAAAAACAAGCCATATTTTACCCCTCCTCCACATGTTTCCGCAAATATGAAGTAAAGAAGCCAATAGAGTCGTATGGCATATCCTAGGGGTGATATGCGCACCGAAATCCTTGAAGGAAGCGAATTTGGTCGGGTAGGTAGTGAAGCTGGGACCGCATTGACGCTGGGGGTTTCCATTTTCTTGGTTGACCCTGAAAGGGTGTAATATTCCGACCATTGAGCCAGGAGATAGACCGGATACTTTTTTTTATTTTTCAACTTTTTTTTCTGGTTTGGTGAGTTGAAACATGAAAAGAAAGGTCATAATGAGTGAATAAGGTCGGTATCTGAGAGAGGAAGGAAATATCAAATGAATGTAGCTGAGCTGGTAGCTGTTGGTCGGAAGTAAACGCAAGGGAAGGGGAAATGAATGTCAATCGTATCTCCTGGCTTAAATCGTGCACCCATTTCTTGTTGAAATATTTGGTGCCAAGTAGTGTCAACCCACTCACTCCTAGTTAGCGTAGCTATAGCACTACTGAGTACCGCGGTCGACGAAACTCCCCCTATTCTCACCAGATGCTCGAGGGGATATCTCTAGCAGCTTGGCGCTGCCCGCACTGAAGTTCCGAGCGTGACCCTTATCGAGGTTAACGCTAGTTGCTCTCTGCGGTTGAACAGGACTTTGACCCTCTTCTTCATCGTCGCTGTATTTCTCGAGATCTTTCTCATCATCGTCATCAAAAGACTGAAGAAAGCCTTCTCTGCTCCGCATGGTATCTCTGTGGTGCACGGTAGGTGTCTGACCAACAGCACCCCACTTAGCTTCACGGTCTTCATCTTCCTCATCGCTGCTTGGGCGAGCTTCGCCTGTAGATTTTTCACGCGAGCGAGTGGGGACGACACTATTCATATACTCGTCCTCGACGATATTCTCGTCGTCTGAAGCATGTTCTTCGCATTCCGCAGAGAAAGGAGGTTGGGCATACTGTTGAAGCGAGTTTCTCATACCTGATGAGGCTCGCTTCTTATTAATGCGGCCCGAGAGCCAAGACGCCTCCGAATCGATAGATGCGAGCGACATAGAATGTGGCGCCGGCGACGACTGGATTTCATCTCGCTGCCAGGAAATAGGAGTCGCCCGCATAACGTCGTGTGATCGACGGCCCGATGTCGGCGTATCATAGCGCATCTGCACGTCATCAGGGATCACGGGCAGGGGGTCCACAGGTAGAGGATCGGCATCAGGGGATGCCACTCGCGAGTCCGGAGGGGATATAGGCAACTCAGGGAGGTCCTCTCGGAAACGAGACATAGTCCTCTTGGGTACGCCTGAGCTGATTTTTCGCGGTACGTAATTTTGATGTGCTGGCGGCGGGCCTGTTAACATGGAATCTCGCGAAGTATTCGAAAAAGATGACGGGCCGGAACTGCGCTTATTCTTGCCCCATCTGAAGAATGACCTCCACGGTTTCGAGGAGCCGGCGTCAGAGACCCTGCTACCAGACTCTGCATAGTCTAGCTTAGTTAGTGAAGGTGAAGGTTGTTCAACATCAGCCCTGGTTCGGGCGGAACCTTTAGGTGACCTCGAGCGCGATGTCCTTGTACGAATGAAACTTAAAATTTTCGGGCTCGAGGAGCGCGAAGATGGCTGCTGCTGCTGCTGCTGCCCTTGTGAAGACTCGGGCACTTGCTCGGATTCTGCAGCCTTGGCTGGAGTAGACGGCTCAAGGGGGATACTTTCCGTGCGATGGAACTCATCCAGAGGTTTTGGTGAATCCCCACGAGTTTCCAATTCCTCCTGCTGCCTGCTATGTCTCCGTGGCGAGTCGTCGTCCGAGCGTCTCCTTCTCGATGATGTGATAACCACTGAAGCCGGATCTTCGCCAGCTATCTCACGACCCAGAACACCCCTCTCCAGGTTTTGGGGCGGTGGAGTACCGCTCTTGACAGCTTCGGCTTCTTCTGCCCGCTGCTTCTCTGCTCTCCTAGCGAGACGTCTCTCTATTCTTTCACGTTCCTTTTCTTTCTTCCTCTCTCTTCTCCGCTTATCTCGCTCCATTAATTCTCGTAGGTCTGATGCATCTAGGTCGTCCGCTAGACTATCAATCCTCTTATGAGCTCGGAGTGTAGCTTCGGGAATCGGACTCCTTTCTGCAAGCTTCCGCTTCGTAGACTGAGATCGGGTTAACCCACTGCTGGCTGCTGGTCCATAAACAGGGTTGGCAGCACATCGCAGCGTCGGGCGAGGTGCAAGGGATTCGAAGACAGAGACCTTCCAAGAGAGTTGTTCCGAGTCCGTCGACATGGCCGAATGGATAGAGCGAGGCATGGGCAATGAAAGATCGGAGGAAGGTTCATCCCAGTTCCTGCCTGAACCTGGCCTTGTCCGTCTGCTCTCCCTTTTCATTAAGCGGCCAGCTGGCCAGGCATCCGCAGCAGGGCGTACTGGCATAAACTGGCTCATAGCCTTGATTTCAGCCTCCCGGTTATGGTCTTCTTTCCGCCGTTTACTAGACTTTTTCCGTGGTAAAGGCTGGCCCCGTCGTTTATTTCGTGAGTTCTCATGATGCAAAGTCGGCACTCGAGTCGCAAGATCGTCGTTAGACCCTGGTGGCAGTCCATGACCCCTATATGCTTCATCTGCGACAGTCGGTATAGAATCGGCGGGTAACGATGCAACCGGTCCCCTTTTCGTCTTGGCAACGCGTATAGAGTCTCGACGCCCGGGGGAGAAGCTATAGGTACGTTGACGTCGTTGCAACTTGTGAGGGCCATCTCGCTTTCCTCTTAGAGACTCGTTCCCTGTCGCGATATCAACGGGTTCGGTCTGATTTCGCGAAGGTGTTTGCGGTTGACGACCACGATCTAAATTATCGGCATCGGATCCGAGGGCTGGCGTTCGAGATCGCTTGCGCGAGCCCCTGCGGCGGAAAGGCCACAAGGTCATACTTCCAAAGATCGATTATCGGCCTTGGTTGTAGGAAATATTATCGAGGCTATATCGCAATGCGCGATGACGGGTTCCTGTCGATGATGCTGGGTAACGATCGCCGCAGACTGATTATCGCCATGGGCGCGGATTAAATCGAATTATGCATATAATCAGTAAAGTATTGAACTCAATGTTACCGGCCGATTCGGTTTGCCGAGATCTATCGCAAACCAATTCGTGCAGTCAGTAACTGCGTCTTGCTCGAATTGGTAGGACCTCTAAAACGCCGTCGCACCGCAGCAACCAGGACGTTATTACACGCAGATTATATTGATGTCTCTCCTTTACTTTAATCGCTTTAGTCAGACTGAGAGACCAATTAGCGATGACTGAAAAAATAAAAGTTGTGGATATTGGGGTTGACGCGAACTGCTTCAATGCGTTTCCAGCGCAGGCATGAGGACGGAGCTCGTTCGTGTTGGAATGCTGCAAGTTTTTGGATTGGGCTCCAGATTTGGTAGTGGTAGTGGTGGTGGTGTGGTTCGAGGTGGTTCAGTTTCTTGTGGGAAGAAGTTTAGAGGGAACCGATAGAGGGACTGTGGCGGTCGGCAGTGGGGAGATATGGAACACTTACAAGGAACTTGACAAGGTAAGGGAAAAGAAAAGAAAAATCAGAAACGGGGGTAGCGTCGTTGGCGACTACTATTTTCAGTCAGTGCGTGTGGCAGGGCAGCAGGGCAGCAGGAACAACCTTCAGGGAAAGGGCGATTAAATGGACTTTGCGAAATGAAGTCACACACAGGGGGAACCCTTGGGCTGGTAGGCTGGATGCTAACGGGCTGACGGGTACGCGGGTACTGTGGACAATCACCTTTTAGTGGAGTAATTCAGAATTATTGTACATATCGAATTCGGTCGTGCTACGTAGCATATAAGTAATGAGTACCTCGTAATATCCTAGCGATTTGTAGGAATTTAATCATTTGTTCGAGTAACTAGTTACTTTTTGCATACCTATGGGAAGCATTCTTTCTGGCCACTTACCTGTACCTACATCATGTATGTAACATCCGAATCGCTACCACCCTGGCCAAACTTGGTCCTATTAGGGGCTACGCATTTGACAGGGTGCGGGTTGATCAAAAAGAATTTGGGTACGGTACATGGTTATGAAGGAACATTACATAGGGCATCTGGGCATGTACCTAAAGCATACATCCAATGAGCATCTAATGAGCATCCAATGAGGTGCTACATACGGATTACCTGTCAATGGCAAACTCTCGGGTTCCAATGGAATACAGATACACGAAATACAATACCTAATTTTCCACGAGGTAGGCAGGTAGGGATACGGGATAGACCCGACCCTCGAAAATCCTTCAAATTACTACATAGGTAGAGTCTGAGTCTCTGTTTAAGACTTACAGGACCACTGTATGCTATGTACATACATATCAGAAGCGAGTTAAGTAAACGACGGATCTTATTAATACTGTAAGAATGCAGGTCACTTTAGGTTCGAGAGCTAGAGCTTAGTGGAAACGGCCTCTAATATGAGTCGGGACCAATGAAATGGGCCATTGACAAACTCCAACAATATGTATTGCTCACTACATACATGCCTTTACTTCGTACATAAGGTACTGTCCACTTACATGCATACGATGTACCTAACATAACTCTAACCTATATAGCGATACCGTACATATTGACATATTAGACAAATATTACATGGAGTCATTTAATGTCAAGAAATGATAACATGGCGTAGCATAGCGTGGCGGCACTTGAGATCGAAAGCCGGGTCTCGTGCAGCTAAGCTTTAATCGGTGATGGTGATGTCAGGTACAAGGAAAGCAGCAAGGTACGATACATGACTACTCCAAGCTTTCATTCACCATGTAGGTACCTACATGAAATATTCATTCATATAATCAAAAGTCTAAGTCGATCTATTATCATAAGCTGGTAAATTTGAAATATGTCATTATACAATTCTCTAACCTACGGATGATTTCTGTTTCGATAATCCGATCCTTTACTTAAAGATCCCAAGAGCACGCACTATGAAAAGTTTCACGTCCAAGCTCTACCTCTAGGTGGAACAGCGGCCCCAAATAGCCCCAAATATGTAGCGTTAACGGATCGTTTGGCGGCACGGCTTGCCGCTCGACCCATGCTACTATGCCGATTCGTGGTAATCGGACGCGGGTTGCCTGGGCTGCGTGGGAACATCCATAGGTAAGGTATCCATAGTGAAAGTTCGATCGGACGTATGTGGTAGATAAGATAGTTTAAACCTTTTCTTAACAGAAACTGTAACGACTTTTTTATTTCCCTTCTTCACTATTTAGAGATATGTATTAATCATGTCGAAACGATTCCGCAGACTGCTTACGCAACTACAAGCACAGGCACAGATCCAGAAGGATTATAATAGCATACTTGCCTCCTTCTAATAACCCATGGCTGTGCCAAGCCAAATCCCCTACCTAGATGCACTCGTTACGCGCATGCTAGCGAGCGCTAGATATCCACCGTTGTCTTCCAGCGCTGTAACCGAGGCGGGCTGCCCCGTACCGTATAGTAGCAGATGCTACCAGTAGAAAATTCGGCGGTGGAATACCTAAAACCCGGAGAGGTCTCGTATTCATGACCTTGCCAAGGAGGATTTGGACGCTGTCACGCTTTCTGCAACAGAAACTATTGCAGCTTGCAGCCAATATTGAATTTTTAGTTTCCTTTAAGCATTATACGAACGCTAGACATCTCGTTATTGAGGAGTCTGAGTAGACCTTAACCTAGTAGGTCAGGTATGTATGTATGTAGTTTAACTAGCCTTCTGTTTTGTGAATATAGTACGGCTCATGCATCGCAATAGGGCATAGCTTCGGGTAGCAACCTTACGAATGGAAATGATAGGCGCTTCGTTACTGTTACTGTAAAAGGATAGCCGTAGGGTAATTCCACCTCCTGTCTTATTTTCTCCCTTGTTTTGTACGTCACCGCAACTCATCCTTGAAGATGCCGCGGGTTTCACGCTTGAGTGTCTTGTTCAACCCGCACATATGTAAAAAGACGCAAAATGCAAGTAGATATTGGCGATAGCCTGTTCGGTTCTCATTGGAAATCTGGATCTATGGTACTTGCATATGCGGGGGCGGCGGTGGTAACTCAAGACATAGTAGTTATGCCTCTCAAGACTGACACGTAGAAGGTTGTGTGCTCAACGCACGCATCTCCCCTAGGCTCTTATGCAAGAGCACCGTTCCTGAGAAGCTTAATGGCCGATCGGTTCCAAACGTGCATCCGGATAAGAACGTCTCTGGATTCTTTGCCATATCGTTCTAACCAGACTGCCAGAGCAGCAAATCTAGATGAGGCAGTATACTACCGTCTCCGTTCTGGGTGAGAAATATATTGCATGATTGGATACTTGACTTTGATAAGGTTCTACATCGCGAGCCACCGTCCCTCTCGTCTCCTGTGGATCTCTAGAAAATCTAGGAGGATGAAATGCACAGCTGTCGTACAACACCTTTCATTGGATGTAAGCGTCTCTTCTCCGCAGCCCTGCTGATCTGGGAATAAGCGATTCGAGTATAGGAATGCTCACATACATGTGATAGGATCTAGGATTGAAAGACTCTGATCGGACGTATACTCAAATTGTCTGCTATAGTGAAGCTTCCAGCGATCTGAGGACTAGATTGACTACCTTATGGCCTGCTGCCATACAATGAAGATTCCTGATTGTGGCTGTACCCTGGATTATCGGAGCCGAGTCTTTTCCTAGGACGGCCGGGTTGAATACCCAGCTGAAAATAAGGCCCGTTGAAGAGGTTTCAACTTCATCTGATCTGCTATAGCGTACTAGGAACATGAATAAAGTACCCAGTAATGGCCGAGAACTATCCCAGGTTTTCTGAAGGTATTTTACCTCAGTAGCCTATCATAGAATCTGCATGCGTCGGACATTATTCTAAGGGCGGTATTCCGTACATAGTGGCTTAAGCCACTCAGCCCACATAGTAAGTAGCTGAGCTTTCAGGTAGCCAACTCGTGAAGCTTAACAAGTAATAAATGATGAATTCATCAAGAATAGGTAAATGCTCTGTTACAAATTGCACGTTTGTACTATATGTATTCCGTACCTAGGTAGGTAGGTACATTAGGTACTTAAAGGTATAGTGTATATCTGTATCCAGGTGCGATTGAACCTTAGTATAAATAGGTATATTATCTAAGATGGGGTGGAAATATTCAACCAATCAGCAACGATGACATAATCAATTGTTTACACACTCGGCTGGGTATCCTAGCTGCTCGACCCACATAGCAACCGCATCAAAACATATCTCCAAGCCTTTTCCACTCCATCAACCCTAGTTCGTCAATTCAACGATTCAGAACAAATTTCGAAAATAGTGTTCCCGCTTTGATACTAGACTATTTAATACTATAGAACATACGAACTTTACGGTCACCTCGAAGATCGTAAATATCCAATAGCGTGACCATGGCGTACAACCCGCGAATGTCGATAATACCGCCGACGCAAAACCAGTCGCGCACGCGCAAGAAGGAGGAGGAAGCCGATGCCTTTATGCGGCTGCCAGATAGGGAGATCGTCGGTTGCATAACAGACATCGGGATCCCATTTACTGTCGCCGACCTGCAGAAGCCGAACCCGTTACAAGTACAAATGATCTTCGAGTGGTTCGCTGAACTACTTTTGAATGCGACCCGTGATACTGTCGAGCCGGCGATGCGCGCTGCGGCTGAGGATGTATGCGGCGAATATACCGATATTGTGCCTCCTGACACTCGCAACCTATTGGGCTTCTACGTATCGCTACGCAAGCTACTCCTCGAGTGTGGTATTACCGACTTTAGTTTTAGCGATCTTTACAAACCCACACATCCGCGACTCGTCAAGATATTTAGTTACTTGATAAACTTTGTCCGGTTCCGTGAAAGTCAGACTAATGTCATTGACGAGCATTTCAATAAGGCCGAACAGACTAAGGCGCGGATCGAGACGCTATATGGCGAGAACCAGGACTTGGAAGCCAGACTAGAGGAGATGCGACATAACCGAAAGGCGATGGAAGCCCAGGTACGCGAGAAGACGGAACGCAATGAGGAACTAAAGAAGACGCTGTTGGAGCTACGACGGAACCAAGAGAAGGTCGCAGTTCGGTTAGAAGAGGCGAAAGCGAAGAAGGGAGAATTGGCACAACGACTCGAGCAAAAAACAACTGAGAAGATGCTACTTAAACAGGAGAGCGCCAAGCTACGACCATACACACTGCAAAGTCCTCAAGCGTTACAGACAAGTCTAGCGGAGCTCAGCAATACTCTCAACACAGATAAAGCTCATATAGATTCTCTGGATCGACGAGCAAGAGCATTACAGACGTCGACGGATTCGTTCGGTGTTGTGGCGACGGACGTTGCATCCTGTATCAAACTTCTCGATGAGATCTCAACGGAACTGGCCAAGGAGGAAGAGGAAAATGCTAGAAATGCGAAGCAAAGAGATGCGTTATCAGAACGTGGCAACAACGTCAAGGAAGTAGAGAGAACAGAGGCGTTGCTACAGAGGCAGCTAAGCAAGTGGAACGAGCGCACAGAAAAACTACGCGAACAAAGTCGAGAGAAAGCCCAGGAAGCCAAGGAGAAGATGGAAGAGCTCCGAGCATTACACAAGAAGTTGACAGAGGAGCGAGCGACAAAAGGCACGGAGATCGAGAGAAGGAGGGTCCGAATTGAGCAAACTGAGAAGAAGGTATGCATACTCAGATCAACCTCCTCGGCTACCCTATACTTGGTACTAACGATAAGATAGATGCTGGATCTCAAGGAGAACATCGAGAGAGAGGTTCACAGCGCATATGATGAGTATCTGAAGATGGAGTCGCACATCAAGCTGTACATCACAGAGATGGAACAGGCCGTCTCCATCTGACCATTGTCTCACTTTTTTAACGATAACGAGACCATGAAAGCATGATACCACGGTAGGCGTTGAGGTGTTGCATACCGATCAGGACCGGAAAAGGGCACATAGGGCTTATTACCATTGTAACTTGTGTTTTAGGCATCTGAAGAGATACCATATTATTTATAAGATCCGTCATGTTTTATTGGCGCCTAGTTACTTGTTTTCATTCAAGTTTATATCCCATTCCCCAAGCTGGAAATCAAACCACCTCTTCATGACTCTTCCGACTTCTACGGTCCGACCAGTCCAACCGCCGGCCTCCGCGTCGGGACCTAGTCTCCGCCCACCGCCACTTAAAAAGGGAACGTCTTCTCTTAGCGAGTCCTCGAATGATAATGTAGAGATATGTTTCCGGGGCTCAATAACGATCGTCTGCCACGATAACCGGTAGCCTAGCTCTACTAGCGCGGATGCAGAATTACCGAGACCTTGCGCGCTCCATTCGCTCGTGTCGCGATGCATCTCTAGGAATCCGTATAGTATTATACACGGTGTGTATTTCCCAGAAGAGTTCAAGCTGGCGGGGGGAGTTGGGACTTTGGAGTCATCCGGTGAGAAGACAGACAAGTATGCGCGAAGATGGGTGACTGTGGGGATATAGACGACACGGATGTGCCGCGATGTGGCTATTTGGTATAGCGGAGAGGAGAGAAGTCGATGTTGTCGTTGCCTGGCCTGCTCTTGTTTCATGTCTTGGATCTCCGGCGTAGGAGCAGATGTTGAAGTTCTCGCTGAATGCTCACCAGGAGCTACCTCGTCCGGATGAGCTGTTCCTTGAAGTACATCGTCCGCAAGACATGCAAGGAATTCTAAGCGGGAAGAACATATAACCAGAGTAGTTGGATGGATATGATGGTTTAAGATATAAGTGAGAAGTTCAGAAGGTAGTGCCGGGGATAGGAGTAGAAAGGGTGATGAAGACATGAATGTTGTGACTTTATAACGGCCATTACATACAAGAATCTCAACGATGAATATTTAAATTACATAAATACTACTAAAACTTGACTGCCATGTCCGTATACCTAAAGTAAATGAACCATGTGCTATGCTATGTAAGTGTGTTGCGCCTACCCGCAACTTAAAATAGAACTAAGTTAGAAGGTAGCCCCATAAAAAGTCGCCGGGGAAAAGCCCCGCCAAAAGTTCAACACCACTGCAACCAACTGAACTGAACCCAGCTCTCTTCCACCGACGTCACACACCTAAGAACACGCAACCAGCGCAACAGCTTACGAGCTGTCTGCGCGTCCTCGCCTACACTATGGAGTCCATTTCTCGGATATCTAATTTGCTCGAGAGCGGTAAGAATATATATATTCTCTTCTAAGGATAGCTTGGCCTAGCTTGACCGAGATAGACTGACGACCTTCTTCTCTGTAGCTCGGGAGCTCACTCTCGATGCGGCCCAAGCTGCCCGGAGCTCTCGTAGCACCACACGATCTCTACCGACGGCGCAACTGAAGAAGCTTCTCGACAGCCGAAATGACCGTGAAGTTCTTGATGGACTGCGACGTGTTATTTCCGTACGCATGCTCTTGTCCCCCTTTGCCGACTACTGGAACACGCCGACTGATCGATCCTACTTAACTAGATGATGTATCGTCAGCAGAAGACCCTCCCATTCTTTTCTTCCATCGTTAAGAATGTCGCATCACAAAACCTCGAAATTAAGAAACTTGTATACATATACCTTATACACCATGCCGAACAAGAACCAGATATGGCCCTCTTGTCCATTAATACAATCCAAAAGTCTCTATCAGACTCGAACCCCCAAGTACGAGCACTCGCTCTACGAACCATGTCCGGCATTCGAGTCCCTGTCATCAGTCAGATTGTATCCTTAGCTATCAAAAAGGGGGTAGTCGACATGTCCCCTCATGTACGTAAGGCTGCCGCTCTCGCCATACCGAAATGCTACCGTCTAGAACCGAGCACCCTACCCCAGCTGCTAGAATACCTGACAACGCTCCTAGGCGACAAGCAGTACTTCGTCGCCGGTGCGGCGGTCAGTGCTTACATGGAAATATGTCCCGACAGGGTTGACCTGATCCACAAGCACTACAGGAGTCTCGTTAAGAAGATTGTAGATATGGACGAGTGGAGTCAGTTGGCAGTGCTAAGAATGATGTCCATATACGCGCGGAAGTGCTTCCCGAGGAGGACGAAGACTGCCAGATCAAAAGACAAATCAGCCGATCTCCAAGACTTCTACGGGGAGGGCGAATCGGAACCTGCTTCGGAAGGGGAACGGGTAGTCATTCTCGATCCGGATCTTGTCCTATTACTTAATGGAATCAAACCGCTTCTACAAAGTAGAAACTCGGGTGTGGTGGTAGCTGTCGCTCGTTGTTATGCGGACCTAGGTACACCTGAATATACCAAAACCTCAGTTGGACCATTGGTTGCTCTTTTACGGGGAGCACAGGACATTCAACAAGTCGCTCTGTATAATATAGTAGCTGTCTGTCTCGCGCACCCGGAATCATTCGTTAAATACGCCTCGCACTTTCTCGTTCGCGCTACCGACACAGCTCCAGTGTGGGAGCTGAAGCTCGAGGTACTCGCACTAATATTCCCCCATAGCCCCTTACGAACGAAGAGTCTCATCCTTAATGAACTCGAACACTTCTCTCGCGGGACGAATAAGTCGCTTGTTCGCGAAGCAGTGCGAGCTATTGGCCGATGCGCGCAAGCAGATCCGGCGACCGCACCCCGATGTATGCGACTACTGTTGGGACAAATAACGAGTCTTGACGGCACGCTAGCTGCAGAGTCTTTAACAGTAATCCGTCACCTTATCCAACAAGAACCTCAAGCGCATATGGGGACCGTTGTGCGCCTGGCGAAGAACCTCGATTCCGCGACCGACCCGCAAGCTCGCGCAACTATCATCTGGCTCGTGGGTGAATTTGCTGGTTTAAACGGCGAGGACAACATCGCGGCCGACGTGCTGCGAATACTTTTAAAGGAATTCGCGGAAGAATCCGAGATCGCCAAGCGGCAAATCGTCCTCCTCGCAGCGAAAGTCTACCTACACCACCTCAACCGGGAAACCGAGGCGCAAAAGTCGAACGAGGAGAAGAACGATCCCCCACCCAATTCGGAGGATCATCCTATCGTCCGATTATGGAATTACGTCCTCCTACTTGTCCGTTATGATACATCGTACGAGTTGCGCGACCGCACGCGCTTATACAAAGCGCTGTTGAGCGTGCCTCAATTAGCGACACTAATGCTACTTGCGCCTAAACCCGCACCTCAAGCGCCAAGTCCGTCAGAGACGCGGAAAGGGTTCTTACTAGGATCTTCGGCATTGGTGCTTGCCGGAGGTGGAGGCGTGCACGGCCTACGAGGGTACGAGCCCCTGCCGGACTGGGTTGAAGAAGGTAAGGAGCCGGACCCGAAGCTTCGGGCTCAGGATGGCGTTCCGAACGAATATGGCGAAGAGAGGAGAGCTATCCCTGCGGCGCGGATGCTTGGGGACTCTTCGATGGGAGCGCAAGCAGGTAGGAGCAATGGGCTCTCCGCCTCAGCAGGAACAGGGGCCAAGACTTTAGATGATTGGCTTGCTGAGGATGAGGAAGAGGAGGCGGAAGATGATGGCGAGGAAGACGCCGAGGAGGAAGATGGAAGCGAAGAAGAAGAGGAATCAGAGGAGGAGGAGGAAGATGAAGATGAAGATGAAGATGAGACCGATGAGGAATTGGACAACTCCAAAGCTGAGCTGGAAGGGTTCCTTAATAGGTAACATGGAACTTGCTTACCTCTTTTGCATACTAAGCAGAGCTATGCAAATAGAAACGCATATAAATTGAGGGCATTAGGACTGGCTACATAGAACCCGGCGTTGCTAGATCTCGTTTTCGGTCGTCCGCTTAGAAATAACAATGGATAGATCGCCCACATACCCGATTACTATGCAAAGAATCACATCGCTATACACAAGTTTGCTAGCATTTTTAGATTCCATGGCTTGGTGTCTCATTCGTAATAGAAAGCGGTGCACTAAGTAGCTAATAGATAATAATCAAAAATATGTACGGAATAATAAGAGGGTATGCAAAACCGCGGATGTCCAGGTAAATTAGGTAGGAATGTCTATATCATCGCACACGCTGTATATATATGCAAAAAATAAACGAACCAGGCGGGCGAAACAGAAAAAGGCCAATGGTCATACGTCTAATTCCCAACTAAAACGAGAACAGCAATAGTTCAGAAAAGTGAAGAAACACTGTCATCTTATACGCCGAGAGTCTTCTGCTCCGTCTGGTGTCCCTCATCGCCCGACGTGATGGGCTCCTCGCCAGACACCTTCTCCTCCCCCTTGTTCTTCCTCTTGAAGCGCTGGGCTTCCCGCTCGGCCATTGCCGGGAACAGGACGCCCGGCGGGAAGGCGGTTAGGAGGGCGACGGGGATGAGGATGCAGCTGTTGTTGTGTTGTTAGGAGACGTCTCTCGGGAGAAGAAGAAAAAGAAGAAGAAGAAAAGAATTAGGGTTGGAAGGGGAAAGAGGGTTACGTAGATAAATGACACTTACAATCCCTCGAGCACAATAAACGACGGCTCATCCTGCATAATCCTGTTTCCCCATCCTCCAGCCATCTCGGCAATTCGGTAGATACACCGTATCAGGATGCCCGCGTACGCACCCGCCACCGCATAGCAGAACATGCGGAACTTCCTATCGTTCCAGGTAGCCAGGGCCTGGGGCGTCGCCTGGCCGCCGCCGGCCACCACCCACTTCTTGGCGCGGAGGAAGTAGTCGACGCACAGGAGGCCGAAGCCGGCCAGCACGGCGGACTGCAGGGCGATGCCGGCGATGATGACGCGGTCGCCGGAGAGCAGCAGGGCCGGGTTGTCGTAGCCGGCGGACGCGGCGAGGCTGCCGCCGATGGCCTGCAGGATCAGGCAGGACACGTCGGCGGGGACGAAGATCAGCGGGTACAGGCGCGGACGCAGGCGCGAGAGCGAGGGGTTGATGGAGAGGGTGACGTGTTTCAGGGTTAGGTAGATGGAGATGCAGATTAGCGTTGGCGCGAGGATGATGGCGCAGATTTGCGTCTGGAACGCGCCTGAGTCCCAGGGGTTGTTGTGCAGGAGGACGCGCGCGATGTAGCCTGAGATACGGGAGGTTAGTATGGATAGATAGATAGATATGTTATGCGGGTAGGTATTTTATATATATAAGAGACTGGCTGGTTGGGTTTTGGATGCTTGACGGCTTCTTATACGTGAGAGTACACGAAGCTAAGCTCCCATAACAAGGACGGGATAGAGCATTACCTGCGAACTCCAGAATACATCCCGCCGTGAGGGCAGTGGAATAACCCCACGTCCTCTTCCAAATACCGGTGACGACGAGACCTATGATGCACAGGCCGAACGCAGCGGCGAGAAAGGCATTGACGCCGAGGTTGGGATAGTATCCCAGAACCGTAGCCTGAACCGGACAGTAAGGACCGACTTCAGTGCAGGATCTGAATGATATATGCTGCGGCGCATCCGTAGTATTCGACATGTTGAAAGTTGAGCTGGACAAGCCGTCGAATGACCTCGGTATGAATTTACACTTTTCTTTTCCTTTTTTTTTTCTTTCCCCTTCTCCTCTAGTTATATAAACTCTTTATAATAGCAACCACCACCCTACGTCTAGCTGTTGAGTTGAATTTTTTTGGATTTGATTTTCGATTTGTTGGGTTGCTAGCAAGCTAGATCTCGGAAGCAAGCGCTTGGATAATCCCAAATCGCCGGAACGTATCGCCAACGAGCCAAGCTGTAAATAAAACGAAACGAAACGAAACGAAATTTAGCAAGAAACGCTATATTGCAGAGTACTAAAGGATATACTCAAGTTCGAAGTATATCCAGGGGGAAAGAAGTCAACCTAGGTAATGTCAGCAACCCAGCAGCGCGGATCTACAAATATATATAAAAAGAGAAGAAGAAAATAAATTAAAAATCAAAATGAAATCGCGGGAGCCTCGTAGGAATACATAGTGTATTCCAGGCGATCGATCTCGCGGCATCGTCAGTGGGGGGGAGGAGGCGAGGTACTGTAAGCGGGAACAAAGCAAAGGTGTGTGGGTTGTTTACACACAGCTTGGCGGCCGACTACTGCAAGAAATAGCGAATACGCAAAGGTAGCGTGAGGGATCTGGTGCGGAATCCGATCGGATAGGTATACATACCCAACGAGAAGGTTACTAAAAGCGGAAGAACGACAAGATACCTGCCTACCTAGCAGCAGCCTACATACATAGGTGCCCCGGCAGGGTTTACTGGGTGCGCTTAAGCGATCTGACAAGACCCTCCCTCGGGCTCCTCTCCCCTCCCCATGTGGGCTTCTAGAACGCCGATGCCCAGCTCGGTAGCGCAACCGAGCTGACGAAACGACCTGCCCAGCTCCGAGGGCCAAGGCCTGTGCTGTCGTATTATCTATCGCGCATTGTCGAATGGGCGTTTACAACTTACAGAGATAGATACAGTAGATGTACTACCTTGGGTACTTATCTTAGGTAGGTACCTACCTATATTCGCTCTGAAGTGTGATTGAGGGCAGAGAAAAAGAGTCAGGCTTAACGAGTAAGTATCGGTACATAAAGAGAGTTATGGAATTAGATTAGAGAAAGCCTGATGGACCCCCAATCTTTGGGCGGAAGAGACCTCATCCGGGACGCTACGGCGTTAGTTCACTTCTCCGGGCGCCACCCGGGTCATTGCCCCGGAACGTACCTTAATCTATCCTACTGTAAGAAATATAGACTTGATCTCATTATAGATCTAATAACTACAGGGAAGCCGTATTAATGCATTCACTTTGTCATTAGACTAGATCAAATCAGATCAGATCAGATTCGGTGACATGTTCAAATTAGATCTTATTCCTTGCCGCCCAAGAATCTATATATGACAGAGAAGTCTCTGCCCTTACATGTTTCTACCTTTTCAGCTTCTTCGTAGACTTGTCTTGCTCGATCGCCAAGTTCTAACTTTGCATTGGCTTCATTTGCAGCTACAATGGCAAGCTTCAAATCCTTCTTCATTAGACTAATACCAAACCCGCCAGAATAATCACGGCTAGCTGGTGCACCTTCAACAACTCCTTTTACCGGATTATTGACTTCGCTTGGCCAGCATTTACCAGTGCTAACATTGATGATATTGGCTAACGTCTTAGGATCGAGACCCCATCGGATGCCTAGGTTCATCGCTTCTGCTGTTGCGATATTGTTGATGGCAAGCAAATAATTATTGGCTAACTTGGCGCTGAGCCCATTGCCTTGCACGCCGCAGTGCAATACTCGTTTGCCCATCCGTAGCAATATCAGTTCTAGCTTTGGTACTAGAGTATCGGGAGCACCCAGCATGAAGGTCAGGGTACCTGCTGCAGCGCCTACTACGCCACCCGACATGGGAGCATCAACGAACTGGCCTTGATTTGCATCGGCAACCCAGCTCGCAACCTCTCGAGACGACGAGGGGTCAATAGTGGAGCAATCGATATATATCCTATCCTTCTTCGGTAAATCCGGGGATAATATCTCTCGATACACTCCCTTTACATGTGCCGGCTCAGGTAACACCGTAATTACTATATCCTATTAAGATTCGGTTAGCATTGGAAGCAAACACGATGTTAAAAATAAATTAAACATTGCATAAGTTCTTCAGAGGATTGGCTATAAAAAAAGATTAATCATAAAGAAACCGGCAAGCCGGCCCCAACTTAGATCATAGATAGAACATAATCATCATGTGAACGAAAATTGAAATGGAGAAAATTTAGGAAATAGTAGACACATACCGATTCCTTTGCAGCATCATTCACATCATGCGCGAGTTCAACTGTAGCACCACCAGTCTGAGACGTCCGCATCTCTTCAGCTAGGCGTTTCACCGCATCGCCGTTGATATCGAACAACCTGACCGAATCACTCGGCGGGAGTTTCGCCTGTAAATTCTTGGCCATCTGGTACCCCTAAATTCGTAATCCATTAGTTTATCCGTCATAGCACAAGCCGCCAAAACAAACAAATTGAAGCTTCCAGCCCATGACGTACCATTTGGCCCAACCCAACGAAACCATACCTCTCCAACCGTTTCGGCGAAGCCGAGAAGGCCCGTCTCTGGGCTTTGAAAACATTCCGTGCAACGGCGTGAACTCTCATGGTGGAAAGAAGAGGTAGCGTGTACGAAACAATTCCAGCACCAGGTGAAGACAACCAGCTGCAACAATGGTAGACATAAGAGGCGCGCGGTGGAAAAGTCAATTGGAGACAGGTTCTCCAACTCTCTCCAAAGCCTTGAACATCCGCGGGGTACCGAGGACCGTAGAACCGATCATTGCCGGCCAAAATCTTAGGTTACAAGGTCAAATGACCTCACCTCAATGGGCCAAAAGCCAACACAGCCTGCGCCGCACACATCGCGTCTGTGTGAGAATACGTTCAATCCATTACGCCAACTCTGGAGAGACATCCATCTCTCTGGATACCGTCAATGCGACTGGGAAGCATTCAGTATCTGAATGCTACGCCTCTGCCGGGGTTGAAAATGGAAAATGGAAAAAAACGAGAATAAAATGAGATTGCGAAAATTTTTATTCTCATTTTAGATCATTAAAAGCTTGGGCCACTCACTAGAGAGGATGGTGGATCCCTGCCGGCCTTTTGGGCGTAACGCGGAACATTAAGTCACTAGGTACCTAACAGTATATTTAGGGCTAAGTGTATTAGCTGATGAGCCGCGTGTAAGCACCAGAGGGTTGTTATACAGCATTTACCTTAACTACACATAAGTAGGTAGATATGGTAGATATTAATCCTAATGAGACGCATTCCTTCCTATACCACGAAAACTATGATTCCGTCAAACCGAGACGAGCTTCTTTGTTGATAGAACTCTTTGTTAAGTTAGGCACTTTAAAGGACCTCCCTCACTGCTTCGTAGGTAGTTTTATAGGAAATTATATTCCAAACTATTTGAATCATTACCTCTCAAAGAACCGACCTTATAAATGTCACAAACACCACTGAACGAGTGAATTTTCTCTTTTTCATTATGAAGTTCTCGGGACCTGTAGCGTAGGAGTAGAGCGATCCCTCCTTTCTTGAGAGAGACAGCTAAAAGGGGATGTGATGTATACATGAGCCAATTCATATAGCTACGCGAAATCAGAATCTGAACACCCGGTTCTGACCAACTGTACGGGGGGTATGTGCAAAAATAACAGACGAGTAACCGGGTTTCCCCACCAACAAAACCCAGTAAAACGATCCAGATGGGACAGGATCGTAAGGACGATATGAGGGGACACTAAGGGACTAAACAATTGTAGGGCCTGGAGCTGAACGTATAAGGGCAGTACTAGGCTAGAATACGCCCATGACGTACGGGATTAGGGCACTAGAGAAGATGGTTAGTTTACGAGATGGGTTATATTCCATTATAGTCCGGAAACTTACCCAACCGCGAGGGTCGCGCTAAGACCGACGAGCGCCCGGTTCCTGACACGCTCCTTTCTCAACTGCACCTCTGTCTTCACTTTCTTGGTCCTCGGTTCCTCTGATACTTCGTCTTCGTCTTCGTCTTCTTCTTGTTCCTCCTCCTCGTCATCGATGGCGATCTCGTCGGCCTTTCGTTTGTTCTGATTGCTGTTCGAACCAGACGACGCTGCAGTCTCAGCAGCAGCGATTCTCACCATCTCCTTCGCCTCTTCGATCATTCGAGTAGCCTCTTCCGCGTCAGGTTCTCCACTAAGGGGAATTTCCACTTCGACGGCAGTTTGTGTTGTTTCGACATCGCCGTGAAATTCAACTTCCTGGCCAACCTTGATTTGCACCTTAGCTTCCTCCTCAGCCGGCGCAAAGACGATAGCGGGTTCCTTTTCGATGGTCTTAATAGATACCTCCTCGGTGGCAGCAGTAGACTCGGCGTCTTCGTCTGTCTTTGAACCGTTTGTAATGGGCTCAACCTTTTCCTTTAGGGGCTCAACTTCTTCTTTCAGGGACGGAATTTCGGCAGGTAATTGAGGAGCAGGGGCTTTCGCAGCCCGCTTTCGCGGAGATGCGATAGCCCGTTTCTTTGAAGGGCTGGCTGAGCGACGACTGCGTGTGCTACGGGGAAGAGATGATGGAGTTGGTGGTGCAAGGAGAGGCTGGGCTGGCAAAGGCGCTTCGAATTTTGGTGGTGCGGCGATTTTCTTGGGAGGACTGTCAGGCGCGCTCGTTATGGCGATTTCAGCCGGGTCTAGGAGCGCACAGATCCAAGGAGTAATCCGATACTCCTCAGCAAGAGCCAAGGCTTGCTCGGGAGGGATCCAAACATTCCCAGCAGTCTCCTCATGGCTGGTCGTAGGCAGCGACTTGATGAATCTGCGCTCCATCTCCTCTTCTACAGCCTCGGCATAGGGGAAAGTCGCCTTGAACATACCGGTGGCAGAGACGAATCCATCCTGACTGCGGCGCATGAGGAAATACGAGTTCGGAGAAGATTTGAAGATACCCGAGTTGATACCCTTCGGCAAGGGAGCCCGCAGATGCGCATAGTCGAAGACCCCAAGACTAGTAGGGTCGATATCTCCTGCGGTGCCGGCTGCAACCATCTTCGCGGTCAATTGGGTCTGGCCCAAGCGTCGGCGTGAAACGAGCTCATGATCTGTAGAACGAGTAAGCGATACAAGTTAAGGAGAACTAGACACGATGCTTCATACAAGGAGGGATGTCCTCAGTCATGAGAGGATTATGTTTGCTAGGAAGACGTCTCGGAGTAGCCATTTTTTTGGGACTTTGTTGGACAAGACGCGACCGAAATTAACGTATGCGATAGAGCCGCGCGTCCGTCGATTGAAACCGCGACAAGCGATCAGATTCAAATGAGGGTAGTATTAAAAGAGGTAAGTAATGAAAACTGAGGCTGGTTACTAGTTAGCAGTTTCTCGTTATGGAGTCGCGCAAAAATGAAATGCGATGCGATGCGATGTGGTGTCGCGGGTCGTCGCCATAGAAGCGCGAACTTAGGGCTGTCGAATAGGCGGGTCGCCAGGATGGATCTCACTCACGTTATGCAGACTTGCGTCAGGAAGGAGAAAGAGCTATTATAAAAAAAGGGTACACCAATATTCGAAATCCCAGTTGGAAATTGAAATAATAGGTTATGAATTTTTGGCCACAGAAAACATTCAAGGGGACAGATTGATGTAGCTGTAACACCCGGCGCAAAAAAGGGTTCCTTCTCTCGAATTTGAGGCGGGTTGTCAGGAAAAAGGGTAAGGTCAGAAGGAGAGAAGGGGAGAAAGCCGGGGGGGGCTTCGTTCGACTTCGCGCTGCAAGTTAGAGCTGCTGTCAGCAACGGTGATTTGCCCAAGACAACCCAGCAGTCGCGAAATAGGAATTGATGAATTACCACGACGGGTTTAGGGGTCCCAATTTTGTAAAGTATAATCCAATAGGAAAAGTCTATTGCGGCAAGGTCTATTAACTCCTCCTTAGCACATACGAATAAGGCACGGACCAACAACTTTTTCTGGAAGACCAGTACGGGGTACATACGAATGCACCCACTGTATTACCGAAGAGGAAATTGCTTCTCTACAGTACATTTATACTATACTGTATAGAATAATACTGTGTTTGCTTTAACACCTACTCGATCCAATTATCCCCCTACCTTGCTCGTTTGCACGATACGTGGTAGCTCGTGTATTGTATTGTACGAGCACCAGAGAGCTTGAGGACCAAAATATGTAAAATAAGGAAACTCCCTAGTTCGTCAATTTATATCAAATCCAAGCTGGTCACGTATTATTTACCTTTGTAGCTACCTTTAGGTGCTCAGGGATGAACAAGAACTTAGATTACTCCTATAACAAATAGTTAGATATAGCTAAACTACCTAATTACATATAACTACATTGTACATTTACCTGAGAACCCTAGGTAGTCGACTGGATTTATACAATTCCAAGCTACATCATCATCATCATCTATTATACTCATAATAAACACTGAGGTCAGGTTAGAAATAGCTATACTTATAGACAAATTGCTTATCCCTTTAACTTAGTACCCTCTACCCCACTGAGTTACATAATTCTCAAATTAGTGATTCATCACGCCTATGTGAAAGAATCAACATAACTATATAAAGTCTTAACAATTTATTAGAGAAAAGGTCTTCGCTTTTAATAAACTATATGGCATATTTGGTGGGATCCATTACCACATGTGCCACGCAGGCATGCATGTTACTGTCTGAGCTAATCGAAGTTGTTGGATGGAGAAAGAAGCACGATGGTACCATTATCTGACATAGCTGACTATAGCCGAGTTGACCGATATTATAACCCTTACTCCAAGTTATGATTAGGTATCGGGCATCATTAAGTACGGGCGTATCACTAACATCATTAAGTTTTAACGCACATATCACGCATGCGTTTGTTAAGCAAAGCGCGGCTTTGAAGCATGATAGCATGTTTAAAAAGGAAATAAGGGCTAGACCCGGCCTCAGGGGAACAAGACAAGAACAAGACAAGACAGGAAAGCCCCTCTCAAAGCCACTGGTGCACCTATGTACATACCTAATGTACACTATTTTTTTTAGCCCCGCCGCGCTTGAGCTGCACATGCAGCTTCTAAGAGCCACAAATTTGGCCAGAAGCCCCAAATTCTGTAACGTCGTGTCTATCCCACCTTCTTTATATCAGATCGACATAAAATCCCACTTAGGTACATATCTTTCAAGTATTTACATAGCGTTGCCTAGTAGCCTAGTTACACCCCTCTAAAGTACAAAGTCCTCTAAGGTACAAAGTCTCAAGGTACAAAGCCATCACCGCCAGTCTACCCCTCCTAACCAACATTTTATCACACGCCGACACCATTTGTTATTGTTATTTACATCTTTCCAAAACAATATTTGGAAATAAACTCACTATATCATACTTAGTAACTTTCCTTACTTTTTTTTCGTAGTAGAGCATCATCAAAATGGCATCTCAAGACGAAAATGATCACCTGCCTGAGGAGACTCAGGGTTACAAGCTCTCTCAGCCTAAGCAGAGCTTGGCCGAATATCAGAATATGGGTATGTATAGAGGCTTCTTTTTCTTTACTTAGTCTTACCTTATCTTCATAATTCCCGTCTATCATTCCCTTCACATTACTCCAAAGATGTCTATGTCTTATAAACACAAAAGAGGTGGGATGGTATTGAGTTTGGTGAGGGTTAGGTGAAAAAAGGGGGATGGAGATAGAACGAGGTTCACGACACCGACTTTAGACGCGTCTCTAAAAAAACGCGAGAAGAAACATGGTCTTGCAATTGTTTGCTTCCTAAAGCTGGAGCCTAAGTCAGTCAGTTTGACACCTGACTGTTGAGGAATTTTCAATCGTCGACAGTGACTATGGGAATTTTCAACAATCCACATCATACCGGAAAGGCCCATATCTACAAGTTTGCCATACCAAAGGACCATTTTTCAGCAACACCAAGATCTCAACCAAGACTCAACTCTCTCAATCAAATCCCATTATCCGATGCTTCAACACATCTGCTCTCAATATGGATGCACACGCGATCCGTCCGCGACCACTTGGGCATGCTGCACCTCAACGCCTGGGGTTTGTTCGACGCATGGTCTCGATGCCGCTCATGAAGCAAACTCATGATACAACATACTCGTCTGGTTTCCGTCGACTTTCGGAGGAAGACTTGGACGACCGTTTTGCAGAACATTGTCCACCTGTTGCAACGCCCCCCATTATTCCAGAGTATGATAATGCCCATACCAAACAATCCCTCAAGGAGTTCCTGAAGGACGAGCCTCGAACTAGCACGACCAAGTCCAGTGATGGTGCGAGTGCATCACGGTCTTACAAAAAATCCCATCTCCGCATGGATTTGTTGAACTGGTTCAAAGAGAAGCACACGTTGAAGCGCACAAAACACACTTCTACATCCTCATCTGGAAGTGGACTTGATCCTGCCCTGACATGTAGAGGACTGCCGAGCATGATGCTTGATGAGGAGAGCACGCTCATAAATTCGTCAATCTACTCCTCCTCTCCCATTTCACCATCCTTCACCACAACTTCACAAACGCTCCAACAGACCAGGTCAAGATTTAGTGATAGAACGGATTCTTCTAACTTGAATAACCTTGATACAGATGCCAACGACGAATCTCTCCAGCGCTACAAGCAGTCTCTCGGTCTAAGCGGCGGAAAGGATCTATCCGATCCCAACGATCCTCGAGTTTGTATCATTCACTCTCTAGCTATGGAGTCGCCCGGTCGTGCTCCTGTCATTATCGACCTGTCTGCTCCTGGTAGCGAGAGCACCCTCAAGGACCGCCCCTTCAAGATTAAGGAGGGCAGCAAGTTCACCATGGTTGCCACCTTCAAAGTCCAGCACGAAATTCTCAGCGGTCTCCAGTACGTCCAGCTTGTCAAGCGCAAGGGTATCAAAGTCAGCAAGGATTCCGAAATGCTGGTAAGTCTACTTTGAGAACTATCCTCAACCTAACATCTGCTGCTCGATTACTAATGCATCACAGGGAAGCTATGCCCCGAACACAGACAAGCAGCCCCTGTACAGCAAGCGCTGTAAGTATCCCTAATCTGAAATTGAGCCCCTGGATGATCTAACCTCGAAATAGTCCAAGAGGAAGAGGCTCCTTCCGGCATGCTTGCCCGAGGCCACTACAACGCCACTTCCAGCTTCGTCGACGATGATAAGAAGACTCACCTGCAGTTCGAGTGGAGCTTCGATATCAGCAAGGACTGGTAGATGTGGTAAACCGTCTACTCCACGGGGGGAAAATGTGTTATCTGACTGAATGATAACGACCACGACAATAGAAGGAAGACAAAACGTCCAAAAGTTTCAATTGAAACGGTACTCTTCCACCTAGACGGTTCGGCTAGCTGGCGACTAGTACGTTGTGCTTATAGGGGACGGATAAGTTGAGTGTAGATAGTTCATCTCTGGAGCATTTTCTTTGCTCTACTAAACAATTATGCCGCAACTCGCAATTCTTTTCAATGCAACGTCCAACAAAATGATTTCTTCCTTTCGTGCCTTTGACGGCGAGGGGTCTACGTAGATGAATACGACAGTTAAAAAGTGGGTATTTTTCTTATTCTCCTCCTTCCTACCACCATATCTCGAGGTATCTTGTATGGTACGCCTACCACTTGACTTGCTTGATAAGCCTGCTTATACAAATCCCGACCGACCGATCGATATATTCTTATAAGAAATAGTCCGGCAGCGCGTTCCCATCGGCTGCCTTCTCTCCTCCCTGCTGTATTTCCTTGTGCTGGTCATTTTCGGGCGCGGCCGCGAACACGTTGAAAAAACGCTCCCCAGCATCACTGACTTCGAGTACGCTAGCCATATTACCGCACCGGTAGCAGTAGTTGGGCGCGCTCCACACCGTGCTCAGCTGGTCGTCGTAGAGGACTTGGAATCCTTCCTGGCAGAGCTGGTGCGCGCGTAATATATGGTTCATCCCGTTTACTGCAAGGAACTTCTTGACTACCCGCGCGCCGAACTGGTAGCCCGCGCCGCGGGGTGATAATGAAAACTCGTCTCTCTCGGGATCCGGGTCCGACCATACTAAGTCGGCCATTGGACCCTCGTGCGGTATCTCCCGGAACCGGTCGATGATCTTGATCTGGTCGATGGAATGGATCGAAGGCGAGAGACCGCCATGCACGCAGAAGATCTGGTCGTTTATAACGACCGAGAGGGTGAGGAAGTCGAACATATCTGTGAAATAGTGCCAGACGTTTGCGTTTCCGTATTTGCGCGAACACTCGGTATAGAATCCGTAAGATTGTGTTACGCCGCGCGACTCGTGGTTACCCCGGATTAGGTGTACGCGGTTAGGGTATCTAAGTTTAAGGCACACGAGCAAAGATATAGTCTCGACGCTGAACATGCCGCGGTCTACATAATCGCCTGTAATCCCCGAGAGTTTAGAATAATTAACTTTGTTATGGTTCGGTTGCGTTACTTACCGAGAAATAAGTAGTTCGTATCCGGACACCAACCGCCTATTTTGAATATCTCGATGAGGTCGTAAAACTGGCCGTGTATATCACCGACGACGGTGACGGGGGCCCTGACGTGGACGACGTTGCTCTCTCGCATGAGCAGTTCTTTCGTCTTGGCACATATCGCCTCGATTACGGACTCGGCCAAGAGTTCTTTCTTATATAGACGGGATATGCATTCATCCAGATCGACCGAAGCTACATGGCGGCGCACAGGTCAGACGAAACCCCCAGCTTGCATTTATGCATATATGTACGGAATACGGCGGGACCAACCTGGAAGCCCGGGCATGTTGGGCGGCTAGGGACGTAGATACAACTCGAAGACAACAGCAGCAGGTCTGTCTATCTGTCTGTCTACCCAAAGCGGCGTTCAAGAAGCGGTTTGTGGGCGACTGCGCGGGGCGGGCTTCCTTCTGCTCCGGAGAAAGGCAAAGTCGTGTGGGGAGCTAGAAGAAACCGCAAACATGTTCGGAGGAGGCAGGGTATTCGGCGCCTCGCATGGGGGAGAGAGAGAGGATGGAATGTAAGTCGTTGTGAGAGGAAAGGGAGGAAATGGAGGGGAGTCGCCGCGCAAGAAAAGTGAAATTCGAGCTCAGAGTACGTGACGAAAAGCGAACTCTTTCAAACCCTCCGCAAGGAATGAATTACATACCATACGCTTTGGTGTTGAATCAAAAGCCGACAATGTGGGATTAGCGCTACTAGTCTCGAAATTCGATGTCGAATTGGTTGGTAAGCTATCGTTATCGTTTATCGCTTATCACTTCTGCGCCACCCATGGCAAAAAAGAAGGAGCCGCGCTTGTGTTGGGCTAGGGGTTTATACCGTAGCCGTCATGTACATCTTAAACCTATTATATCGGTATTATGTCTATATGTATAGCCTTGTCTTCTGTATGCAATATATATATAAGATTGGTACCCGTGCTTGAAATCATTCGATTAGATTTTCTGCACTTTCAACTTCTTTTCTCCTTGCCTTATGATTTTTCCCAACTTCGTCCTATGGTTTTTTTATCATTTCCCGTGTCTCGCAGTGAATTTTTTTTTTCCTACGAAAAGAGTAGCTGGTTTGCGCAGGCTACTTATTACTTGATACATTTGCTCTATGGTTTGATTCTGGGAGTTCGTAGTAGAATACCCAGCTTTTATTCCTTTTCTGCTTGTTTTTCTGACCTGGACTCCTGTGATTTTTGTCTCTTCATCGTTCAGGGAGTTGGGTTTTCCAGTTTGATATCCGAATACTAATTCATATTCAATCTTTTTCGCCCAAGGCTTCATTAGGAATAATGATAATTGGTAGTTTACCTTATGGCAGGTTAAGATATTGGGAATGGATGGAGTACACGAAGTTGGTTCCTTAATGGCTTGGGCCTTATGTTGGCTCATCTATGTTTTATTTCCTACCTACCAATGCCTACCCCTCGGTAGAGTTGTCATCAAAATACTATATCTTCAATATCGAGACATTCTTATTATGTTTGATACCATCTGGGCCTGGAGCCTACAACGCTAGTCTTATGGTACTGCGTTGTTGTCTTACAATAGAACTCTTCATCCTCATCTGAGATTAATTACCCCTATCTTAGACAGTGACCATTTATCAGTTCCTTTACTTTTTTCTCTCTTGTAGTGTCTTGTGTGTGTAGTCTAACTCAGGATTCTAAAAGTCGTGAGGCAAAGTGAATCACGTACGTACGTTAGGTACTTTTGGTATTCTAGTCTACGGTGCGGTCCGAAGTTTAACCGCTACCGCTCTGGTGCCCGTGGTACCTTAGGTACCTAATGGCCGCGATGCATTGTACCTTTCCTTTTGGACATTTCAATCTCACCCGTGAAACCTTCACTTTCAGCACATCTCCATTGATATTTATGTCGGGTATATCGAGCATCAATACTCTCACCACTAGTCATATTAAGCTTGGATCGCAGTTCTATCGCAAATACAGAGCATCCTTGATGAATTTGCAACAATTATTCCCGCGTCATCGGAGTGGAGGGACTTGTATCGGTGGTGGTCTTCGCTTTGTCGCGGTGAGAAGCTGATCTCGTAAGTTTTGCTCAACAAGGCAACTTACACCCAGGATCAAACATCTCGCATCTCGCTATTCATCGCGTAATCTTTATATCTCTCTTATATCTATGAGCCGCGCCTAATTGACTCTATTCTCAGACCTCAGATGACATTGCCAGCTGTCAATTTCTCTTGCCCCGCGTATGTTAGGTCTTGTCGCGACAAACTCACGTTTCCTTACTATATGAAGTTGAAGACTTACTTCTATCTCAGCATGATAATTATATCCTAAAGCCTCCTTTTAGAGCCTCAAGTACAGCAAAGCCTCTCTATCCGTGTAGATACGTACATGTCCGCTTTACGAAGTTTATAAACTTTGCTCTTTGCCGTTGCGCTCAGGCGCTTGGCGGTTCATCAGCTTCGCTTCGTTGCCAACTACATTTTATATTAAGAAGACACGCCCCCCACTAGCGCATTGTCTTTCTCGATTATTCTTCCCATTATTTCATGAACATGGCCCAAGTTGCCCCGGGTCTTGTGCCAGACCATAACGAGCGCCCCTGCTATAATTGTGGCATACGGGGCCATATGTTCACTGCATGTCCCGAGGAGCCTCGGAAAGTGCCGGCGTAAGTATTCATGGCTCTCTCTCTCTATCTTGATCACACGCTTGATTTCCCCCTCCACCTCAATATCCACGATCATACCGACTAAAAATATGTTAGTGGGTTAGAGGCCTCCTGGGCGCGACAACAGTCGAGCAATAGCCCTCATAATGATAGCTTTGTGTCCAACAAGCGAAGTAAAGGACCGGTAATTACGCGCTATCCCCCTCCACCTCCTCTCGCTTCTTCTCACCCTCCACCTCCTTTGCCTCGTTTCGAGAATTCTCCCCCTCAACCCTATCATTCGGGTCCAATCCCGGGCTATCCTCCGCCGCCATCTTACGGTCCGGGGTTCGGAAGTCATCCGCCGCCGAACCCATCCTATGATAGATATGGACCTCCGGGACCACCGCCACCTGGCCCTCATCAGCCATTAAATCCTCCGGCTTACCAAGGCGCATACAATGCCGCGTATGGTCCACCTGGCCATATTCCTGGGCCCTACGATCATCATATTCCCCCTCCTGGACGTCCTAATCAGTATTACCCCAACGACTTCCCCCCTGGTCCTCCTGGTCCTCCTGGCCGGCCTGACCAGTACCCGCCCAGTCAACACCCCGTGGGTCCGTCAGGTCCTCCGTACAGTGCGCACCAGCAATATCCACCTGGGCCTCCACCATCACTACTACATGTGCCGCCGCCTAGTCTTTTCCCGCCTAGCCGAGGGTTTCAGGGACGGCCTCCCGGATTTCATCCGTGTGATTATAGCCCACCTCAGCGCGATCCTCCGGCCATATTTCAACCATATCCACCGCCCGATCCTTACCCCCCACAATACGGAGATGATAGAAACCGCTACGAGCGCGGCCGGGACCACCAGCGTCGTTATGAAGATAGGCGTTCAAACGAAGCTTGGCATCCTCAAGGTGCGTGGCACAGTTCACCGCCGTCAAATGCCCAACCGTATAGAGACGATTACCGCGATGACTGGCATGGAAAACCCTCGTACCGAGACGATCGGCCTTCTCGTAGGCGCGGCCATGGTAAGTCTCAAGACGAGCGGCGTCGAGAGCGTCCAGATCGCCAAGACCGGTTTCAGCCTTATAAGACTTCAGACAAGTGGGACAGACATCACCGACGAAAACATCAGCCAGCAACGACTCCGAGCGAACCAGCGCGCCGCGATAGGAGCTCTTTAGATAGAGAAACACCAATAACGGCCAAAACAGATCAAGAGCGTGAGCCTGGCGAGATTGTATCTGAACCAGCTTCCGCGTCCGACCATGGTGACCCAGAGACAGCCGTCGACATAACTAAAGATGAGAGCAATGAAGATTTCAGTTGGGATGAGCGGACCATCTTTCCAGAGCTCCCGCTAAGTAGCAAGGTAGACCCGATTGCGGCGCCTTTGCCGACGCAATACTTCGAAGATATAATGATACCTCCAGCATTCGACGCTAAGGCTTTGAAGTCGCGGTACATTACGCCTCGTAACGTTGACGATTTTGCACAAAGCATCCGCGAAACTCGGGATTGGCAGGTAATGCAGCATCATCCTCTGTTTTTAGACCCGACAGAAATTCGTCTTGATAAGTTGGATGATTACAACAGAGCAATCCAGAAAGAATTGAATATTAGAGGTAGTCGCCGAGATCGCTCTGGAAACTCGCACGACACTGGCAGACATCGCTTTAATAATTCGAAAGGATCAGGCCGACACCAGGGAAAGCATCAGGATTCGCACTACAAAGCAGATCAAAAGAAGAGGAGATGGAATGATTTCCACGACGATGCCGACGAGTTCAAGTCAGAGAGGCGTCACCGTGATTCCCTATATGATGATCCATTCAACAAGAGGTTGAAACCTACGTCGCCACCCGAACCCGGCGAGTTAGTCGAGGCCGGTTCTCAGCAACCCCCTTACACGCCCTCAAATGCGCCGGATGTACCTCTAGATGATGCCAAACGGACCCCGGGGGCAAGAGAAACACTAGATGGCCAATCGCGATCTGAAAGTCTTGATAACAATCAGACCAATGGATCAAATCAAGAAACTGTAGCCCAGCGTATTAACCTATCACTACCGGATAGTCAGGATAAGGTTAATGCGCGGTCATCAACACCGTCAGGCCAGCTAGCGGACATACCTCAGCCACATAGCCGGCCATCGAGCAGGCAGAGCTCTAGAAGCGTCAAAAAGAGCCGCCCGACTAGTCGACGCTCCTCATTCGGAAGCGATATATCTGAATCCCAAGGATCGCCACTTGATCCTATCGAACGCGAACTACTAGGGCTGGGACGACCTTCCACTAGTGGCACTGATAGTGGAGGGGAGTCGACAAAGAGGCAGTTAAGCGATGCAACACCCAAATTCAAGCGTCGACAGCCTATGGTTGAAGCGTACTCGTAAGTTGTGCCCACGTTCTCATCATTTATTACTGATCGCTAATGCGACTTAGGCGGCGTTGGTAATGATACAATGCTAAAGAGTTTCACGACGATAAAGACAGTTGTTCTATACAAAGCACGAGGCCGTAAGAGATTTCTATTTAAGGATAGTGTGTTCTAGTGCGAGCTATGAAGCTTCTCGAAGTCTTCCACTAGAATACAGGAGTGTATAAGGTATGACTTGGTACAGGTAAGCATCTGCCGCTTACCGATTCAAATGGTTCTAAAATCATAACATACTGAAGTAAGTCACAGCTTGAAAATTCATGCGTGGAACATAACACGGTTCCTATTCTTCAGGGGGAAGATGTACATTGTAGCAGGGTAGAAGGCGTTTTCTATAGGTGCATTGGGTAAGGTGGGAAAGGTCTGCAAAGTCCCAAAGGTGTTCGGAGCCTTCGTGTTTTACTTTCAGTGGATTGTATGTTGTATCAATACTGTATACAGGGCCACGAATGATTGGCTATGCATTCATTAGAAGTTTAAACTGGGAACAAAACCCAGGTATAATGAATTAAGAATTTCATAACAAGACCTGGCTACAATTGGCTTGTAAGGACGAAGACCTATATTCTGTGGCAATGGCATCAAAGATTTCTTCCTTATTGTCTCAAATCCTAATAACTGTAGACGTTGTTCGTGGTTCTTCTATTAGTCACTCCAACATTCATCTTTGTTCCTCAGTTTCATGATAAATACATTGTGCAACCGTGATTCTCTCTGTTCACACACATCTCCTTTGTGTATAAGATACAATTAATTATATTAATATCCCCCTGGAATATCACAAATCATTTTCTATCCAGTGAGAAAAGTGCCATCATCAGTAATCCCAAACCAGTTAAACACCCCTTTTGCCCTCAGTTACTTTTCTATCCTCACCTTAGGTCCCAGCCGCGAGAGCGAGGTGAACGAGAGTCCAAAATTCGAAAAATCGAATTGAAGGTAATCCTGCCAAGATGTGTACCGGTACGTGTTGGGTTTACAAGTGCAGCCGATGCGGCGGTACTATCCTCAAAGACACCAGCATCTCGGGGCACACGTGCAACGCCGCGCGACGGAACAGGAACCGCGGATGCTGCCGTACAGGCGTCGAGTATATGTTTTACGACAAGGATTCCGACGAGATGTGCGGGCTGTGCGAGATCACCGAGGAGTTAAATATGATCAACGCCGAATTCGAATCCGACTACGAGTCCTGTGCTAGTAGCATTTCTGGAGAGTACGAGTCTTGCTTTAGTGGCGTTGTTGGTGGCGGCAAGGATGATGAGAATGACGATGACGATGATGAGGGAGGCGTCTCGTTGAGTGAGAACGAGGATACGAATGGTGATGGTGGGGATCCTATCAAGGAAAATGAAGATGCCAAGATAAGTCCTCAACAGTGTTCCGAAAATTGCTAAATTGAAGCTTTCCTCGCCCGGAATAAAGAGTTTGACTGGCGGCGTACAGGAATGATGCTGGGAAAGGGTTTGGTTACTCGGGAGGGCTTTTGTTCTTTTGGTTGCTCGTTCGGTGGAAGATCAGTAAGTACCTACCTAGACACCCCGTACCCTGGGCACACACACGATATCTAGATAAAACTCGATCGGTAGCCATGAATAGACTTCCACTCACTGACCTTTAGCAAAGGAGATTATTTGACCTATTTGTGTTGTACATGCTGGCTTTCGTGAGGTTCATAGCCATGTGGCTTTGATGCTACCTAATTACCTACCTAACCTACCTGGTAGTTATTCTAGACATTTTGATATACGAGCTTCAACTTTACACTGTGGCAACTTGATGGGATGTTAAGTATCAAAGAATGGGACATTCAAGGTAGTTAAAATTATGATTAATTTTCTCACGAGAAATAGATATAGACTTCTGTTTCAGGAGATACAATACGAGGAGCTAAGAAGTTGTCAGAGAGAACCTTTGATGTACGTCATACGTATAGTGAATGCTAGAAGCAGTAGCCGTACAGTAGTATAAATCTATTAACGATTAATGTTCTATCCTCTTTCGAGGATGCTGCGCGCCCCCTTATACATCTTTACTATGTAGGTTTAGACCTATTTCTGACCAACTTCACTTATACCCCGACAGAAGCGCATAGATTATTGATGTCATATATTGTCCATAAAGAAGCAGGGTTGGTCGGGCTGGAGGTCAGGTGATTGAATATTAAATATTATATGACATCGTCCAAGTAACAACCACTCTGCTTTCTTCGTCTTTGGAATTCATTTACAATGCAGCAGACTATCGACTGCAATATGCGGGGTAGATCTGATATAGAAATAAGTACCTATGTAATTAATTGCGCATCTCGTGTTATCGAGGGGGGCGCCCAGGCTAGTGTCAGTAGGTATATAGTCTCGTCTGCGCCGCCAGCGAGTGGCTGTCTCACTCGCTCACCTTCTTTATCCCGCGTTTCTCGCCCTTAGCAACATACCTCGAAAAGGAAATCTTCAAGAGAAAAAAAAAGAAGAAAAAAATATGGATGATCCGTCAGCCTTAAGATCGTGTACCCACAACAGCGATCCCAGACGGCAAGTTCCGGTTCCGCTTCCGGGGGACGATTCTCGTCTAAGCAACCAATTACACCCCCGGCCCTCAGACGCGGTAATAGCAGCAGCAGCAGTGACAAAAAACCGCGCCCCGGCAAAACCAACAACATTTGCAGACCTACCCGCCGAGCTGCGGGCGATGATATGGGAGTACGCTCTGCCCCCGACGCGCGTCTTCAACGCGCTGGTGTACGCCTCCAAGGGGCTCAAGATGCAGCTGATCGAGCGGAGTCACCTGCGCATGCCGCTCGCGCACGTGTGCTTCGAGTCGCGGCGGCTCGTCGAGAAGATGGGCTATGTGCTGGCTTTCCGCGACGAGGGCGAGCCGGACGATCCGGGAGTCTGGTTTCATCCGCGCCGGGATGTTGTCGAGAGGACGATATGGGGCCCTTGCGAATTCTGGGGTTGGAAGTGATGTGAGACAGCGATGGTGAAGCTAGGTGCTTAGGTTAGTTACGTCGCGTGCGGTGTGTTTAGGGACAGGCTTTGGGGCTAACATGGTGTGTAGCATTCATCATATACTGCTAGAGTGAACTGTTTTCCTTTTTTTTTTTTTTTTTTTTTTTTTTGTTTGCATATAATTGATAGGTACCTTGGGTACGTCTTAGCCCAGGCTGTGGTCTATTGGGTTACGCGGGATTTTTGGGTTTGGCATAGACTCGCAATTATGATATATCCATCCTGCCAGTAACTATATTAAATACGAATACTGAATGATTAACTAGGTAATTTCCCATGAAGTCCCAAAAATTCTAGTCATACAAGTATATTTGAGCCTTCTGAATATTCTTCCCGGTAACCTGTACGTAGGCAGCGCCCTCACCCTCGACCTGAAGCTCGAGCTTCTCGTGGGGCCATAGTGTGACATAATTATCGGACCAGAAAACCGGCAGGACATCTTCTCCCTCTTCGTTGACAAGGTTGAGCCTGATGAAGAACGCGGGTACGGAAGAGTGGTTCTCGAGCACCACACCAAGTCCTCCTGCCTTGGAGCCGCTCCGCTTCGACGTCGCCGTAGTCGTGACAGAGACTTCAGCAGGTTCTAAGCTGTTCAATGCCGTATAATTGGCATATTTGGTGACTGGCGTGTAAAACCAGTCGGAGTTTTCCCAGTCCAAAGTGTCGGTGGTGTTTGCTAGCCAGTATACATTCCGACTCAATGTAGCATTCTTGCCGTCAGAAAGGATAAGCCGCAAGAATGCAATATCCGTTACTGATTTGAGGGCATCCGTGAGATCTATAATATCTTTGCTGTTATTTGGTACGGTATCGAAATCTTCTTGGCTGTTATGAATTGTTTTGCCGTTCTTGTCAATGACATCAACAGTTACCGTTCTCGACCCCTTTCGATCTAGCGAGCGGTTGATCAAGTACACGAGATTTCCATTATAGTCGTAAGCAACATGCTCTATCCTAGACCCGGCCTTTGCCCCGAAGTATGATCCAGCCGGATGCAGATAGTAGTCGAATAAGTTCCAATGCAAGCTTGGCCATGCATTATTTAGCATCCAGTAGATAAGTCCTGTCGCCGGTCTGTCGGCATTCCATAGGGACGCAAAGCCCTCGAACTGGGACTTTGTAGCCTCATAGTCCTGTATCTGAGCTTTAAACAAATAATCTTCTAACGAAGTAGGTGCTCCGTAGCGGTTCCAGAGAGCAGTGTTATAGATATTTCGGTCGTAAAATGATGATACGCTTGTGGACATGTGATACAATCCCTTATTTGGGCTCTTCCACAAATCATCTAAATCTGCCTCGGATAAAAACTTCTTTAGGCTGCTGATTTCCGGTGTCCCAACGCCGCTGCCCAGCTCAGATCCAAATCCAAAGGCAGCTCCGAGACGGTCTTCTGATGGTTCAACGTCATACCAGTAATTCGGTGGTACCCCTATAATAAAATTAGTGAGTGATCAGGCGTATGGTAAGTTTCAAGTGATTTAAGCATATATCAGGCATAGTATCACTCAGAATATATTAAAGGGGTTGGGTTGGGATATTGCTTACAGTCGTAAGGACCTGCCATTTTGAATCCCGACGGCCCCAGAATCTTGGGATAACCCCTCTCTGAAGCTGAAGCAATTATGGGCGCCTGCCAGTCCGCCGCTTTGAGTGAATAGTAGTACGCTTCCGCTGCTTTGTCGTCAGGCCAGTAATCGCTTCCGACTAGATACCCCAGCACGCTCGGATGACTTTGCTGCATAAGAGCTTCGTGGTACATGCTCTTGTTCGCTATAGTGTAGTCGGCATCTGTCCACTCTGACTTGACGGCCAAGTCTTCGTTGTACGTCCAAGCCTCCCATTTATCGCAGCACTCCCAGCCTGGCAGGACCATCAAACCTAGTCGATCTGTGATCTCGTATAGCTCTGGTTGCTCATTCTTGCCTTCTAATCTTACTGTGTTGTGGCCCAAGTCGAGCATTAGCTTGGCTTGTGTAGTAAACTTGGCGCTATCCCATCGTAAGAAGATATCCGCGGAGTAGCCAGAACCGACCACTTGAAAGGGGTAGCCATTGACGAAAAATATAGTGTCGTTGTTTGCATTGAGCTCCGCCGTTACTTGGCGGACGCCAAAGGTTCGCTCTATCCTGTCAGAAATAGATCCATATATGGACGCAGATAACTGTCCCGCGTATAATGGCTGGCTTCCCCACTGCTTGGGCCACCAGATCGCCGGCTCGTTTAATGCTGTCGACAAGACGACCTCAGCAGATCCCAATGGAGGCAGCGTGATAGTCTGGTTCAATTCATATGTATCGCTTGCGCCTTCTAGGGAGATACTGCCTGTTAATTCCACAGTAGCTTCGCGATCCTCCAGGTTCGTAGCTGTGGTCTTCAAATTTATGAGTGCGCTAGAATGCTCGACTGGCAAGCTGGCTTGTGTAGTTACTCGTAGGGGAGCCAGCGAAACAGGACCCGTCTGCTTGATTTCTACATTCCGCCATACCCCCTACTGAGGATGTTAGTGTCAATTAATATTTAGGTAGCACTATTATAAGAAGTTTTGGCTCTACGAACAGTGCCATTATCCGGAGGATATGGGTTCCAGTCCACAAAGCCGAGCTAGAATGCAAAGGTCAGTCATTGCTTACTACGACCGCAAGTTTAAGGGGCTCAAATACACCAAAGTCATAGTTGTAGTCAGTCGGATAGACTTGAATTACGAGCGCATTCGTGTTATTTGCTAATTTGGTAATATCGAAGGTATTTCCGACATAAGCACCCGCTTGCGACTTTTTGGTCACGACCTCTTGGCCGTTTATGTAAATATCGGCACTTGAAGTGATTCCATGGGTCTGCAGATGGAAATAGCGCTTTCCGGGGTTAATGTCAAGAGTGAACTCTTTTCGATATATCCAAGGAACTTTGAATTGACTGGAATTGAAGCTCTGAAGCGCGTCTGAGAAAAACAGTCCGCTCTCACGGTATACACCGGCCTGTATTAGACAGCCCATGAGAGTACAGCGGGAACTGTCGATTTCGTGCCATGTTTTCGTGTCTATACCAGGTCGGGATAATGCTGCAAGATCTGTCCCGACTCGTTCCGTTGATTGAATGTCCCACGATGGTATGATAGCGACCTCGCCGGGTTCAGAAAGCAATGCGGCAGCGGAGAATGTGTTGATGCCAAGGCAGAGCCCCAACAGCGACTGGTACAAATGCATTATAGCTAGTAATGCTCAAAAGTAGATCGTGAAGTCAATAGCATGTTGGAGACGTAGGCCTCGAGAAGGTATATAAACCATTGGGAACAGTTACATCTAGATGATCTGGGACTTATCGGCAGTGTGCGTAGCATGCGTGCTATGCCTGCTATATGCAAGTGGCCTCTCGCAGATTTTCAGAGCCTAATAAGGCAGTTCAGGCTCCGGGGGACCCTTGTTTCGGTACTCCCCCGCAGTCTAGCTGTCATAATAGAAGGGATCTCTCGTGGCTTACACTGTATTTATAGCGGCATTAGGTTTGCCAAGACCAGATGTGCAAGTCTTTTGGCCCGGACCTTCGTACCAGCTATATTAACCATTGGAGGCCCTTGCAGGAAATTGCATCTATATCTTAATTGTCAGTCTACAAGTAGGCATTGATTCGGTTAAAGAGAGACCTGCAGTGCCGGAAGGCTTGGCTGCGGCTTTTAGTCATGCCAATCCTTCTATGGTTACCTCTGCCGTGCATTTCTGTAGAGTAATACTGTTTAAGTTGGTATTGCTAAATCTTCAAAGCCACCAGTAAGGACATTCAATGTATGAATATCACTTCATACCTTTACATATAGCCGTTCAGAGGCTAATACTAGCGTATCTCTGCTAATAGTAAGTATCAAGATGTACGAAAGTTGAATCGCGCGTCTAAAAAGGGGGTGGCCCACGATAGGGGTCTTATTACGGATTACACGACAGACACGAAAGTAAAGTTGAGAGACACATTAACACGAGGATTTAAACATCATTCAACCTTGGATAGATCAAGATTTCGATTTTGTGCTCGAACTATTACTACCTATCCCTTTTCGAATGAAAGCTATTACATGGAGGATCATAGACCATCCTAGAGATATCACTCTGGTTACCTGCTTAAGGAGCAGGCTGAGATCATATATCAAGCAGTCCTCAACCGGTCTTAACGAATTACCAACTGACTGGTACTCCATATCCAGCCCAACCAGCCTCCGTATCAGCTTCTCGCCATTTCTCGATACCGCCCATCACACCATCCCTGCCCACCTTCCACGCGCCACTTTCGACTTGATTGAGCCACGATCTCAGGACTTGAGCGAGGCGAACCGGGTGTGAACCAATGAATGGCACATATCCCAGTTGGTACAAGTCGGCGTGTGTATCGCGTGGCTGGACGACGCCCTGTTTGTCTTTGATTTCTCCGAACCTCGCTCCGTCGCTTGTGCGTGCATATCCGCGTGATCCAATACCAAATGGCAGCACCAGACGGACGCCGTCTTCGAAGCGTACGGTTTTCTGGTCCGAGTCGGTCAAGTAGAGTCCCGCGGGGTATGCATTTACCTGAGACCACGGCCAGGAGAATGGGAGATGGGATCCCCTGCGATCCTTCGCTCCGTGCGGACTAGGGAAGGCGTGGAACATCTCCGCGGCCCGGAATAGTAAGATAGGAAACTGAGTTGTTGAAGGCGTCTCTAGGTACTCTTGATGTATGCCGGGGTCGACCGCACTGAAGGGCTGGTAGCTGAATGTGTCTGTGGAGATTACTTCCAGTCCCGGGGCAATATAACGGAATAACGGCCGTCGTGCTTTGCTTAGAAATTCCCAAGCGAATCCCTTTGATATGTTCAACGCTTCTAGAGAATCGCTAGGGATGAGTGGGCGTTGACCCTCTGGCTTAGGAAATCCCGGGATATTAAGAGTGATGTAAATACGAGACTCAATCGCATCCAAGAGTTGGTGGTAGACGACAAGCGTTTCTTGCATCTGGCTATTGCTATAGGGTAGGATTATCCACGGGTCGAATTTCTCGTTTGGAACCTTTACGTCGGGAGTAACGGCCTTCACCTTGCCTGCTCTTAACATATCAAACCAGGCGCTGAGGACAACTTCAAGGTTGAACCACTGCTGGCGACCATTGCCGATAATCGCGGAGTCAGACATGGCCGTCCTTATAATCGCTTTGTTTTCTTGTTGGTCAAAGCTATCATCATGTTAGCTGAGATACTAGGAGACGTATTGCGAGTCTTACACTAAGCCGTATGGCTCCAAACTGTAGCCAGGAACGACGCCGGTCGCGGTATAAAGCGTCACATAGCGGTCCGCGTCCTCTCCCCCGTTCCCTCCTTGACGGTACGGCCATAGGTAGTCGGGGCTAGATAAGCCCGCAACATAGTAGTGTAGATTGTGGTTATCTACGACCCAGGCCTTTTCCAAAAACGCTATCAAGCATGGCGAGAGACGGCTGCGCACTCTCTCGGCAGCAGCCCCGTAGAATTCAAACCAGTTCCGACGGCGCAGAAATTCTACTCGATCGTCGCCGCTGTTGTGTTCCAGAGGCTTTCCAGAGCCCACCCAGCCTTCCATAAGGATCATGTTGTGCAAGGCAGCGCATCGGACGTAGTCCATCTCAACATCCATCGGCGAGGCATCCATTTTGTTGCGATGGTGAATGTGTGTGGGGTTGGAAGAGCTTCAGTTGCGTGTAAACGTGTGTGATATGTTGTAGGTAGGCACCTAAAGTGGGATCGTGAAATGTACCCAGATGCGTAAAACCACGAGAAATATTTTGTGAAAGTAGAAGGTTATTGTTTTGCCCTTAGGCTATCCACATTTGACTTATCTAGTTTCAAGGACAATGTCGAGAAGGAGCAGATATCAACTGTGTTGAGCCTTGGCTTTTGTGTTATGATAAGTGACCTGCAAGTTTTGACAACAAGAAATATGCAAGAGCATAAGTACCTAAGTCAAGAGAGACCTGTTTTGATTTTAAATATTAGTCTGTTCACTTGTACTAGTGGCAGGTGCAAAATTACAAACCTAAGCCAAAAAAAAAAAAAAAACAAATGGACGTCCTACTGACGTTAACAGTACGGGTTGGCTGAAGCGTCCTACCATACAATAAGTTCTCAATAGGGATATACCACTAGCAATTTTGTATACTACTCTTGGCAACGATAATGGACGAAGCTCTTACTACATACTCTACATAGATGGTGGCTCGCCATATGTTGATATCAACACTGGCGGTGTCTTATATTTCGAGGATAGTGACATGGTTGAAGCGCAAGCTACAGAAAATTCCAACGAGACACAAAATGCCCACAGTAGCAACCACGAAGAGACCTTGTTTTAAGTTACGGCAGTGATACTTAAAGAGCCCTTGGTCCTTTGTTATCTAAAATGAAGTCTCCAGCAACATTCTAGCTAATGGCGGTAAAACCACTGCCTGAGTCTTAAATTAATGAAATCGGAAAAATAGACTTTAGAGCTTCTTAATTCATCGCCAGGTGAAGCCCTAGTAGTGATTACCTCCATGCGGCAATACTTGTCTTAGGAAAAGAGGTCCAAGAGCGTACGTGATAAGGTAACGGGCGAAGAGTAAAAATCAACTATCAAAGGATAATGTTTAGCTCTTTTTTTACTCTGTGACGTTAGTTACTCTCACGGGCTTTTTAGTTACGGAATAATGACTGTTGGAAGGGAATTAAAGGAATATAGTAGAAGGTATAGATGTGCTTTAATTATCATGCCGGGTGCAGCAGAATGACCCGGCCCCGGCCCCGGCCCCACACCGGGGCCGGACCGGGATGGAGAGAACACGGAGCCGATCGGGTTTCTCCGACATGCCGTTCCAACTTGAACAATTACCTTATAGGTAAACCAAATACCTAAATAAGGGCTTAACCCATATCAAATAGGTGCAACAGTGTAATATTAATGATGATGATTATTATGGAGGATCAAAAAAGTCGATCTTGTAAACAAACGTCCAACGTATCTTGAGCTAAACCCCGGAGGGTATCCTATCTGACATTTGGATGCATGGCACGACTAAACATTAACCTCATGCACAGGAAAATCAATCTGGATCATTTGCAATCTCACAGTAGTCGAAATGATAGTGACGGTCTTCCTTGTAGACATACTGCATTGTGAGTCTTGATTAAACGTCAAAAGCTAATTTCTGCCTGGCCCCCGTCAACCACCGCACCAGTCCAATCCTCCTCCTCATCCTCCACCTCACCCTCCAAATCCTCCTCGTCTTCTTCCTGAAATTCCCTGAGACAAATGGAGTTGGATTCAGCGGTGAGTTCATGGATTGCTTCGTCCAACTCTTCGTGGAAACGGGAGACCCTAGAAATCAATAAGTTTCCTGGGGGCGGATATCGTCCAAGGTGAGAGTATCATACCGCTCCTCACCGCGGGTGATGCTAGCGGTCGTGTCATCGTTGTTGTTGTTGTCTCGGTTCCTAGCCATCCAGCCCAGGACGTAGGATCGTTTGGCCTTAGCCGCCGTAGCCTTGACTCTCTTTGCAATGAACTTCGCGGGGGATCGAATGGCACAATGCCACCAGCTCGTGAACCACATTTGCACGTGTTGACGAATGCCTTGTTTTTCCGCTTGGGCTGAGTCCCAGGCCACCTTGTCAGCAAGTAGTGTCTTCGTCATATTTGCTGTAGGGCATCCGAGCAAGGCCTCCCAGACTCCGATGGCGATGATGCTATAGACAGCGGCCTTGCCCACGGACTTGGAGATAGATTTGACAAGTGGCCACATGGTTGAAGTGGAAGTAGGTGGAAGGAACTTTTGTGGTGTTTGTTGTGATCTTCAGTTTGCAAGAGTGGGGAGTTCACACTTGTATTGTGGTAGTTGTGTGTGCAGGAGAAAGATGTGTTTGATGAAAAGTCACTCCTAAGGCTGCAAGATTAACAGTTGGGGAACTTGTACTTTAGTGTGCCTTCTGTCGTCTCAGTAACACTGGGAGTTGGTAAAATGACGATCAAGTCAAGCCTTAGTTGACGATGTGGGAAAAACAAAAACCACTAGGGGAAGTTGCTTTGGTCCCTTTGCAGTGTAAAAAAAAAACTGACAACATGCTACATGCGTACTTGTGTTTTTTTACCTTCTAGTGTGTAGTAAGTTAAGGCATCGAGATTTTCAGATTGCAAGTAAGGAACTTCGCTGCCTCACCTTGTAATATAATCTTGTAGCTAATATTTACTTTCATCCCCCTCTCGTATACCAACCACAAAAGCTTTTGTTATTTACCTTGCATTCATAGGAATCATTACATATTTCTAATTTATTTTTGGGTTTTTATCTAGGTACCTTAGCACATGGTCTTATATCTGTATTAATTACTGTCAGTGCAGTAGGGTACAACATGATAGATAGTAGGTGGATATGTCCATGAGGCAATGCTCAACCAAAAGTAACACAGAGCCATACCTTCCCTTTACTTACCATAAGACTAATCCATTTATTTGATTAAATACAATATACGATTCAATGCCCATCATGGAGTTTTATATCACATCTCTTCCTGAAATTTTTAAGCATATCCTTTTAGAGGATTTCGTATCTAAGCATTTGGGTCTGTTCTCTTTTCTGATCAAACTATTATATAATATTTTTCAATAATTACTTAGTCACTTCCTAGAATCTCGAATCAGTTCCGAATTCTTGTTTACCTCCTCGGTGTTGTATCTAATACCTGATATAAAAGCTAGCTTATAGCAACTCACTTAAGATTCACATGTCGAGGATTATGATATTTGCATTTATCCGATATGCATCATACAAGACAGCCAAGAAGATCTGTACAATACATTACCTAATGTAACTAGCGCCCCTCGATTGTGGCTTGAGCTTTACAGACATCTTTTGGACCTACTGGAATCGACGTCAAGTTTCGACATTAGCTTCGATCTTCGATAAGCTCTCGAGGTAACGACAAAAACTCTCCACTCCGACGCATTTGATGCAGCGTTGAAGAACAACTTTTACCACGGCACCCGACACCCGTTGAAATGTTGACTTCCGCGACAACAGCAACGCGCCTTGGTGTTTTAGGCACTCGTGCCCTCAAATTGCAGGTCGCATTCGCAAGAGGGGCAACCTGCCAATACTCCTCACTAGCATCTCGACAATGCACCACCATCCGTAGTACCAAGTCGATTCCTTCCATCGCAACTCGAACAGTCACCAGAAAATCTGCGCGCAGCATACAGTTCCAAGCTGTTGCCCGCCGTCATGCGTCCACTACAACCTCTGCGGCAGAAACCGCCTCGGAATCTTCTACTCCAAAACTCGATTGGAATACCTTTTTCGCCCTGCGCAAAACGCGGCGTCGCGTCCAGATTGCCAGTAGTGTCCTAACGATGATAATAGGTGGAACGGCAGGTGCTATCCTGCTTGTAAATATGGACATGGACTGGCTGTTGACCAAGGTCCCAATAGACCCGGTTTTTGCGCTGGGTATAGTGGTTCTGAGCTTCGCGGGGCTAGGCTGGCTGGCTGGGCCGAGCGTAGGCAATGCGCTGTTCTACACGTTCAAGAAGGGCGTCAAGAAGCCCATGGCAATTAAAGAGTCTGAGTTCTTTGCGCGCATCAAGAAGAACCGAGTAGATCCTAGCAACAGCTCGTTGAGTGGTAACGCCGGTAAGATTATCTTCCAAGTTCAAGTCGGAATGGAGAGAAATTAGGTTCGCTGACATCTTGGTTTGTTTTTTCTAGTTCCGGATTTCTACGGAGAGAAGATCTCGAGCGTGGCAGGTTACAGACAATGGTTAAAAGACCAAAGGGCATTCAACAAGAAGCGAACAAGCTTCGTCTGAGGAGAAAGGTAGTCTCAGGGGATCGGCCCCATGCAAGGGAGAAAATGCATAGTCCACATAGCCTGACAGGATTACGAGTTTCTTATCATATTAGTGAGAGAATGTATCTCAAAGTTCAGGTAAAAAGCAAAAGCTTCAAAAATCAACGGATTGGCGTTCGGTGGCTCTCCCTCCAATGTATCAACAGAAGGAATCGGTATGATTTTGAAATGGAACCCCCCATTCCTATATTGGCGTCGTTAAACTATATGTGTCGTCGAGATTTAGCGGTTACGTGAAAGGCATTGTTTGGTCGACGTGATGTTTCCAGGCCCTCATACCTCCTTCGATATCACCTACAAAGCGTTCTCCATTCGCATCTAAGCCCATCTCTTTCAGCCTTCGTGTTACTAACTGGGAATCGTTACCCACTCGACAGATGACATATATCGGCGCATTGGGCGATAGTGATTCTGGGATATACTCTGGCACCGAACTCTCCTCGTTGGTAGACTTTTTACTACGACTCTGTAAGGTTGAGAAGGGCACATTAATCGCGCCTGGTATACTGGCAATGTTAAAATGCTCCTTCTCGCGGACATCTAGTAACAAGTGATTCTTGTCGGACTGTTTCGTCAGAATATCATTGTACTCTGTAGCGGAGACTCTTTCCTCGGGCTTCAACACGGTGACTGGCGTGGTCACCCCACAGAATTGTACGTAATCCAATGAACCAGCTCTTAGTTCGCCCAGAGTTAATGTTGATGCGGAGGAGCAAGCAAAGCAGTTAGGCCTTCGACTCCTCATCCTAATTGACCGGAATGGTGTAGTTGAAGTAGCAGAAAACAAAAGTAAACTCGGCGCGATAGGGTCTTTTAGTGCTGAGCTTGAATCTTTTCCGACTCCAGCAACGACCAGTTTGATAGCCTCAAGTGCTTGTAGTACGCCCATAATGCCCACAACCGGCCCTAGGATTCCTCCTTCGCCGCAACTGACTACACTATCGGCGGGGGGTGGCTTGGGGAAGATGCAGCGGTAGCATGGACCACCTTCCACAGCACCTTGAGCTGCTGGTGGATTATTCAAGACAATTAACTGTCCATCTGTCCGTAAGGCAGATGCGGAAACGAGTGGCTTCTGCAACAACACGCAGATATCGGAAATTAAGTACCGAGACGTCGGGTGATCTGTACAGTCGAGAACCAGATCGTACTTAGAAACGATACTCTCGGCATTTTGAGGTGTGAGATGTTCTCTATGGGCTACATATGACACGACCGGATTAAGTGCTCGACAGTATTCGATCAAGCTGTCTACTTTCATCATCCCAACCCTTGAAGTGCTATGTGCAATCTGGCGATGCAGGTTTGATATTTCCACGGTATCACCGTCAACGACTCCGAGGGTACCAACTCCTGCACCAGCTAAATATGCAGCGGCCGGACAGCCTAAACCTCCAGCACCAACTATCAGGACCGCAGCAGACTTCAGGCGTATTTGGCCTTTGATGCCGACAGTGGGCAGTATCAGTTGACGACCATAACGAGAATATTCTTCTTCGCTCAAGGGCCACTTCCATTCTGGCGGGTTCGTATTTGTATTTAGACTCTGAGAGGTTGGCTCGAGTTCTTCTAGTTGTCTTCGTAAGTCTTGAAGCTCTTTCTCTGTCTGAGATATTTTGTAGCGGAGCTGCTTTGCTTTATCCGTTATTGAATCCATGGTGTCCATAGCACCTTTACTTGTCAACCAGAATTTTAGGTGTCAAACCCCATGCCTCACTAGCGACGTTGAGGCTGAGGAAATATACCGGGTATATTCCGTATACCAAGAGGTATGTAAAGGTGTTGTGTGCAGGTACCCGGGTCCTACCTAAAAAAATGATATGCGGCTACCTGAGCACTTGCAGCACAAAAATGTGACCTGCATGTACCTTCTTAAGCTATTTTGCACTAAACAACTACAATAGCTAATGCAATTAGAGGGTATCAAATCTCCACTCGGACTGATCCCATAGGCTTAAGCCTAACCGGAAATGCAGTAGATGCATAAGGTATTAGACATGTCGTACTTCGTCCATTTAAAGGGAGGCCTTAAAATAGATGTAAACAAGTTCAAACGTTTTCGTCACCCCAATCGACTTGCTAAATAGGAACCTCGGTCAGCATGTCCCATGTGAACGATTCAATTCCCAGAGCTCTGGGTCTCCGGTTTACGGTCATCAGCCGGTCGTTCTCTTGGCCTAGGTATCATGGGTAGGTATCCAGGTATCATCAGATCTACAAATTTTGATATAGCTCATCGTCTTTTTTGTTTCCCACCTTGTTTGCGATGTCTTCGAATACTTACGAGATAGGACAAGCTTGGGTCTGATATATTCAAGTAATCCGATCAAGGATTTATTAACCAAGACTAAACCATCCATCGAATCCCCCGCTCTACGAACTACCTGTCGGCGTCCTACCCATTCTGGATGGTCAACCGTCCACTGACCCCCACCTTCAAATGAAATGGGTGTACAATAGAAGTTTACGAGCCTCTTTTCTTTTTCTAAGACATCATCAGCTGAAGTTCACCGGATGAGATAATGCAGAGAGGCAGAGTTCAAGTGACACCCACTACCACCTAACATAAAAGATCTACTATTTACCGTTTCATCCAAATATCCGCTACAAGCCAAAGGATTATAGGGCCACATAGGGTCTTTTTAACCCCCCCGATGTTCTAATTCCACAGAGTAGAATAGGACCAACTGGGAAAAGTCGTTTCTTTTACGTGGTACCTAACGTATCTGGCCAAGCGACCGAGTAGTGGAGTTAAGGATTCGGACTGAAATTCTATATATCAAATTTTTTACCTCTTCGAACACTAAGCTATTAGTCCGAACCGATTCAAGCCGATCTTGTCAAAGCTTTATATAAAAGACGTTGACATGGTGATACCTAGTAGCCCATCGCTTGACTGACTACCTAGGTAACTAGACTCTTAGCGGATGTGAGACAACCCTTGCATATTTATAGCTCGTGATATCTTACATATCGTGAAATATGACGGAAGATACATGCATTTACTCCATCCTTGTACGAATTGAGTCTGTGTTACCGTTCCTTTTTTATTTACAGAGGTTCATCGAGCCTCTGCAGAAAGGAGCGGGGACAAGTTCTGGACCCTACAGTGGGTCAGTGGCCCTGCAGTGGCCCTAAACCGGATGTCGCGTTAGCTGCATGTGTAACCCCAGCATAGCGCTGAGACCGTCACCTGCCCACAGCGCAAGTTCATCCTGTTCATCCTGGCTTTTCCCAATTGTACTAACCGTTTTAATGCGTAAATCCACTCTGGAATCCCTGTCATTGTAGACAACCAATAAACTTACCCGAATCCATCCCCCACCATCTCCTCGTCTACATACCAAGTCCTCTCTTTTTTCCTTGAGTTCGCCGTCGGGAGTCAAAAGTCATCTGGTGTCCAATCCGGGCTGATTCCTGTTTTCCTGTTCGCCAGACATGTCGGGTTAAATGAAGCTCCGTACAAATCATCCCGCAATTTTCCTGTCGTTAGCTTCAGTCTAATATTGCTTGCGACTACATAGCCTGCTTGCGAGGCCTTCTAGTGGGCCGTTGACGGAATTCATAGAATCTTCCGCGCGAGTTTTGTTCTTCTCCTCAGAAATGTGTTGACCAACGTCATCGAAACGCTTCACGCTGCGCGATCGCAGTATCGACGAAAATTGTCGCAGCGACGCAAGATTATTTGAGAATAGGTTTGGCCAGCATAATTTTTTGGGACGTTGTATAGCCTCGTAGCGAAATACGGTGAGCTTGCGAACCTGATCGCGGCGACGACTATAATACACTTTCGACGGTTTGACGGCCGCCATTGCTAGGTATGGCCATGATGGACCCGAGTGCTTGGAATGGACAAGACCAGCCCATGTCCTCGGCCGGCGAAGATGACTTTCAACAATTTCTTGAGATGGGAGGCATGTCTAGTTTGGGAGACGGCTTGCAATTTGATTTCCACGACTTCAACAGTGTTAACGGCGCCTCGATGATGCATCAGCCTCATGGCGATTCCATTGATACTCCGATGAGTAACTCGAATGTACCAACAATTATTGCGAGAAATGATATGGGGCCGCAGAGCCAGATGTCTCCCATGACATCTGCTCCGAGTCACCCAGGGATTCCAACCCAAATGATGCCTCCGCACCACACATCCTCTGATGCTATCTCCGAGATAGATGCGCAGATACAGTTCCTGCAGCAGCAGAGGCTACAGCAGCAAAGAAGACAGCTAGAGGAGCAGCAGAGGCAGTTTAGGGAACAGCAAGCCGCTTTCTATGCCCAACAACAGAGAAACATGGTACCGCCGACCCCTCAAAGCCTTGAGATACAAGCAGCAAACCAATTCTTTGCCTCGCAAGACCAAGCGCACTCTTCAGGCATGTTCGACGGATACCATCAACAGTTAAAGGAGCCACAAGATGCATGTCACCTTCCCCTAGCCTTGAATATCGTTGGCTGACCGTTCAGCAGATGGCCTTCACCCCGCTAGTATCCCCTGCGGTAACGCCCCTTGAGCCTCACTTTCCAGTTGACCCCGGATTTTCTCAGTCGGGGCCCTACTTCAGCCCCTTGACCTCTCCTGCACTACATGCGCAGAATGAGTCTACGTCGACATTTGATCATAGGCACTCGGGTCACACAACGAATTCTCCTATTGAAATGGACATCGAGCCGCCTCTAGCACAAAGCAGTACGACAAATTTATCGAAGAAGGTACGCAAAAGCAATGCTACCAAGGCGAGAAAGTCGAACATCCGACAGTCTCCCATCACAAAACCCCAAAGACGAAAAACGGGTTCGACTCCCATAATCAATGCACAGGTTCTTAGTGAATTAGCCGAATCCGCAACCGAGAGCTCAGAACACCCCCCGCAGCCCAAGTCTGTCTCGGCAGTGTCGACGGAAGAATCAGAGAATGCCTCAGTATCCCCGGAAGCTCTTGAGATGCCCCCTCCGCCGCTTCCTCTACCACGTTCCGCCAGGCAATCTCCGTATATTCAGCCGCAGACTAACGGGAGCACGGCGCCTTTGGTGTTACCTACCTCCTTGGGCGGGAAGCCGTCGCCCGCAACTCCGGCTTCACTTTTTAGAATATCACCGAAGAGCAAGTCGGCTGACCCGAATAATCCTGAGCACGGCGGTTCCGAACATATAGAAAGCTTCGAACTTCCCGAATCGGTTAACTTCTCCAAGCCCGATTTACCTTTGATCGACACTCAACAACCGGTAAGAGTATCTACCGAAATAGAGACGGCAAAGACATCCACGTTTCAGTCTCTTCCGTCCCCGGTTCTCCCCAAGCCAACGGGCTCGGCAACGGCATCAGCAACGCAGAGCCCTCAGCTCACTCCTAAATCTACCACCCCCAACCCCAGAAAAACTCCGTTGATAGCTCCGAGAGGTCCTAAGAAAAGGCCTAGTATTAGTTCTGTTTCACCAGCTCTACGTCCGAAAATATCCCCGAATATCAAGCCGCTGCTCCCGGGGACACCTGGCCTGTCTGCAGAAGATTCCGCATCAAGGCTACTAGCATCCAAATCGAACTACCAGAACATATTAGAAGGGAATACCGTCCCGGGAGTGTCGTATCCAAGCGAGCTATCCACAAACCTAACTTCGAAACGGACTTCGCACAAAATTGCAGAACAAGGGCGTCGAAACCGTATCAACTCTGCACTCCAAGAGATTGCAACTTTGCTGCCAGCAAATGTTGCTAGAGAGTTAAGTGAAGGCGACGGCGAGGCTGGGAACGGGGAAAAGAAGGACGGCAAGCAATCCAGCGCGCCGAATAGCAAGGCTAGCACAGTGGAGTTGGCAATCGTATACATCAAACAACTACAACAAGAAATAGCCGAAGCGAATAGGAGAGCAGATGAAGCCGAGAAGAAACTTGAGAAGAAACTTGAGGAGAAAGCGACAGCGAGTTGACAATGACCGAATGGCGAAGACCGGGTGGCAGAGCCTCCATTTACTAAAGGTTGGCAATGTATCGGATTACTTATATTGTTTGCGCACCGACTTGCTATGCGAATTAGAAGGCACGTTGTTAGACGACATCTTCCACGGGAAGAATATAATATGAATATCCCTAGTTATCACCTAATGAAGCTAAAATGTACTGTTATATAGGTAGGTATACTTTGAGGGAGTGTAACATTTTACAATATGAAAGGAGGTGGTTACTGCTGTGGTAGAGCGTTGCGACGATTATGGTGGGAAAGCTTAACGAGGGATTTAGAAGCTTTGTATTTATATCACGATTGTTGTATATACGTATAGGTATGCTACGACAGTAAACCTGTTGTGGACCTATGTATGATACATGTTAGGTTAGGTACTTATTATAGAATGACTTGCTATAGAATAATTTAAAATTTAATGCAGATAAGTAGAAATACTCAGCCGATGGTGTTTTGTTTATTATTTAATACTAATACCGTTGGTAGATGTGGCTACCGTCTTTCTTTCGTACTGAGATGCGTACCTAAGGTAACTATTCAAACAATTATACCGTAAATATACGGTATTAATACGGTCCTAGGGTCCTATATTACAGGTACTGACGCTAATGTACATGTGACAAAGGCCGTGACACCGACACCAACTTCACTTTCAGATCCATGTCAACTTTCACCTTAACGTTTCTTGATACTTCCTTTTGAAACCCGTTCCCCTAAATCTATCGTATTATTCTTTCTTAATAGTCCACCACCGGAAAGCGAGCTTTTACTTTAATTACTTTAACCAGAAGTCAATCAACTATCATATCATAATCTGCTGTACCTACTCTCCCGAATCCACCACCGTCCACCGTCTCTTATCTATCTGTCATCATCATGAAGCTGCATTACATCGGAGTACGTATAATATATATGCGCCTCGACCGCCAACCTCGATTCCCGACCACGAATATACCCAAACTAAATATCTACGAATTACATACGTACCAACAGATAAATAACTAACCAGGCCTCTTTACTATATTATAGATTATCCAGAACGAGAGCAAGCCGGGTGTCGAGATAGTCGCCGAGAAGGAGCTAAGCCAATACTCGCGCTTCACCCGTCAAAAGTACGACCCTGATTAGCCCGCCTACACGGGTGCCAAGAAAGAGATGGTTAACTAACTAATGCTGATCTAGCTATGGCGAGTTCATGACTATGATCGCGAAGACGGTAGCAGAGCGAACAAGGCCAGGGCAACGACAAGATGTCGAGGAACAAGGTGCGATTACCACCACCACCACCACCACCACCACCACTCTCCCCTCTCCCCTCTCCCCTCCGATACAAAGCGGGGAGAATACAAATAAATAAACTAAAACTACTCCTCGCAACCCCGGCTAAACAAGCATATTTATTACCAGACTACACATTCCACGCGTACGGGCGCACCGAAGGCGTCTGCGGCATCATCATCTCGGACCACCAGTACCCGGCCCTCGTAGCGCACCAGCTCCTGTCCAAAGTCGTCGACGAGTTCCTCGCCGCGCACCCGCGCTCGACCTGGTCATCCGGCGGCCAGACCAACCTCTCCATGCCCGAGCTCAAGGACTACCTGGCCAAGTACCAGGACCCCCACCAGGCCGACAGCATCCTCAAGATCCAGCGCGAGCTCGACGAGACCAAGATCACCCTGCACAAGACCATCGAGAGCGTCCTCCAGCGCGGCGAGAAGATCGACGATCTCGTTGCCAAGAGCGATGGGCTTAGTACCCAGAGCAAGATGTTTTATCGTACGTTGCCTTGCCTTGCTTTTCTTTTCTATCTTGTTGCTATTGCTCTACGTATTGGGTTGGGTAAAACGCTGACCTCCCTCCGTAGAACAAGCGAAAAAGCAGAACTCGTGCTGTGTTCTTATGTAGAGACCACACACACCATTATTGTTTACTAGCTATAGTGGCTAGTACTGGTTAAGCGATTTTGCGTTGCCTCCGTTCCAGCCCAGCATAGTGATGGAACTTGTATTGCTGCAGGCTATCTATGTATGGAGATGGTTATTTTATTTCGTCTATCTATTATATCCGTGGGCATTGCCGCCCCGAAACACGAGAAAAGTGTGAGTGAGCAGTCATTCGTTGGCAGACCGGGGGAATATCGTCAAGGTAGAGAGAGAATGGGCCGAGCTGAGAGGAAACGGAGAATTATACGCGGACATGGCTACATAGACATTCCCGACCAATGAAGGCGGGCTGGCTTAATACTATATGAATGGACAGACGCGTCGATACGACATGGAGCTTATCACGGAGCGTATTTGGAGCGTATTATATATATAGGGGCATAGGTGTGTTGTGTTGTTCTAAGCCAACCAACCAATCACCCAAGAACTAGATTCAGATTTTTGACTACCACGAAACTCAATATCGCTCCAAATTGCCCCTGATCTCACTACTCCCAGCTGGGCAGCCGGGTTTTCTTTCTATCTGCATCCAACGGTTCCAGTCCAAAGTAGGACGCTAAACGATTGACCATCAAGGCGCATCGTGCGTCCTCTATTCCACCTAATCCCATGGCCAGGCCATGTTTTCCCCCTCCCCGCTTCTTTTTATCCTTCCTTCTCTCTCTCGTCGACATAGTAAAGTGCTAAGTCAATAGCTAGCCGATAGCCGATAGCTGCGTGACAGTGACGAGTCGCAGACTCTTTTCCATAATATCTTTTTTCTCTCCAAGGGGTATATTCCGAGCCAGAAAAGAAAAAGGAAAAAAAAAGACAAAGAAAAAACCAATAAATCCCCTAACTAGCATTACCCTACAACCTGTCTATACGAATGCTAAGTATGGGTTGGGTAATATCGGCGCCACGAACGCCGGGTCGAAGAGAAGTAAAAATGCGAATCTGACAAAGTAACTAACTCCCTATAGGTAAGCTGAATAAGTAGGGGGATGCCGTAAGGACAGATGTGAAGAAGAAGAAAAAAAGAAAAAAAAAGCGATCTAGTTTACGCGCGGTCCAAAACGACCCGTTCACTCTTCCGATGGTATGCCAAGGGGGACTCTGCTGTTACCTCTTCTTCGGGAGTGATCAAGGTCGGCGTTGCGGTCTTGGTCTCAGCGAGCCTCTCGTTCTGGGCGGTAGCAATCCTCGGGACCGGTGGCGGCCGTTTTCTGACCGACGCCGCCTTGTTCAGGGGCTTCAGCATCTTTCGCTGCTGTCTGGATATCGATATCTGCCTGGCGATTGATAATTCGACGGGGTTCATGTTGGAACTATCTACTATATCGTCGTCGTCGTCGTCGTCGTCATCGTCGTCCTGGGATATCTTCTGGCTTAGATGCGAGTGTGCGGGTGACGTAGGGGAAAGAGGTGACTTTTTATCGCTTTTTGATGATGAGGATGATGTAGTTGGGGGCGTGGGGTTTGGCGGTGTTATCATTTGCCACTTGGGTTCTTGCATGTATGAAGCTTTTGGCCGTAAAGGTTCCGACTTGACGACCTCGATTTCGGGAGAAGAAGGCGGGTCGATCGGAGATTCTAGTATTAGACTTGATGTCTCAGGGGTGAACTGATGTTCCCTTTCCCTGGCGGCAGCCTGTTGCTCCCTTGCTCTAGCTAGAGTTGCAATGGTGAGTTTTTCCTGTGGATAACGATTGACGGATGGTCCTTTGCGAAGGTGGGGGATCGGTTCATCGAAGCTCGCTTTTAAAGGTGACCGAAGTTGTGCTGGAGAGGTGTTGGATCTTAAACGCGATGATGAGTTATGAGATGTCTGTGCTGGCTTCTGAGAAGGAGCCGCAGGAAATAAAGCAAGTGATGGTGACATGTCCGCAGGGGACGACTCTCTTCTCGAGACATCATGATGCTTCCTCCCCTGTTCGAAGAATTAGAATATGAAAGCTGCTAAGGACTCGTGTTCGCTTACTTTGTCATGTTCTGTAGCGCCATCAACGTCTTTTAGTTTCTGAACGGTAACTTGCCGTCGAGCTAATAACGAAGGCTGTGACTGTAAGACGCTTCCAAACATAACGCTGTATCTCTCCATCGTAATCTGGGGAATCTCAACATCCAACAGGGGACCACTTGGAGCCGGTTTGTTGTCTAACGCTATCGGTATTCTCCCGTGTGTCTCCTTACTCCTTTCTCTCAACGTCGACTTTGACTCCTGCGCCGAGCTGTCTCCCTGGTAAGGCATCGTTTGAGATCTGGATGCGACGGGCTTATGCCTTGGCGCTCTTCGTGTACCGACAGTGTTGCTCCTCTCCACTTTCAAGTCATACCGAGACTGGGATGCTAAATTCGCCGGCTGTTCAGGTAGGGGCGTGCCTTTCTGCTCGTTTACCTTCGAGTGCGACTGGTCCGATGACTTCTTCCCGAACATGCCAAACAACCTCCACTTCCCCGACTGCTTCCTGCGCAGAGACTTCTCTGGAGAACCAGCAGTGCTAACACCAGATGTTTGTGAAACTAGAGACGCAGTTGAGCCTTGCGAGGTCTTAGCCATAGCTTGTGGTGTTTGCAAGCTCCCGTTCGCCGGACTCATACTCATCGTAGGACTCCCGAGTGCCATGCCAATTTCCGTAGGATAAACCTCGTTAATAGATTCAGGAGTAGGCATCCTGATAGTTGGAATATATATATTTTGTGGAGGTGATGTCCGCGGACTAGACTCTGGAGTAGGTAGTGGCCTTTGTGAAAAACCATGCACCCTAAATTCTGCTGCGGCACCTGCTCTATGATTGATAAAAGAGTCATCCCGAGAGACTCTCTTGTCATACTTAAAGCTGTTAGCTGAACCTTTCGAACTCGGGCCCCCAGAGGAGCGCGGTCTCAGTGACATCTTGACTTCGGGTAGCGGCGTGGCAGGTAGAGGACGATAACATAAATTGGTGGTTGCAAAAGGGCCCGGGTAACGCGTACTGCCATCATTATAAGAAAGTTATGGTAGGGCGGGATCTGATACACAACCCAGTCTTCTTAGGACGGGGTATTAGTCGGGGACGTGCGTCACGAACACATCCGGACTTGCATGACCTCCATCGGCGGTGGTAGTCTGGCAACGGCACTAGCCAGGTTACATAGACGAGAACTACGATCCCTGAATGATTTAGGCTCCTTAAACTTTAAGGACATAGGCTTTTAATGTTGCGAATACTGTGAGACTAATGAAAATGTACCGATATGTGATCATTACATAGACGGAGTTTCCAAAAAACGGACTCGAGGAACTCTTAAGAGGGTCGACATTTGAGTCGTCCGCCGTTTGAACGGAGGATATAAGGAAACAAGGTGCGAGTTTCCTGAGCCACTAGCAGGCGATCCTCTCGGACTCTGAGGGGGGATAAATGTTATTTCCCGACATAGTACCTACCTATTCGCATTATGGGCGGCATACTACACACCACAAACCCATCGGTAATGACGCCTATGGCGGTCTGGGGAATTCCATCTCTCCTGGATAATGCTAGAATATCGATGCTATTGGCGGCTGTTTGAAGTTGATGGATCATGGGATGGTTATTTTGAAGAGGGCGATCAACGCCTAGGATTCAGCTCCAGAATGCATGATAGACAGCGTCAAGGGTGACCCTTGTCTCCCTGGGTATTTTACTGGCGACAGGGGTGTTTTTTTGAATGACGCGAATGGATCCTAGGGGGGGAAGGATAGAATTAGCGATGGTGTCGTGTATCAAACGCCAGCACTAGCATTGACGAGATCTTAAGCCCAGTAAGCCCATCCGTAACCGAACTATTCGGATGAGAAGAGCCGATACAGCGCTATCATAATAGGCAGCTGTGCTAGGCTAGGAATTCAACTGCAGCGTCTATCAGAAGGGCTCGAGAAGTTGTTGGATACGGGTTATATTGTTTGTGGTGCGTACGTATTACAAGGAATAACTCTCGACACAACGTTCCCTTGGCAAATTAGCCCCCATTTTCACCCAATGGCCCGATAGACAAGGAGAATCGACAGAGTCTCGAACGAGTTAACAGCTCGTAGCTCCAGGCTGATTAAAGTATGTACCGGTATGCGGTGTAATTCTTGTGGATGAGCAGATACGGCGACGAACGGCCAAGACTAGGAAATGAAAAGGAGGCTCCTTTCATCGTACTTGCAGCGGTACATTAGACCCAAGACTGCATGTTCCATCACTGATGTTCCATATTACTACGTCGTAGTTCTCCGATCTGATAGGACGAGAAGCATGTTTGACCAGCAGGGAATCTTGGTCGAACTTTCAACTTGCCAGATCCCTTTTACTTGCATCTTCCAATGTTCCAATGGAACTGTTCATCTGCAATGGAACAACCCCCGGATCTTTTCGCTCATTTAAGAAAAGGTTCCAATCAGAACATCTCACTTCTAAGAATGTTCGATCGTGTGTCGGTTGTTGTAAAATGAGCGATTACTGGCAAGACTACATCTCAGGATGAGACAGCTTAGTCGGCGACGGAAGTGTCATATTAGACAGTTGAACTAGGTGTCACAACTTTGAAGTCGGTGTTCGATAAATTAACACATGGCGTCGGATATTCTTTAGCAAGCTTGGCCAAGTAATCAATTAGTTTCCGAAGTTCACTCGTTTCCTTTGAGCAATTTGCGGACAACTTGTCTACACTAGGCTAGGCTCTAAGCTTAATACCGTTAGGTTAAAAAGGGGTCCTACCTGCCTTAGGTTTACATACTGTTCCTTAGGTAGTTTCATGAGACCCAACAAGGTAAACCCCGGTCTTTGAAACATGGAAGCTGCAAACTATCCCAGAACTGCCACTGCCAGAGTCCGGCTTTGGTCTGTGCTACTATGTACAATCCATCCCGCCTTACAGAACCGAACGAACCCGGGGTACCTAAATCTTTCCCATCATATCACGTAGCACGGTAACTTGGCCGGAGATTTTATCTTCAATTTTATCTTCAGCGCCGCAACTATATAAGCCTTGTAATTATCACCTCAGGCACTCAGGGCTACGCTAACGTCGGACTCTAAAAGTTAAGTATAACCTTTAAGTATCACCTCGAAACGCATGGTGGTTTCTTCTGAGGGTAGATCGAAGTCAATTCGAGAGTTACATCGAGCCATCTTTACTTCTATAAGTAGTGTTTGCGATCCTCTCCGTCAGTGCGGCATACCAGCATACATAGAGATATAATCCTGGGCGACCTGGCTTAGATCATTGGCGATCGACATATCTGATCGACCAAGACGATCTAAGTCGCATCGCTGTCCGTCAGTCCGTTCGAATGCTTAAATGGCCGACGTGGCTATACAGGGTTAAACTCGGTAGGATCAAGGTTCCTTCGGGGGGCGGAACGGAACGGAGGTTGCGGCCATGGGGGCCACTTAAGCCCACGAGGAAGCACGGCGAATCCGTCTGTTCTAAGATGGTGAAGAGATAGCCCACAAGTGTTGTTAGAAATACGTTACGTGGTAGCACATGTGCCGTTGACAGAGGCTCCCTAAGAGCTTATGACTCGCATGTGAATACGTGTCAACGAAGCCAAAACTGTTTTAACTAGATGTAAATGCTACATCAGTAATGAGCATATACACTCATCACCAAGGGTAAACTCACATTAGAGCTTTACTGGATACGCCTGAAGCTTGTAAGACTCGAAACTCTACACTTGGCACTTTCTCGGCATGTTATTCCTATATAAAGCGTATGTGATTTCAAAAGTCTGCTACATAGGTTACAACTCATAGCCTCAAGGTCAACTTACATATGACCATATAATTATTGCATATGATATCGCATTATGAGCTCGCTATCTGAGAACTATTAATGGTGTAGCTACGATAAACGTATAAACGTTTCGAAGCTATATGTAGATAGGGAGAGTATAGATACTTGGTAGGGTCGTATATCATCCTCCTGAGCTTGCCTTGATTTGACGATGCATAGTTACATATTACACAAAAGAGGGGAGATTTCCTATGATATACTATGTAAGGTATATAACATAACAATGACGTTATTCCCATCGTCGTCTAGTGTATTAAAAGACACAAAGTTTACGGCCGCGAGTACTAAATGGGTAACGAAGGCGGTGAATATTATGTTGAGGGAATGGGTCTAACAGAGGGTGTCGGATCGTCTTCATGCGCCAAATAAATTGGCAGGGGATACACCGCTGGCGTTTAGAGCCAATATAGTGTATAGGAGTGATAGTGGGTTGTGGGTTCGAAGAGGATCTTGGACTGGAGACAATGTTTTCCACTCGGCCGACAAATTTTGTCGAGATGGACATGTCGGTGTATATTAGATTAGATTATATTGTATGTAGGTAGGTAATCCGTATGTAGAGTCGATTTCATGATTGGGATCCATGGAAAGATGAAAGATGGCAATAGTCAGACTGACGGTGAGACGATGAGCTGTGTCATATAGATGGTTTTACAAGATCTCGATTGCATGAACATGCGCTATTTATTTATTTATCTTGCATAAAATGATAAATGTTTTTGTTTCGTGTAATACGCCGTCATGGAACATTCAAGAGCTGAGTTTGTAATGTCACGTAGGAATAGAGGTATATACTTTTGTTAAGTATATCGAATCGAGGACCTCGGTTCTCTTTCCAATTGGGACCGACGTACGATGGCGGGGTGCTGAGTTACATATCATTATCAGCTGGCAAGCAAATAGATAAAGAGCGTTGAGCTTATGAGCTGTTATCGATGTTGCGTGTGGCTTGATAAATTGCGAATTGTTTTTGTTAGGTGGAATTTCATTAGGCCAAAGGGCGGGGGAGGAATAGGACCTAAAAAAGACCTGCCATTCAGCCAGTTATAGCGCACCGCCCCAGCGCAAATCCAAGCAAGGGTGGGCCAAGTGACAGTGAGTATGACCTAGGTGGGCAGGCGGGTTTGACACCTGGACAATGGACTGGTAGTGGGTTGGCGGACAGCAGCAGCAATCAAATGGTAGGATAATCCAACCCCGACCCCGACAAAAAAAAAACAGCCCCTCATTCATCAGACCGCGCATGCATCGTACATCCCTATTCTTTTTTCCCCTTTGACATCAGAAGCTTTAGACTAAATCTTCCCTAAACACGCCAACTTCGCCCATAATCCATAATCCATCCTTTCTCTCTTCCTCCCACTCCCTTTTGCTTTTCAGCCATCTGTACACCCAGACAGACAAATAACACAAACTTAGCAACCATGTCGTGGCAAGGTAAACAAATCCCCCCTAATCCCCCCTCCATCCGTAACTACCTTTCAACCCCACCTTTGTTAGGGGACAGGGCTGATTCTTCGTCATAGCCTATGTTGACTCCAGGTAATTATCATCACCCACGATCCGGCAGCGTCGTAACTACACGCGATAATCGATAATGTACTAACCGCTCCTTCGTAACGATAGCCTGGTCGGCAGCGGCCATATCGACAAGGCTGCTATCATCAGTGTTGCGGGTGACAGCGTTTGGGCCACTTCGAGCGGATTTACGGTATTTTTGATAACCCCTGTCTTTTATTCATCCCTCCTCGCCTAGTCGCAAACTAGATACGAACGTAGCGTCGAGCACGCGGATGCATATAAGAGAGGGATCTTAGCTAATACAAGTCTTGCGATTGTAGATTAAGCCTGAGGAAATGAAGAACATCGCCAACATCGTAACCCAAAGTGCTGGCGCCGTTGAGAAGGCCCAAGCAGATGGTATCCACGTTGCGGGCGAGCGATACGTTGCCTTCCGGATTGAGGATCGGAGTGTCTACGGACGACATGTACGTTAACAGGAAATAGTTCCTCCCCACGTCTCATGGGCCATCTAGAAGTAGTTGTTGACTGATATATAAAACCGCATAGGGCCGAACGGGTGTCGTCATTGTCAAGACAAAGCAGGCTATTATAGTTGGCCACTACGGCGAGGCTCACGTAGCTGGCAACTCGACGCAGACTGTCGAGGCGTTGGCCGACTATCTCATCAAGGCCGGATACTAGAGCGGGCATGGACCGAGGAGTGGTAGATATCGTGTGAGAGTGGATGCCCCGGACCGACTGGGAGCATGCTTTGGGACTGCAGAGCGAGAGAGAGATCCCCCGGGCCGTTCCCCCTAGATTCTGCATAGGCACAAATGACAATGGCCTTTTTCTTTTCACATGTAGAAAAGTTATACAACGCTTTCTGCGCGTGGCAAATTATTTTTTCACAACCTTGCAGGCTTATATCTTCTAATTTGCTTCTGGGTATCCCCGAACCTAGTTTGGCACTCCCCCCTACAATCCTCTATACTGTCATATATACAATATCATACAGAGCGTCCCATTTCCGTCTTAACGCCTTTTCACGTGATCCGAAAATGTCATGGTGCTTAAAGTCGTAACCAGACCCCCCCTAACGGCGTGAAATAGAGAGGTAAGTGTATAGTCCGGGTCGTAATTAGGGGTAAGTAAGCGAGTAAAAAAGGGGCTTGCCCCTTTCAAACAGGCAACTCGGCATTCCGTAGACCTCCAAAGCCCGGGATACGGTCGATAATAAGGCCAATATAAGGACCGACAATTGGGGCATTTCGTGCAAAACTTGCGATCGTCCCGAGGAAGTCTCCGAACAGCACCACGATGCCGTATAATTCAACGCAGAACCCAATCAGCGCCCATCGCATGAGGATTAATGTTAATCCCAAGAAAAAGGCCGCGGTACCCTTGGCTTTCTGCTTCCGCGCGAAGAAGAGCAGTGTCTTCTGTGGACCGATGATGATCGTCAGGCCGATTAGGAAGAGGATCTAGAATCGTTAGAGGCGAACGGTGGACGGTGGTTAGGTACTCGAGTACGGGCTAGGGTTCAAGAAAAGGAGTGGCGTACATTGCCCATCGCAAGCCTGTATGTATACTCGCGCATTAGTATACCTGATAGATCGTACGAAGGATTACATAGGTAGGTAGGTAGGTATCTATGCGCAAGGCCGGCACGTGGACACTTACATAGCTCGATCAAAGAACAGCATGACTCCTCCAATCAGGAAGAAGCCACCTATAGGAACAAAATAGACACAACATCAGCTGCCGAGGGACACATAGCCATACACTCGCGCACGTAAACGTAAACGTAGGTTACCTTGGAGGAAGGCATACAGACACGCGGGCGCAAGAGCAAGAGCAAGAACAAGCTAGATTACCACGTACCGCCAGAGCAGAAGGCGACCCCGATTTCTGTGCGCAGCCTCGATGGTTAGTCCATGTAGTCCCTTATATTGCACCTAATGCAACAAACACAAAGACTTAAGAGCTTGCCGGGTCCGGTCTTACTTTGGGCGTCTGATAACCACATGGTGGGCATCTTGGAGCCGGCCGTCTACCTAGGTAGGTATAAATGGAGAAAGGGAGCTCCGTAAGTAAGCTTCAAGCTGTCTACCTATGTAGCAGCGGGCCTAAGGGCGGGTATACCTATTCGTGCTCGTTTGAGGGGGTGTAGGCGTGATAATTGGTATACTGAAGTTTTGGACGCTTCAATGTCGTACGTATCGTGAGTTTTCCTACGCACTTCGCAAGGGAATAATTTATTTGGTTTAGGTAAAGCTTAGGTACGTATACGGTATACATCCAGGGGACGGCGGACGGGAACACGAATCGCGGAATTGAAACAAGGACCAGGAATCTACACTACACCTCGAACCCCTGACATAACACATAACAGCCGTATAATGTGGCCGGACAGTTGGCCAGCAGCTGCCGATGGGAATCTCTTCATTTAAAATCGATAAGAGAATTTTGGTGCTCTTCTACCTTTTACAAAAGTTACATATTTCCCATCTTAGGTGTTGACGGTTCAGTCGTTCAAAGCCATATAAAGCAAGGCTCACTCAATAATAAGTGTATCACGGTAAGAACAAATGGTAAGAAAAATCAAGCTGATTGCAAATATCTTTTGTCAATTAACACTACGGTATCCTAAATATGATAGATACCTACCCTGCCGCGGCGTCCTTAGCTCACAAGCTATGGTAACTGAGATTGATCCTCCTCCATTCGATCTCGGTACCCGTCAGTCACAGGCGGAGAACAAAATCTCATTTTCCCGATCACGATTAAGCCGGAGCGTAACCTGCCATCCGTCGCCGAGAGGTGACTGATGCATAGGATAGGCTTGACTTTGTTGGCCGGACATTTCCATATTGTAATTACCACATTGCCACCTCTTACTCGGTCATCTCCGTCGTAAAGTAAATATTTCTCTACCTCACCTTAAAGACTCCTCTTCTTAAGCTTGATGTATGTAAGAAGTAGGCCATTTTGATGCGTCAATGGTCGGAATAGATATAGCAAACCCAAAGTGACAGACACTATTATTGCACTGTTTAGTAAAATAAATATTTCGTACGCCTCTCATATTGATTATTCCCCTTTATTTCAGAACTGTATGCGCGCCTCTAGCTTCTAGATATTGCTCCGCCGCGCTCTGAGGCAAAGTGCGAATGAAGCCGAACACCTCCTTGCTGTGATACCGCAGCCGGCTCTTCGGGTCCAGGTAAGGGGCAGGAAGACCGGTGATATCGCAGTATCGTTTCGTGTGCGCGAGCGAAGGGGCCGACTCGATGTTAGTGTAGGTCGCGCTGGGCGCGGCCGAGACGGGTGCGCCACCAGCGCCGTTGGGTCGCAGGCTTTTCTCCAGTACGAGTTTCGATAGACTACGCGAAGCTTGGGCGAGGTTCGGTTGTAGGCTCGAGTTGCCACCGGCCGACTGTTGAGCAGGCGTCGAAGAACCGCTGGTAGAAAGGCCGTCGCCATCTCCTTGTGCAGGAGTGGCAGTGCCGCTGTTGTCTTGGGGCGTGACGATTACAGAGGCCTCCTTGCGCGAGGCATCTCCTATGATTGTCTTGATGTTCTTATTGCGTCGCTGGTTTGGTCGCCAGTGAGGGTTGCGGAAGCTCTTGTGGATGGAATGGATATCAAGCTTATCGATCAGCTCTTGATGAGCAATCTGGGCTTCTGTGGGAGCGGCCATTGTTGGTTTGATGTTCGTGCAGATAGATGTGTTTGATAAGGAGGTATCGCGGATGAGAGAGGTACGAAGGATAAATATGATGGGTCGTTCTATAATGTTGGTGATGTGTTTAAGAATTGATGTTGTTGCTTGCTATTTGAAGTCCTGAGTTTCTTTGAGGCGCCTGTATTTGCTAAAGGTTACCGTTACATACGTACCTTAGGTACCTGTACGTATATACCTGAGGTACGGATTTAGGTACATATTTTCAGTGCAGCCCTGTCGCACTGTTGGCGCTTAGGTACTTTGTATCGCATCCGTTTACACTTCACTAACAAACAAATAATTCATTCAACACTATCCCGACTTGCACTTGGATACAAGTCAAAACTCAAGGCTGAATAAAATGGTATTACTCCTATCGCTCATCGCTCAATTAAATCCATTACGAAAGATTCTAATATATAGATATAGGAGAGCCCTCACGAGCATCAGCAGAATCTTCTGCTATCGCGTATCATCACCAACGTTGTAAGTGGCATGGCTCTTGAGAAGTTGAGCCCCGCCCCTGATTAACAAACCCAAACGACTTACATGACATTTATAGGAGAAACTCAACGAGTCTATCGTCGTCATGAACAAGAGTCTTCAAGAGATCAACATCCAGAACATGAACATTGAGCTCGTCGCTCAGATGTTCAAGAATTACCAGTCCAACGTGCTCTTCCATCTAGAAGGTAAGTTATATCCTAGCTAGTTGCACGTTGAAGCTGGCACTAAATTCTAAACTATGGTGTAGCTACGGACAATCTAAAAGACCCTTCATAGGATGGCCTCTCTTTGAGTAGCTATGAGGATGATGAGAGCAAAGCTATCTGGCAGATAGTAGAGTGATGTTTTTGGCAGATTATATGGACATGCTGGTATGAACTCGAGCAAGATACCAGTAGTTATTAGGAAGCTTTCTATCTACTTATAGGGAGACTCATTGTTATACTCATAAATTACGAGGCCCGCACAGCAAACTGAATTCCTAAAGAGTAATAGTGAAGACATTCATTAATAAATTCCCCGTCAAGTAAAAACGCGAGTATTGGTGAAGACGCGATATTCATACGTAAGAGCTATAACAGCCTTATTAGCGGTCTTATTAGTGAGCCCCACCAATTCTTATCGAATATCTATCTTATCGAATGGCTCACAAAGCAGCTGAGCTGAGGTAGCTGTACAGTACCTAAGGTACGAACCTCCGATAGAAGCAATCAAGCAAGGGCAGCTGTCGGGCGGTATCTTTACTTGTCAGCCTCGTACCTTCGGACAAGAGAATCTACCTACCTAGAAACAATTTTACATTTCATTCAACTTTCATACCATTTCATACCACCGGATAGATAAAACGCACGCCTCGCAAATTTCGTCAATTGATTAAATTTTACTCTTTATTTCTAACCCTATAGACGAAAACCCCCCGATTCAAAAGATAATCTTCAGATTCAAATACACCATCATCCACATTAACTTTAACATGCGATACGCTGGCTCTTTATAAATACCAAAGCTGCGTATTCCAATAACATGGCGCCGTCAGCGATCGACCTTCCAGCACTTCCTGTGCGACAGGAAAAGACTTATCCCCCGGCTCGAATTTACAATGTAAAGGAAACCAAGTTCGAGAAGCCTACTTCTCCCCAACCAGATGGTCGCGAGCAGGCTCTAGCGAAACCTCCTGGCAGCGTCGCCATCGTTATCGACAATGGTGCGCCTTCAACATACCCCTTATACTATCAATCTACTAATATGGATATTTGGTTACAGGCTCATCCGCCGTTAGAGCTGGGTGGTCATTCGAATCGAACCCGAGATTCAGTATCCCACCTATCATGGCCAAATACAGAGACAGAAAGCTAGGCAAGACCTATTCGTTCGCTGGCTACGATTGTTACTCCGACACAACAGCCCGAGGGCATATCAGAAACGCCTTTGAAGCTGGAACCGGAATCGTCAGCAACTGGGACGTAGAAGAACACGTACTCGACTGGACCTTTCTAAAGCTAGGCATGAACAACGCCGATGGAGCTATCGACGTACCCATTGTCATGACTGAGGCAGTAGCAAACTTGCCCTATTCCCGAAAATGTGTGTTACCCCCAAACTCGTTCCAGTCTATAACCGGCTAACATAATATAGCTATGAACGAAATCATATTTGAGTGTTACCAGGCCCCTTCACTGGCCACGGGCATCGACTCTCTCTTTTCCTATCGCTACAATAAAGGACGGACGGGATTAGTTGTCTCTTCCTCTTATAGTTCTACACATGTCATTCCCGTTTTCGACTCGAAGGCCATGCTAGCTCAGGCTATACGACTCAATTGGGGAGGATGGCACGCCGCGGAATACTTACTCAAACTCATTCGTCTGAAATACCCGTCATTCCCAGGGAAGCTCAACGCATCACAGGCTGAGCATATGATAAGGGATCACTGTTATATATCGAAATCATATGACGAAGAACTACGGTCGTACCTAGATTGGACAGGATTAGAAGACCGAGATATTGTGATCCAGTACCCGTTTACAGAAGAGGTGATAGTCCAGAAGAGCGAGGAAGAGCTCGCTCGGATAGCTGAGCGAAAGAAAGAAAGCGGGCGACGGTTGCAGGAACAAGCAGCTAAAATGCGCCTGGAGAAACTAATGCGGAAAGAGGAGGAACTGGATTACTACAAGAAATTACAGGAGAAGATTAATAATTCAAATAAGAAGGACGCAAAACGCCTTCTTGATGCAGAAGATATGAAAGATGAGCAACAACTTGAGCGCACTATCAAGGAATTAGACAAGTCGATCAAGCGCGCCCGGACGAAGGATGTGGGTGGCGATCCTGAGGAAGAGCAGGAAGCACCCGATTTCAGCCTTCTCGAAGTACCCGATGACCAGCTTGACGAAGCTGGTCTGAAGGCGAAACGGCACCAACGTCTTCTGAAATCTAATCACGAAGCACGGGCGCGTGCGAAAGCCGAGAAGGAAGCCGAAAAAGCGCGCGTTGCGGAGGAAGAACGGGCAGACAGAGAACGCCGCGAGAACGATCTAGAGGGATGGCTAGAAGAGAAACGCGTGGCCCGAAACCTTACGTTACAGAAGATGAAGGAACGGGATCGCCTAAAGGCTGACCTAGGAAACCGCAAATCCTTGGCTTCTCAAATCCGTATGAAGTCAATCGCAAATCTAGCCTCAGATAATCCTCGAGGGAAGCGCCGACGCGGTAACGACGACGATAACTTCGGCGCGAACGACGACGACTGGGGCGTATACAGGCAAATTCAAGTGGGCGAAGGCGGTAGTGATGACGAAGAGGGTGAAGAGGATCTTGAAGGAACTCTTAAAACACTAGAAGAAGACTTGCTTCGCTACGATGAGGGATTCACGCATGAACACACGTGGGAAGCACAGAATGATTGGAATAAGAGTCTTCTACATGCATTTATGCGCGGACCACGACCCTTCAATCCTTCCTCCCAGGCAGAAATCCACCAGATACATCTCAACGTCGAGCGTATACGAGTACCGGAGGTCGTCTTCCAACCCTCCATCGCTGGGGTTGACCAGGCGGGGCTTGTCGAGATCGCAGGCGACATACTTACCCAGCGACTCGGGGGTATACCGGGTCTAAACCGAAACGACTTCCTAAATGACATCTTCTTAACTGGTGGTAACACGCTCTTCGAGGGCTTCGACGACCGTCTCCGCCAGGGCTTAACCCCGTTGCTCCCCGTAGACTCGCCGCTTAAGATTCGTCGCGCCGGCGACGCAATACTTGACGCTTGGAGGGGTGCGGCTCAATGGGTGGGAACACCCAGTTGGAAATCATCTTTAGTGACGAAGGCAGAGTATCAGGAGAAGGGGCATGATTACATAAAGGTATGTTTTGATTTTCTTTCTTTCTCTTTTCTTGTCACGACTTTTACCCCTTGTACTATGACAGCTGTTACGTCGATAGCACAAGTCAGGAATAAGATCAGCAGACAGCTCTCAGCCACGAGTGTGGATCTAAGTAACCAACACCACATCCCATCCCCATCCCCATCGGCGATCATCCTTACAAAAATGTGTAGACCATTATCCCGTTCAGCTGATATAATACCATACGCTAACCCGTTTCTGCTTCGTCACAAATATAGGAGCACGATATGGGAAACTCTTACTCTTGAGAGCTTAGTCGCCGTTACACAAGCACGGCGTTCTTTACTGCAATCGACCTAGACGCGCTCGAGGTAACCCTCCCCTCCCCTATTAGTTTCGGAGCGTGTGCAACACACAACACACGACGCGGCACGTGGGTATATCACGGCAGTAACGAATTGCTTACTCACTTTATCTACATTCGCCCCCTTTTCTGCAATGCCACGGGAGATACGTAGGTACTTGGATGAAGCGAGAGGCATGTATGGACCTATGTATGTATAATATTATCAGACTCAATAACAGGCGGCGATACTAGGTTAGTCAGTTATTCCTACCTAGTTAGGTGTCACAACTAGGACCGGGAAGACGGAGAGGATAAGGATGATGATGGGCAGATGCGTAATCACTTGTGGTCTTGGCACTTCACAACATTAGCTACAGGTATCTATGCCATATTACCATATTACCATATGCCCTCTTCCTTCGGGCTTGCACTTGCGCCCTGTACCACGCGAGCGGGCAAGGATGGATACCCTCAGTACCTACCTATCTTATCTTACCTTACCTATTATACAAAACAAACAGACACAACAGATACATACTACGTTAGCAGGCACGTCCTTTGATGACGACGACGACAACGGTGGACAGGGTAGGATAAAGTAGGGTAATAATATGTTAAGCATACACACATAGGTAGCTATGGTACGGTACATAAGCGCAATGCCAAAGAAATGTAAAATAAAATAAAATAAAATAAAATAAAATAAAATAAAATAAAATAAAATTGTTGGAAAGATAAGGTTTACATATAAAAAACAGTATTTAAAAATAAAGGTATTTTTAAAAAGTAATATATTAATTATTATATAAAAAGAAATTAATTACGTAGTTAATTATTTTATAAAAATATATAAATATTAATTAAAATTAATAAATTTTATTATTATATTAAATAATTTTATATATAAATTAATTAATAAAAATTATTTATTAATAATATTTT